CTGCACCCCAAGGCTACCTTGGGCACCTTTGGGGTGGTTTGGGGTCCTTTGGGCCCATTTGGGCCCCTTTGGGCCCCTTTGGGCTTCTTTGGGCTCCTTTCGGCTCCTCTAGGCTCCTTTCGGGTAAATTTGGGCAACTTTCGGTCCCTTTGGGATATTCTCGGCTGCTCTCGGCTATATCTCGGCTACTCCCGGCTATATCTCGGCCACTTTGGGCTCCTCTCGGCCCCTCTCGGCCGCAGGTGCTGCACGCCATGGCGAACGGCGCGTGGGTGGTCGGCGACGCTTGGCTGCGCGATTCGCTCCTCGCGGGCCGCCCCCTCGCCGAGGCGGAGTATGAGCCCTTGGCTTCCGCACGGGCGTGCCGGCTCGCCGCGGCGCGCTGAGACCGAGCCCCAAAGCCGAGCCCCAAAGACGAGCCACAGGGGAGGGATCACCGACCGGTGCAGCGCCGTGGCGGATAACCCCTCCCCTTTCCCCCCCCCCCCTCCCCCCTCCCCCCCCCCCCCCATAGGAGCGCGTCGGCGGTGCCCCGCCCAGAGCCCTCCGCGGACGGCGTCTCTTCGTGGCTGCGGGCGGGCGAGCGGCCTCTAGATGCATCCCTCTTAAAGGTCACAGCCCCACCCCCCTCGACACCGCCCCGGGCCTAATGTCACTCACGCACTGTCGAGAATGGACCGACGGCGGCAGTCAGTCAGTCAGTCTGACACACCTCCTAGCATGGAGGACGGGCCCACACGCACACACACGCTGCGCACGATTGGCGCGGGGAGCCGACACGAGGCACACTGCCACCGGCCTTAGCACTGGGTCCGGACTGCTGGACACACAGCTCACAGGAACGGACCGACGGCGGCGACCAGTCGAAACGCAAGGCCGGGCCCACAAACCTACAACGGGCGTGCACTCACAACGCAGGTCGGCGGAGCGCGCCCCCGCTCTGCGCGCGCTCGCCGAGGCTGCCGGCGCGACCCTCCTCCTCGGAGCGACCCAGCGACCGCGGATTTCTTTTCCACCGCGCAGTTGTCTTTCTTTTTTGTAGGCGCGACCCTCCTCGGAGCGGCTCGTGGCGCCGACCTCGTCCTCGCGCGCTGCTTGCCCGCCGCCCGCCGGAACGCGGGCGTCCGCGCCGCCGCGCGTGCAGACGACGGCCCCCCACCCCCTAGATGCTGTCCTTGTTCGACTAATCCTCGAGAGGACACGAGTTCAGCTGTGCTCAGCTGTGCTCGCGGCCCGTGTGATTGAAGCCGCGCGGCGGTGCTTGGATACTCAGCCAGAGTCTGGCGTGTCTCGCCGTAGGGCCCATCTACGTGCGCGACGAGTGGCTCTTCGAGTCGGTGGCGGCGTGCGAGCCGCTGCCGTGCGCCGGCTTTGAGCTCTGCGACGCACGGGCGGTCTGAAGTCGTGTTTCTGGGGCACTTGATGTTCTCTCCTCTCTCTCGCACCATGGCGATGGCGCTAAGAACCCCCCCCCCCCCCCCGCCGCCGCCGCAAGAGGCGCGCGAACCGCGATATTGCAATAGCGAGACCGAGAGAAGATCAGCAGCCAAGGAGAGGACAGCAGGCTAGAAGTGTAGAAAGAGGAGCAAAGCGCGCAAGGAAGAATTTTCCCGTCATGTGGCTCTTATTGCGCCCCTGCGAGTGCGACTATCAACCTCTGTCGCGTGCGCATATAATCCCATCCATCTTGTCGTACAGCCTTGACCTCTCCGCCTCTGCGGCATCAGCGCGCCTCGCCTCTGCCTCCATCGAAATCTGCAGCGCGTCGAGCTGCTCGCGCAGCTCGGCCTGGATCTTGGCCCGCATCTCGCCGATACGCCAACAAAAAATCAGCTCGAGCTGCGTGTGATACCTCGTCGGCCATCCGCTCGGCCGCTTTGATGTCGCGTTTAGCAGCCTGCTGCGCTGTCCTCAGGTTGTCGCGGTCGGAACGCCTACGCTCTTGTGCCGCAGCAAGCTCAGCCCGCGCCGATGCGAGCGCCTTCTTCACAGCGCTCGCAGAGCGCTGCTCAGAAGCGAGCTCCTTGGTCTGTGACCGCAACTTCTCTTCCAACTCCTGCCGGAGCAGCATCTCAGCAGTCGCACTACTCGCGGCTGCATGGATGTCCGAGCCCTTTAGTGTGGTTTGCGCGTCTGTGCTGACGAGAGTGCGGGAGATGCTGCCGTTGTGCTGACCAGAGATCACGCCAGCGGTGGCAGTGCTGCTTGGGCACACAACAACATTGCTCGTGGCCGAGCTGGCATAAACCGCCGCACCAGCCTCTGCGGCTGCAGTGGTGCTTCGGATCGCGTCGAGCACTGCGCCTGTATCGTGCTTGAGCATGGCCTCGAGCGTACTGAGGTCGGCTGTCCCGAGCTCGTTGAGCAGCCCTCCAGCACAATGCTGAGCTGCGTCGGTGCCATGTGTCGACGTGTCCAAGGGAACGGACGTCGCCGAAGGCCTTGTTCACGCCGAAAAGTACGTCTAACGCCTCCTGCTAGCTGGGGCACGCTCCCACGCGGCTGAAGGCCGCTCTCCAGCTCGATTAGGGCGCTTTTCGTGCGATTTTACGGAATTACGGATTGGAGGGGGGTGGCGGCACATAGGGGGAGGGGGAGACGCGCATCTACGAATCAAGTTGGTGCCGGCAGCGCCGCGGGGAGCATGGTCGGAAGGGCGCTTTTGTCGCCTTCGGCAACACCGAGGCGTTCTACCGGAACATGGTCGAGGGGCATGGGCCCTACCGCGCGGAGGGAGAGGGAGGCGAGGGGGAGGGGGAGGGGGATAGAGGGGAGTGTGAGGGGTATGGGGGCGAGGGAATGGAGGGAGAGAGGAAGAGCAAGGGCGAGAGGGGGCAGGGGACTGGTCGATGGCATACCAGGGGAGGCAGGGTGGTGGGCGGCGATCGCCGCATATCGTCCTATGGCGGCGAGTATCGCTACGCCAGGGAGGACAAGGACGTCGACGTGCGGCTGCTGCTGTTCGAGTCGTTCGGTGGGTTCGGGAAGGGGGTCGGCGAGATCCTCTGGGGGGCGGCGAACGTGCTGCAGAACAAGCTGACGCGGGCCCAGTACCTCGATGAGGTGACTTGGACCACCAAGAGCTGGCTGGGGCTGCAGAAGCAGCGCATCTCAGTCGTTCTTCACACGGCCATCGCAGAGCAGATTGTGAATGAGCTTGCCAGCGGCGAGGGCGGTCGAGTGCACGGAGCTAAGTGCCTCGCCGTCCTCGCGGGAGTCGCTTAGGCGGCTCCAGTGGTGTACCTGTATTAGTGCCAGTGCGCGCCAGTCCCGTGCCCAGTGTTGTGCGAGGGAGTTTCGTTTTAAGATTCTTCTGACACCCTTGTAAAATTCTTGCCCCGCCCCCCCCTGGCCCTTGCCTTAGCGGGACCGAGCCGACACCGATATCCACAGTTGATGTGCTGCTGTCTCTTCTCAACTGGCGATGCCGCCGACTCGAGCGCACTCCTCGTCGACCGATCGCGGTCGCCGCGCGGGCCGCGGGTCGCTGACTGGACTCAATGCGAGTGGGGCGAGCAGCTCGGTGCAGGCGCCTTCGCGCAGGTTTGGGCGGTGCGGCTTCCGCCGTTCGGGGACGTGGCGGCCAAGGTCCTCCGAGAAGATCAGCGCGGTGACCGGGCCGCCGCCTCGGACATCGCACGCGAGGCCAGCCTCGTGTGCCGCTTGTGCCACCCTCATGTGCTGCACGGGCTGCTGGCGCACGACCACCCGGCGCACGGCACCGTGCTGGTGCTGCCGCGCATCGCCTGCACGCTCGCGCAACACTTCCGCCCCCCCACGCAGCGCACGCCCTGCGACGACTGGCGGCTCGCGCGCGACTGGCCGCTGCGCCGCGTGCTGCTCGTCGGCCTGCAGCTGGCGTCGGCGCTCGACTACCTGCACGAGCATGCGCTCGCCGAGCACCACGTGCTGCACCGCGACCTCAAGCCGGACAACGTCGGCCTGCTCGGAGAGAGAGGGCCGCGTGGCGTGCCCTGCCTGCTCGACTTTGGCTGCGCGCGCATGGTGCCAAAGGCGGCCGCGGCTGCAGCTCCGCGCCGCCTCGCCTCGCCGCCCGCCGCGGCGCCGCCGCCCGACACCGCCGCCGCCGGAGAGGCGCTCGCTCCGCCGGAGATGGGGGCGGCGGCGGCGGCGGCGGAGGGTGATGACCCTTGGAACCTGACGGGGCAGACGGGGGCGGCGCGATACATGGCGCGAGATTCGCCGAGATTCGCCGAGATTCGCCGAGATTCGCCGAGATTCGCCGAGATTCGCCGGGCAGAGACGGGCGCGGTACATGGGTACGGGGCGCGCCGTGCTCCGCAGCCTCCCCACCGGGAGCTGCTTCTGTGCTCTCCGGCAGTGTTTCTTGTCGTTCCTCTAGGCGCCGGAGGTGTACGAGGGGCGTCCGTATGGGAGGCGGCCGGAGCCCCCCCCCCCCCCCCACCCCACCCCACCGTGTGCGTGTGGCGGAGTGTGCCTGACCGGACCCGAGGACCCTTAGGCGGTCCGAGAGCCACTCCTTCGCCCTTCTGCTGTGGCACTTGCTCGCGCGCGAGCCGCCGTTTGAGGCGCTGATTGGGCTGGGCGGGAAGCGGGCCTTCGAGGAGGAGGTGGTGCAGGGCGGCGTGCGGCCCCGCCTCTTCCCCGAGTGGCCCGTCGAGCTGGCCGCCCTGCTCGACGAGTGCTGGCAACCGGCGCCGCACAGGCGGCCACGCATGGCGCAGCTCGTCGCGCGGCTGCGCCGGCTGCACGACGGCGCGTCCGCCCCCGCCGCGCCGCCGCGCCGCGCCGTGCGCGCGAGTTTGGCGACGCAGGCCACGCCGCTGGTGTCTGCCGCCGAAGTGCAGGTCATGGCGCGGCCGCCCTCCGACGCGCCGCCAGGCGTCAGCTAGCTAGAGAGATGGACATGTGATCGCGACTACTAGAGCGGCGCCGCGTCCCACGTTGCTGTAGCACGGTATGCACATACTTTTTACTCCACGTCCCCGTACCCATAATCCGTTGGGTATGCGGCTAGTCGATAGTCCTGCATGTTGATAGAGATTTACGTCGGTGTCCTATTCACCGTGATTGGCACACGTTCCTTTTGCGAGTTCATGAAAATCACACAAGGAGCCGTCGACGCAACAGCACTTGACATCTTTGAAGTTTGATCGGCGTGCTCGCGTCACAGGCCGAGCACATCGACGCCGGCGACGACGACAAGCACCGCGCTCGCGCCGGCCAGCGCGAAGAGGATGTAGGCGGCAGTGATCGCGTCCTGGCCGAGCACGCGCTGCTGCGGCTTCTTGCGCTTGCCGCTCGTGTCGTTGATGATCACCGAGTCTTTGCCTGTCCCGAAGGACTCTCCGAAGGCAATGCGCCGCCAAAACTCGATCGTCGCCCACACAAAGGGGACGGAGCCAATGATGAACACGACCGTGTCCTCGGGCGTGATCCCTCGCGGCTCAAACGTCTGCAGCGCCGGATCGGTCTTGGCGTATGCCTCGACATACGCCGCACCTCGCAGCGTCGAATCGACGGCGGCCTCGGCGGCGCTCGCCATGGAACACATGAGAGCGGCGACGGCGGCAGCTGCAGGAGCGCGCTGGCACTGAGCAGCAGGCTTCCGCCGGTGAGCAGCATAGGTGAGCGCACACGCTGTCGTGCGACGCAGCTGCGGCTGCGGCGGGGCGGCTGCGCGACGACCTGGGTGGCCGGCTGGCGCGACAGCGCTGCTCGTGTGCGCAGTGCGTGACTGCGTGAGGCGCAGGCACTGCGCCCCCTGTGGCGACCTGACCAGCACGCTCCCTGCGCCGGCGAAGAGGAGTGCAACTAGTGTCGGCCGCAAGCCCGACATAGGAAGATAGGATTTACTCGTGCAATCGTGTGGACAGTTCGGTTTTGCACAATTTTGTACTTTTAGCTTACTGGGAGAAAAGAGAGAGGGGGTTGTGTTCTCTAGGCCCCTAGGGGCCCTACGCGCGGCGTGAGAGCTCGGAAGCGAGCTTAGCACGGCGATCGAGGATGGCACGGTTCACCCCCTTCACCGAAGCGATGGAGATGCGTTCCGCGTGGTGTGACACAAATGAGAGGCGGGAGTGGGGAGGGTACGCGGTGCGGTCAACGCCCGAGCGTTGAGCCTTGCGCGCAAGGCGGTTGATCTTTGCAACTGCAGGCGGCGAGAAGCCGCCGCCGAATGTCTCGTGGAGAAGCAGGTTGAACTTGTTTCGTTTGCCGAAGATCCCGTCATGGTAGTGGCCACGCTGCGACTTGACGTAGCCCTGGCCGGTGGTGTGGTCGAACGCACGTTGACCACGGAACCCGCGTTGCTTGCAGCCCATGTTTGCAAGGCGGGCGCGCTCTTCGGTGTTGCCGAAGGCGAACTTGTCTCCAACGGAGCCGGGGTTGCCTCCGGTGTCGGCGCGGCCGACCCCAACAGGCAAGCCACCCCGGAGGGGGGTCCAAAGTTTGACCTCACTGATCTCGTCTTTGCCCCCGGGAGCCGCGCCCGGCTCAGCCAGGTCGGTTTTGTAGCCCTCGTTGAACTGTTTGGTGAGCTCAGGTTTTTCGGCATCTCCCATAACGGGCCGGGAGATGGAGACGGCGGACCCAGTCTCCCACAATTCGTGTTTCAGGTTACCCGGTCGCTAAAATTTGTCATGTCAGATTACCCGGTCGGCCAAATTTCTCGTCCAGATTACCCGGCAACGATATTTTTCCTGCTCAGCGCAATTTCATCAAAAAATGTCGTTTCCAGCTTACCCAACACGGCGAAATGTCGTTTCCAGGTTACCCGGCCGCTAACTTTTCTCATGTCAGATTACCCGGTCGGCCAAATTCCTCGTCCAGATTACCCGGCGGCTAACTTTTCTCTTTGAGATTACCCGGAAGATCAAATTTCTCGTTTCAGCTTACCCGGACGCGGACGGCTGCCTGGACTGCTATAGTGCCACAACTAACCCCCCACGCCGTACGTACCCCACAACTAACCCCCCACGTCGTGAATCCGTACAACTTTCAGATTAGTATTGCTAAAAATCTCTCCCGGCTCATCCCACTACCGGGTGATCTGGAAAAAGAAATTTCACGATCCGGGTAACCTGGAAACGACATTTCGCCGTGTTGGGTAATCTGGAAACGACATTTCGCCGCACCGGGTGATCTGAAACCGCTCACGCCGGGTGATCTAGAAAACGCCGGGTGATCTGCGAGGCGAATCTCAAAACTGGGTGATCTGGAAAAAGAAATTTCGCGGTGCGGGTAACCTGGAAACGACATTTCGCCGTGTTGGGTAATCTGGAAATGACATTTCGCCGTGTTGGGTGATCTGAGAGGCAAAAATTCGCAGACGCCGGGTGATCTGAAAAACGCCGGGTGATCTGCGAGGCGAATCTCAAAAACCGGGTAATCTGGAATTTATCCTTTTGCAAATATGAGCAGCGAGAATCGGCGAGGGACTGCGAATGCCTGCCAAGCGAGATAGAAGAGGCAGACGACCAAGGGTTAGGGTGGGCGACGGCTAGCCCCACACTCTTCTCCTTAAAATCCCTGTGTGGTGGCGGCGTGCCGTCCTCCCATCCCTCCCTTGGGTTGTCTGTTTTCTTTCTTTGAAGAGGTAGGCGCCCGAGGATGGGCGACGGCTAGCACCACACCTCTTGCAGCTTTGTGGTGGCGGCTTGCCGTCGTCCGTCGTTTTCTTCTTTCTTTCTTTCTTTCCTAGCTAGCGTGCGAAATCCCTTTGTGGTGTGTGTGGTGTCCGCGTGCCTTTTCCACGGTTCTTTGTGATGCCCAGTGTCGTGCGAGATAAATCGTCCTAAAATTCTTTGCGGTTCAAGCGCCGCTTTTCGTCGGTTGGCCCACTCAATCGATACTCTGGCCACACTCCACACGATATATATATGAAGATGCTCGCGCTCGCCTTCGCCGCTGCCAGCGCCTTCGCCCCGTCCTGCCAGGAGGCGGCAATTTCGGAGGGGAACTGCGCGAGCGGGCTTCGCATGCGCTGCCCGGCTGCGCTGCCTCCGGCCAAAGCGATCCCAGGCGTGCCGCTACTCGTGGAGGATCTCTCGGACAGAGTGCATGAGGGCGACGGGCTCCCCACCTACGCCGTAAGTGTGCTCTACCACGAGTGGCCGGGGCACGTGCGTTCGCCCATCAAGCAGTACGACCAGAGTGGCATGCTGTGCGTGAAGCGGGGCCAGATTCGGCTCGTGCTGCAAGGCGCAGCTGGCAAGGTAGCGAAAACTGGCGAGTGCCTCTTGCTGCCGCAGGAGCCTCTGAGCGTGGTCAGCTCAGACTCGCCCGCTCAGTTCTTCCTCTACACCGCCAGCCCGGGCTACCTGGAGGTGGACGGGAGAATCTGCGAGCCTTCGTCACAGTGGAGTCTCGGCATCGTCGGATGCCCCACATGCTCCGAAGTTCACGAGCAGCAATGCAAGACGTATGCAACGTGCGCAGGGCACTCGAACGCCACCGTTTCCCCTGATTCGTGTGAGTACGAGTGCGTAATCAACGGCGAGCCGGCGCCCACAGTGCAGTGGCTCGTGCCGACAACCGCCCGCTCGGACAATGCTGGCAAGGTCGTTGCAATGGAGCCCTCGTATCCTGTGCAGGGCGGTCACTCGGGGGACATGCTCGACTTCTACGCCGTCTTGGGATCCGGTCGCAATACCCTCCCGGGCGACAACCACCGCCTCTACGCGGAGAGGACGACCCGCATTCCTTTCACGCGCGCGCTCGTGCACACCCACGACTGGACGGGTGTTACTTGCGTGCAGCAGGGAGAGATGACGCTTCTGCTCGACATGGTGGAGCCGGTGACAGTGCGCGAGAGCGGATGCTACTGGATGCCTGCAGGACGCTATATGACGGGGATGAACACCGGGAACGTCACGGCACTAATGTGGGACCTGTACGCTGTTCCTGCGGAGACTCAGGAGGCGCTACACCACGATCGATTTGCTACCTATCGATTCTCGCGCCGCTTCGAAGGATGCGGAAGAAGACGACATTTGCCGTGCGGAAGGCGGCGTGCTCGTCGACGGGGCGACCGTCCGCCCGCTCTCCCCCAAGGAGCGCTTCAACCAGAGCGCTTCGCTTGTGCGCCGCATCAAGGAGATTTGCGATCTCACCGCCGGCACGCTTGAGCCCTTACTGGCGCCATACCCCGCGTGCGAGTGCATCGGGCAATTCGACGAGACGGGAAGTGTGGAGTGGGCGCTCTGACAGACCACACAGGGGCCCCGACACATCGACCCCGATGAGCGTGCCCGCCGACCCTCCTCTGTGGCCTCTGTAGCTGCTGTATATATAATGTGTGTCGTGCGCTGCTCGCGGCTCGCCCACGGGTGCTAACCTTATGTCGCTGTCGGCTTGTCACGTTGCACTTCGCCATTTGTTCTCTTGTGCGTGTTGTTGCGTGTGCGTGTTTGCGAGGAGTGGATTTCTCGGAGATCTCGCTCCCTCACGCAGAGTTTTTTGACGCATATGATTACGGCTCTGTCGTGAACACGCGCGACTCTGAAGTCTGATCACACAACCTTTAGTTCGTGCCGCGCCGACGAGCCGTGCCGCGGCGACCCCGGCACCAGCCGCAGCTTGCCGCCTGCCAACCCCCACCCGCGGCCGTGGGAAGTGAAGATCCGGAACGCCCACCACAGCGGCCGCAGCCAGCTGCGCCGCCGCCGCCGAGGCGCGCCGAGCGCGGGCGCGTCCCCAATGTCGATGCGGAGCGCCCCCGCCGCGGCGGCGGGGAAGGCGGCGGTGGCGGCGGGCGCGGCGGCGGAGGCGGGGGCGAGGGCGGTGGCGGAGGGGGCGCTGTCCCGCGAAGCGTCGAGCAGAGCTCGCATCTCGGCCGCCTCGGCGGCCGCCGCCGCCCGCGCCGCCTCGAGCTCTTGCCGCAGCTCGGCGCGCACCTCGGCCGTCTCTCGACGCGCGGCGTCGCGGTCTCTGTGCGCGCGGCCGAGCTGCATCGAGATGGAGGCGTGGTCGGACTGAAGGTGGAGGAGCGCCATCTCGAGCTGCTCGTACCTAGAAGGTTCCTGGAAGGTTCCTGAAAGGTTCCTGGAAGGTGCACACACCCTCTCTAGCTGCTCGTACGTCGCGTTGCCAGGCCCGCCCTGCCTCGCGCGAGGCAGCAGCGCGTCCCCCATCGACCTGCCGAACGACATGCCACGGACGTGTCGGGGACGTGTCGGGGAAGAGTCGGGGAAGTGTCTCGCAATTCCCCATCGACCTGCCGTACGACATGCCACGGACATGCCACGGACGAGTGACAGACACGCAGCAGCGGCGGCGCATCTCTGACGTGTCTCTTGCCTCGGAGGTGTCCCTCCCGGAAGGGTCTCGGAAGTCTCTCGGAAGTCTCCCATCGACCTGCCGCGGGCGAGAGGCGTCTGCGGCGAGGATGAGGCGCCGCCGCTGCCGCCGCGAGGGCTGAGCGGCTCGAGGAGCGGCTCCGCGTGCCACGCCTCGCGCCTCGCCTCCGTGCTGGCCGACGCCGCCGCCACAGGAGGCTGCTGCTGCTGCTGTTGCTGCTTCGCGCCGCCCGCCCGCCCCGCCTGCCGCGCCTTGGCCGGCGACGCTGCGCCGCCGCCCTCGCTTCCTCTGGCGGACTCGGCGGCGGCGGAGGCTGAGGCGGCGGCGGCGGCGGCGGCGGCGGCAGTGGCGGCGGCGGAGGCGGCGGAGGCGGCGGAGGAGGCGGAGGCGGGGGCGGGGGCTGCTGCTGTGCCGCCATTGGAGCTTCGCTGCTCTGGCGGCGGCCGGGCGTCGCGGAGCTGCCGGCGCAACGCCTCGATGGTTCGCTTCTGCGACGCGACCATCTGCCCGGGGCGGAGGCAGGGAGGTGGGGCGGGAGAGGGGGGGAGAGGAGAGGAGGGAGGACGGGGCGGTGGGGCACTGGGCAGAGGGAGAAGGCCGAGTGGGAGGCGAGAAGAGGATGAGGAGGGTGGCGAGGTGGGGGTAGAGGAAACGCGAGGAGGAGGGGGGCCATCTCCTGCATCAGAGCCCCCTCCCCGACTCGGTTGGCTCGCTCGTCCGACGTGGACCGCAGCGCCTACAACCGAGAGAGCCAGCGAGGGTCCGAGGAGGCTCTGGGGCGTGTCCGAGAAGTCTTACCTCGGGGTGCCTCGCCAAGCGCGCCAGCGACCTCGGCCTTCTCCTCGCGCATCTCCTCCAGCCGCGCGCGCAGCTGCCGAACCTCCGCGTTCAGGCAGCCCTTCTCGTGGACGAGCGCTCCTACGGATGCGCACAGAGAGGTGAGGCACACGAGGAGAGGCCCGGCCCTGCGTCGTGCCGGCGCCGCGCGCCCAGCTGTCGCCGGTGCACCTCCTCGACGGCGCGAAGGTCCTCGATCTGCGAGCGCTGCTCGTCCTGCACGTCGGCGCCCACCGGCGGCGGAGGAGGCAGCGCCTGGAGACGGGAGGTCTCCGCGAGGGCGCGGTTGCACACGCCGAGGAGGGCGGCGAGCGCGCCGTGGCCTGCTTGAGCGACGTGCGGCCGGAGTCGCTCCGCAGTGCGCTCGAGCTGCAGCTCGAGCGAAGTGTTGGCCTGCATTGGGTCCAGCCCGAGAGGCGACCCGCCCGCCTCCGCCGACAAGCGCTTCAGCCCAGCACTTCGCAACGTAACGCGGCAGTGGCGCGGCAGTGGCGCGGCAGGGTTCCGGCTCCTAGCCAGATAGGGCGTCTGTTGCCCATGACTCGCGCCAAAACGCCCTACCTATCTACCTATCCCCAGGCCGCGCGCAGCGAAGCGAAAAAAAGAAGAAATAGGGGGTACCTACCTATTGCGGCCGTGTTGGTTTTCTATTTTCGCCGGGTTGTAAGGTAAGGTAAGGTAAACTTCTCCACACACACGAGGTGGTGGGGCAAGGGGGGGCAACCCTCGCGTCTCCACGTCTAACGACAGGAGCCCCACGACATTCAAAGTGCAAGGCCCGTTTTGGGCTCGGCCAGGTTTTCCGGAAAACAAAAAGGAAAACAGAGGGTGGTCCCTCAGCACTTTGCGTTTCCGGAAATTTCCAAGGAAAACAGAGGGTGTTTGGTGCTCCATTCTGGAAACTCGCGAGTTTCCCTGAGTCTGAGAGCTGGTCTGGGGCAAAATCTGAGGCAAAATTGAGGAAATCGACAAAATACCCAGGCGGTCGCAGGGTAAGTTCCAGGTATACATGTACACGGGTTCTCCGCAAAATTCCCGGCATTTTGCCAATTTGGCCTAAAATTTGGCTGATTTTGGGCCCAAACCAGCCTCAGAATCGGCTCAGCGCCCAAAATTTGACGATTTCCACGGAGTTTTAGGGAAGGATAAATTCCAGATTACCCGGTTTTTGAGATTCGCCTCGCAGATCACCCGGCGTTTTTCAGATCACCCGGCGTCTGCGAATTTTTGCCTCTCAGATCACCCAACACGGCGAAATGTCATTTCCAGATTACCCAACACGGCGAAATGTCGTTTCCAGGTTACCCGCACCGCGAAATTTCTTTTTCCAGATCACCCAGTTTTGAGATTCGCCTCGCAGATCACCCGGCGTTTTCTAGATCACCCGGCGTGAGCGGTTTCAGATCACCCGGTGCGGCGAAATGTCGTTTCCAGATTACCCAACACGGCGAAATGTCGTTTCCAGGTTACCCGGATCGTGAAATTTCTTTTTCCAGATCACCCGGTAGTGGGATGAGCCGGGAGAGATTTTTAGCAATACTAATCTGAAAGTTGTACGGATTCACGACGTGGGGGGTTAGTTGTGGGGGGGTACGTACGGCGTGGGGGGTTAGTTGTGGCACTATAGCAGTCCAGGCAGCCGTCCGCGTCCGGGTAAGCTGAAACGAGAAATTTGATCTTCCGGGTAATCTCAAAGAGAAAAGTTAGCCGCCGGGTAATCTGGACGAGGAATTTGGCCGACCGGGTAATCTGACATGAGAAAAGTTAGCGGCCGGGTAACCTGGAAACGACATTTCGCCGTGTTGGGTAAGCTGGAAACGACATTTTTTGATGAAATTGCGCTGAGCAGGAAAAATATCGTTGCCGGGTAATCTGGACGAGAAATTTGGCCGACCGGGTAATCTGACATGACAAATTTTAGCGACCGGGTAACCTGAAACACGAATTGTGGGAGACTGGGTAAACTGGTTTGACGGAAATCGCGCTAAGCAGGAAAATATCGTTGGCCGGGTAATCTGCGAGGCGAATCTCAAAAACCGGGTAATCTGAAATTTATCCTTTAGGGAAAATAGAGAGGAAAAGAGAGGGTGCTGTAGAGAAAAAAGGAAAGGAAAACAGACGGGGTGCGAGAGGCAAACCTGGCCGAGCCCAAGGCCCGTTGCGCGTGGGTGAGCGGTGTGTGTGTGTGTGCGCGCGCGCGCGCGCGTGTGTGTGTGTGTGTGTGTGTGTGTGTGGTGTGTGTGTGTGTGTGTGTGTGTGTGTGTGTGTGTGTGTGTGTGTGTGTTGTGTGTGTGTGTGTCACGTCACTGCATCCTCTGCCGGTTTCCCATTTCGCCTGTCTGCGGCGACCACAGCGCTTGCAGGAGGTACATGCGAGCTTTTCTAGCTTTTCGAGCTCCCGGTTGCAAATACTCGCCTTACAGTCCAAGATGGCGGCTCGCGCCCCCAAGCATCCATGCTCTGATGTGTCGCTTGGGTCGCCTCTGCTGCTGTGTCTCTGTCTTAGCCAGATATCGAGAGCGCGCGACGACAACCAACCCCTTACCCTAACCCTAACCCTAACCCTAACCCTAACCCTAACCCTAACCCTAGCCCGAAGAACCCAAAGCGTTCACCGAGAGCTCGTGTTGACGGACCGCTGATTCCGCCATTTGGTTTCGGCCCAAACCGGACCATTCTCTTAGGAGCTGCACAACGGCTTGAACGCTCTCTGGCCCTAACCCTAACCCTAACCCTAACCCTAACGATGCCAGAGCCTTCGAAATTAGTCGAACTTGTGAAATTTTCAGTGAAACGGGGGCGGCCGAAACGTTTCATGTGAAATTCACATGAATTCACATGTGAAAGTGAAAGTGTGAAAATTCACTCACGAACCCTGAGTATGCCGAGTTTTTTGCTTTTGGGGGCGGGGCGCATCTGGCATCTCGATCTCGCGCGCGGCGGCGCGGGCTGCCCGTGCGAGCGGGCGCCGGCACCTCGTTTGGCCATTGGCGTGTCCGTTTTTTGTTTATAGAAGAGGGCGGGACGGCCGCTTCTGACGAACACCCCTCCTCTTTGCTCTCGCGAGCGTCGAGGAGGTCGCGTGACCGTCTCAAAGACTCACTGAATACGATAAAGCAGGGTCTCCCCGACCCCCGTCGCCCAAAGCTGCGCCAGCTGGGCCCGCGCCCGCCTCCGCCTCGGCGCCGCACGCCTCGAGCAGCCCTTGGCTGAATGGGGTCCGCAGCAGCACGTGGCACGCGCACTGCATCGTCGTGAGCGCGTAGCCCTCTCGCCCGCCTGCGAGCTCGGACGGCAGCAGCTCCGCCACCAGCTCGAGCTCGGAGGGCAGCACCGCGACGCGCGAGCGCAGCACCACGTACACCGTGATGGGCAGCAAGTCCTCCGCTCCGAGACAAGGCGCGCCTCGCTCGCCGTCGCTGCCGCCGCCGCTCGCCGCCTCGTGGAGCGACGCCGAGTGCTGCGCGCCGCTCGCAACCTCCTCGCACACCTCGAGCAGCACGCGCGCCTAGCGAGGCGGGCCCTCGTGGTCGTGGCTGCCCCAATAGCCCCCCCCCCCCCCCCCCACCCACCACCCACAACTCCCCCCCCCACCCCCCCCCCCACCCACAAAACCGCCCCTCCCCCGCACGCCGCGAGCTGCACCCCGCTCCTCCTCCGTCGTGGCGCGCCCGTGCAAGCTCCTCTCGAGGCAGTCTCGGCCGATCGCGTGCCATCTCGCGCCTTCTCGCGCGCGGTGCGCACGTGCAGCAGCGTGCGCAACGTGCGGATGGCGGAGGCGTACGGCAGCCGCGTGTCGGACAGGTCGGCGAGCCGCATCGCCTGCAGGAAGCTTCCAGGAAAGTGCCGAGAAGGCTCCGGCAAGCTCTCGGAGAGGGCAGCCGCATCGCCTCGAGAGCCGCGCGGTCGGAGAAGACCTCGGGCGGCATGGCGCAGAGGGCGCGAGGCAGCCGCAGGTCGAGGGGCAACACCGTCCGCAGGGCGTGGCAGAGCTCGGCCAGACGGCTGACGCTCTCGGCCTCTCGCGCGGCGTACAGCTCCGCGAGCACGCGCCAACAGCCGCGCACCGCCGCCTCCTCCACCGCCTCGAGGACCTGCCTCCGCCACCGCGCGCTCTCCCACACCACCGCAGGCAGCTGCGCCGCAAGCAGCACAGACAGCTCCTGCAGCTCCCGGCGGAGCGAAGCGATCGCCGCGCCCGCCGCGCCCGCGCCGCCGCCCGCCTCGCAGCCCGCGCCCTCCGCCGCCGCCGCCGCATCCGCCGCCGCCCGCGAGCGCCACAGCAGCCGCCCGCCCGCCGCGGCGCCGACAGCGGCCCCCGCCGCCACGCCGACCACGGCGCCCGCCGCCACCCCCGCCACCGCACCCGCGACCACCGTGCGGGTGCCTCCGCCCGCCACACCCGCCACATCCGCCCCGCCCTCCCCTCTCGCCCCCTCGCCCGCCGCCCCGCCCGCCGCGCCACCGCCCGCCGCCCCTTCGGCGCTGCCGCCGGCGCTGCCGCCGCCCGCCGCGCCGTGCGCCTCTGAGAAACGCGCCAACGCGCGGGCGAGAGCGGCGCCGGCCGGGCGGGACGCGTCCGTCGCCTCGAGGAGAATGACTCGCCTGTGGACGTGTCTCGGACAGGTCGTGATGTCGTGTCGTGGACGCGTCCACCGCCTCGAGGAGAACCACTCGCCTCAGCGCCTCAGCGCCGAGCTCGCCCGCGGCCGCCTGCTCGGCGCGCGCGAGCCACGCCCGCTGCTCGTCCGGCGACAGCGACGCCGCACCCCGCACCCAGCACGCCGCCTCGCAGCGGCCATCGCCGCAGCCAAGCCCGCTGCAGCCGCCCTCGCCGGCGCCGACGCCCTCGCCGTCGGCGGCGCGCGCTCCACCGGCGCCGCCGGCCTGCGCAGCGTCGCCGCCGGCCGCTACCCTCGCGGCAGCCTCCCGCCCCGCCGACCCAGCTTCAGCCGCAGCCTGGCAGCCCGCCGCAGCGTCCGCCCCGGAGGCTGCTGCTGCTGCAGCTGCTGTGCTGTTCAGTTCTCCGTCCGGGGCGGCGGCGCCACCGGCCGGCGCAGAGACGTAGCCTCCCGCCGCCGAGCGCACCACCGCCGTGATGGCGCGCGAGACGTCTCCAAACGTGTAGCCTAATGGCGAGACATTTTGCTCATCGGACACAAGTGTTGAGCGGCCATTCTTCCGGAGCAAGGGAGAGAGGCCTTCGCGGCCGACGACGCGGCCGGAGAGCTCTCTCCACGAGCGGCCAGCGGAGCCCGCCTCGCCCGCACGCGCTGCGGACGACGCCTCGGGCGCGGCAACGGGCGCGCCGGCCTCCGTCGCAGCGCCGTTCAGAGCGAGTAGCAGCAATTCACTCTTCTGGAGCACCTGCGGGGCAGCGGGGAGATGGTCGGGCAGGCATCAGGCCGGGCCCAGGGCGATGTGCAGCGCGTCGCCGTGTCGAGAGAGGGCGTCTCGGCGACAGGACCCGCCCTCGCCCTCGGCCATTGTGGCAGCCGGGCCGCAAAGCGTCGGAAGAGGTCCGGCTCCGCCTGCTGCGGATGGCATCCAGAGCTCATCACGTTCGAGGCCGGCGAGTCGAGCAGAGTCGGACGGCTCAGATTGGTGTGGGGAGTGCAGTGTGGTGTTCATTAGCTCCGAGTAGAGGGGGCGTCCTGCAGTTAAGGGGAAACCCGGTACGCGGGGCTAACCCTCGGAGACCTGTGTTTACTTTATGGCCCTTTCCCTGCGAACGCGCACCCCCGGGGCTAGGGCTCTCTTGCCCGTAACCCGATACCGATCATCCGGCCCGCTGGGTGCGCTCCTCAGCTCCCCGGCCCTGGATGTGAGGTTGATGACTGCACTCCAAGTGCTCCAAGAGGGAAGTTAGAGCGAGACGTTTCGCAAAAGCATGCGCGACCCTGCCTCTTTGCGCCGCTCGTTCGCGGCTGCGGGAGACATGGCCGCCGATGCGGCTCGCACTCGCTCGGCGGTACCGGTAGGGCCTCCGTCCCATAGAGGGAGGACCGAGAGGGGCTTGCCCAGAGCGGAAGGTGAGGAGACCGCGCCGAAAAGCGTTACTAGAGACCCGTGTTTACTTTCGTCTTTACGGCCCCCCCTCCCTGCGAACGCGCACCGCGCCCAAGATCTTGCTCGTAGCCCGTCCCCGAGCATCCCGGGCCTGCTGGGTTTCTTGGCCCCCCGGCCCTGGATGTGAGGTTATCGACTGGATTCCAAGTGCTCCAAGGGCCCTGGCAGCGAACTGAGGCGCGAGTGGGAAGTCGCATCCGCAGCAGCCGCTGGCGCTGAGGACGCTTTCACTTCTACATGTGGCGCAGCTACACACTTTATGCGAGCACAGTTCAGCAGCATCAGAAGAGGGAGGGTGGCGAGGTTGAAGACGTCGTGGCGCACGAGTCGAACCGGGTCCACGGAAGGCAGCCCCTTCGCCTTGCGCGCCGCTGGCACCGCCTTGCCACGCCGCCACCCAAGCACCGCACCGGTGAACGACAGAGCAAGCGTGAGCACCGGGGCGGTGTTGCTGTAGAGAGAATGCATTCCCGGCGTCGCCACCGATTCCGCGCACAGCGCACAGAATACGCACGGTGGCCACGCCTGTATTCGCCGGCTTCCACTCTCGGCCCACCGCTCCGCGCTCCGCGGAGCCGCACAAGTCGTTTGAGGGGATCGCTACTTTACGTGGATTCGCCAAGTTTCGCCGAAAATTTCAGCTGTGAAGGACTGGGTGGGGGACCTTGGGTCGGAGGTGCCTTGAGCACTTGAGCAGTGCGGATAGGATCGATTCCGTATGGTACGGGACCCCTCGATCGTCTCGCCCTCCCTCGCTGAGAGTGGAGTGTGTTCATTGGGGGGGTCACATAAATAACAAACAGGTGCACGCTGCTGAAGTAGTGTCCTCCCCCCTCTCCATCGTCTCGCCCGCTGCGGCTGCGCTGCCCGGTCTCGCCGGTGCCCCGATGCCCGAACAACCCGCCGATGCACGAACGTCACCGCCTCTACTTTACGCGGTCGGTCGGAGAAACGAGAAGAGGAGAGCGTTGGGAACTAACCCTTGCAGACCCGTGTTTACTTTACGGCCCTTTCCCTGCGAACGCGCACCCCCGGGGCTAGGGCTCTCTAGCCCGTAACCCGACACCGATCATCCGGCTCGCTGGGTGCTTCTTAGCTCCCCGGCCCTGGATGTGAGGTGTTGAGCTTGAGGATGACTGCACGCCCCGTCCAAGTGCTCCAAGTGCGTTTGAGCGGCTCGGGAAGTCGTCTTAGTGTTCTCTCTCGAAAAGCTTCCTCTCGAAAAGACACTATGGGACGCTAGAGCTCCTCCTTCCTCCTCCTCCCCGCGCCACCGTGCTCGGCCTCCTCGACGTCCGGCGGCTCCCCTGCCTCAACCGCCCGCGCCCGCCGCACCTCCTCCGCCTCCCTCGACCTCCACTCGGACGGCGCCGGGTAGCGCTTCCGCCAGGCGGACGCGTGCGCCTGCCCAGCCTCCCAGCGCAGCTCCACCAGCGCGCAATTCTCAAACGCGTAGTGGCCGTCCTTGAAGCCGAAGTCGTCCACCGGCAGCCCGAGCGCCGTCTGCACGAGCACGCGGTTGAAGGCGCCGTGCGCGACGACGAGGCTCGTCGAGCCGCCCGGCGTCGCCGCGACCAACGCAGCCCACTCCTCGGCAGCCCGCCTACAGCTGTCGCCCACGCTCACGCCACTCGCGCCCGCGCTGGCACAGAGGCCGAGGCAGCCGCGCCGCTTGAGGTCAGTGAGCGGAGCGTGGCCGTCCTCCTCAAACGAGAAGCCGTCGGGGCGCGCCTTCCACTGCTCCCAGCGCGGATCGCTCTCGGCGAGGTCGCTGCGCAGCGAGCCCTCCCATACCGTCAGCTCGATCTCGCGCAGGCCCGGCCGCACCTCCGCCGCCGGAAGTGGCGCGCGCTGCGCCGACTCGATGCCCGCGAGCGTCTGCCGCGTCCTCCGCTTAGGCGAGACAAAGACGCGGTCGACGGCAAGCGCCTCTGAGGAGGCGTCGACCCACGCGCCTAGCTTCTCCGCCTGCTCGAGGCCTGTCTGCGTGAGCTCCGACTCCAGCCGGCCTTGTATCCGCCCCGCCGCGTTGTAGTTCGTCTCGCCGTGCCGGACGAGCAGCAGGCGGCACGAGGCCGGAGCGCTCGCCGCCGCGACCACCGCGCGGGTGAGCACGAGCGGGATGAGTGGTCGCATTTGTGTTTATGTCCCAGCAAGAACCCTCGCAGAGGACAGGCTGGGCAGGCACTACAAATGGCACAGCAGGGTTCCAACTTTTTCCGGGGTATGGTATGGTACCTCGCGGCTGAGTGTCTTGTGGTTCTGTGTGTCGCTCCTGTGTGACCGTCATCGCCCGTCTAGCGTCCACCCATACCGCGTTGGTGTCCCAGTCGTTGGTCGGACTGTGTTTCGCCTTCCCATCAATCAATCGCGGCCCAAAGGGGTAGGGGGTATGGTACTGCCCGCCCAAGACTAGCCCTACCATACCCCCAAGCAGGTCTGCCAGCAGGCGGGGGGGTATGGTCTTGAGTTGGCATGCGCGACCCTACCATACCATACCCCGGAGTGAGTGAGTGAGTATTCTTGATACGAAACCACGACGACACACACCAGTCGACTCGCATCGGTTGCCTCCATGAACGGCGGAGCTATTCTCGCGTCCACACCACACCTGGCTCCAACGTGGACACGCCCATAGCTGGGGACACTACTAGGTCACGCATGGCATCAGAAGTTTTATCTCTGGGCCCCGAAAGGCATCTCTAGCAGCGTCGTTACGCATGCGCCCTCCCCTCCTGGGCGCATACGCCTCACGTCTCGACAGAGCGTAAGCCCTTGGCGTGTGACGAGACGAGTTCTTCGCCATCGCAGCGAGCAGCACCCCACTCGCCGCAGCAGCCGGAGGCATTGCCGCAGCACTGTCTGCGCCGCAGTCCCGCACCCGTCGACGAAGCTCCCCCCGCGGAAGACCGCGCGTAGCGACGCCTTGACGATCGAGATGAGCGCGCTTTAAGCTCGCCCACCTACTGCCCCTGAGAGTTGGTTACCGAGTGGGATCAGCTCCCCCCCTTGGGATCGAAGCCGCCACACCTCGCACCCAACATCCCAGGCGGGATCAGAGAGAGACTCCGCACCGGACACCGCCCGGGCACAGACCCCCTACCCGTCGGACTACGCCTGGACCCCTCACAGAGCAGCCCACGCACAGGTCACGCATCGGCAGATTGGACACCTGGTTCAGGCGCGGACAGCACACACTGGTCACAGTTGCATAGCCCTGCCGGGGGGGACGAGTTCGCAAGGTTAATATTAAAGAATACAAAACACACACACACACACACGCGCGCGCGAGACGTGCAGACAGGGTTGCCAGGTGAGAGCGAATGGCGCGGTTCACGCCTCGCACGACAGAGAGAGAGATGCGCTCTGCATGAAAAATCTCTCTCGCTTCCGAGCTCTCACGCCGCGCGTAGGGCCCCTACCTAGGGGCCTAGAGAACACAACCCCCTCTCCCTTTTGTCCCAGTAAGCTAAAAGTACGTACATGTACATGTGCATGTGCATGTGACATGCACATGCACATGCACAGCGTCGTCTACTCTACAAAAAAGAATTGCTCCTACTCGAGTCAAAAGAATTCCGCGCCACACGCACTCTGCCGACAGCTCTTGCCCCCATGCCCTTCTCGTCCGCGCTCCTGCTCCTCTCCATCGTGGCTCACGGCTATTCGCACGCGCCAGGTCCGGTGCCGGGATCGCGGCCGTGCAGACGCGCCGTCCGGCCCTCCGCATCGGAGAGCGCCGGCGCCGGCGGGCTCTCGGAGGACGCCGTTGCCGCCAAGCTGCGCCGGCTGCGGGGGAGAGGGCGTGGGCGTGGCGCGCCTCGCCGCCCGGCGCCGCCCGCGCACTCGGCCTCGTCCGGAGCGGGCGCCAGCGGGCTGCCTGGAGCGCTCCCGGCGAGCGTGCCGGTGTGGGCGGTGCCCGAGTCGCTGCGGCTTCCCGGCGCGGCAGCCGTCGAGAGCCACGGGCGACACGTCTCCCTCGATGCGCTCTTCCCCGGCAGCGGGCTCGCCGACGCGTGGGACGAGCGCGCGAGCCTACGCACTGCCGTGCGGCAGGCGCTGCGGGACGACCTGATGGCTCCTCTGCTGCGCGGCGTGGGCGGGCCGAAGCGGGCGTGCGCTCTCTCGCTCGGCACGGCGTGCATGGTGTCGTGGAGCAACGCGCTCGCTGCGCACGCCGAGGGCAAGGTCGACTTTTCCCGCTTCACCGCCGCCTTTGCCGACCACGGGGTCCGGCTGAGCGGCGAGGCGTTTATTCGCTCGCTCGGCGAGTTGTGCGGGGCGACGCCGCACGGGTCGCTGATCGACATCATCCCGCTCGACCGGCGCGTGGCGCACAGCTGGCACCAGGACTCGGGCCTCCCGCGCGACACCGTCCTGCTCGGCTTCCCGCCGCGAGACGGCTACGAGGGCGGCGGAGTCTTTTCGCACTGCGTGCAGCTCAGCCACCCGCTGCGCCCCTCCGCCGGCGACGAGCACGGCGCGGTGGTCGAGTACGAACGGCTGAGCGACCCGCCGCCCGACCGCATTGACGACGCCTTTGTGCTGCGGCCGCTCTACTCAAAGGGGCGCGAAGTGTGGGTCAGCAACGACGCGCACCACCTGCACTCCACGCCCGACAGGCAGCTGAGAGAGGCGGTGTGGAGGTTCATGTGAGAGTATACACCATTTGACAAAACGGGGGGGGGCTCGCGCGCTGAGCTCGCGGGTCGCGCGTGCCGACACCCGCCCCTCCCGCGCGCGCGCCGTGGGCCCGTGCCGAGTGCCGCCCGCGCCGCGATCTGCGCCGAGCGCGTATGTGGGGTTTGGGGCCGGCTCTCTCCCTCCACTACACACAGGTTGCGCGGCTCTCCTACACGCAACACACGTCGATGCCGGTGAGCCGCTCGAAAGCAGTGATGTGCTCTTCGGCTGTCCCATTGAAGGCGGCGCGCTTCTCGATCTCGATAAGCGCCAGTTTAGTGCCGAGACCACCCATGCGTGCGTCACACCAGCGGGCCTAAATCAGAGCACAGTGGCTACCTTTGAGCTGGATGGAGCGCGCGGCTGCTCTGAGCGCAAGCGCCGAAACATGAACCACGAGTGGAAAAGCTCGCGGAGCAGATGCGGATCAATCTGCTTGTAGGCGCCGGCGCTGCCGTACATCGAATCGACCGCGTCGGTGAAGGTCTTGGCCAGAGTCATAGCGTCGTCGTTGGATGGAAATGAAAACGGCCCGGCATCGTCCATCGTAGACGGCGAGCGGGGCGAGCGCCCACGACGCTCTCGAAATGAGGCTGTTGGGGCCGGCCCCAAACTTCCGCTGGTTTTTTTTGGAAAAAGAATTTTAAGCACACTCGCTCGCACGACACTAGGCACGGGACTGGCGCGCACTGGCACTAACTAACACAGGTACCTGGGGGAAAGAATGCAATGATTTCAAAAGAAAGGGGGCGCCCGCCGCCCCCGGGTTTTTTCTTGGGTGTAGTTGTGAGTGGGTCCTGGATGGAATGGAGCGCGCAACCAGTGAGTGGAGAATTTCACGAGAACGCCTCCCTCGCACCTCGCACACTGACTGACTGACTGGGCACGGGACTGGCGCGCACTGGTGCTGACACAGACACGGCACAAACGGGGTACACGCGCCCAACTTCAAATCCGCCTCCGGGTGTGCGCGTAAGAGCCACATATGGGCGATACGAGACTTGTAACTGAACAACGGTAAAAGCAAAACAGGATGGGTGTCCCGGTCCTGCAAGTCCTACAACCCGCTCCTCGTGCCGGGCGGTCGCCCCTGCTGAATGTCTCTGTGGTTGTTCTGACCTAGGTACCCGCGAATGGCGCAGGACCTCGCGCTGCAGCAGTCACTCCTAGCCCAGGGGCAGTGGCAGGCCGTAGAGCTGTACGGCCTGTGCGTTCCCCGCTGCCCCAAGGTTGGGAAACCGGAGGCGATCAGCGACTACGGTTCAGACGAGGGCAGCACAGACGCCAAGGCGGCCGAGTGGCGCGTTCGCATCTCCACGGCGCAGGTATTCAACCGCTGCATCCCGCGAGTCGACAAGCGAAAGTCGAATTATGTTCGGTGCGCCTCTCCCTCCTGCACAGAGGTGTTCGGGCCGGAGTCGGAACGCTGCAACACAAACACGGTCGACATGGGTGATGCTGTCGTCGAATTCGGGAACCACACGTGGACAATCCAGACCAGCGAGGAGGCGTTTGAATGCGACCGCGAGGTGGACATGTCCGTGACGAGCATGGCCAAGCAGGCCAACTCGGGTCTCTTCCTCCCGCTCCTGCTCGACTACCTCTCCACAATCGAGGCGAGCTTGTGGAGATCGCGATGGGCTACTTGGCACCAGATCCTCGTCGACGTTACAACCCACCCTCCTGGCTGCAGGAGCTCATGCATGTGTTGCACAAGAATCGACGCCTCATCGCCATCTGGGGCTTCGCCGTGCCACTCCTCATCGCCATGGCTTTCCTCCTCTTCTTCCATCTGTTTGCTGGCGCCCAAATCTCTCTGCTCTGACTGCCGTCTCGGGGATAACTCACTTCCGTGTGCTCTAGATGTCGCCGTATACCTCGCTCTCGCCACCCTGCTTCTTGCGCTCGGCATGTCGACCGCGGTGTTTGCCTACAAGGGCGGCCTCTTTACCAGCATATCCCACCCGTGGCTCGAGAGCGCAGCGGAACGCACCTCCACGACGCTGGCACGGAGTGGCATCACGCTCCAGAGCACCTTCATGCAGAGGACTCTCGAGGTGGACGAGAGCGTGCAGGAGACGTGCCGAGTCTTGGCGTTCGTGAGCGGGGTGCTGATGCTGGTGGTCATCCTCTTCATCTCGCTCTCGTTCAAGCACATCAAGCGGACAACGGCGATGGTCTCGGAAGCCACCAGCGTCCTCCGCAATTCTCCAGGCCTCACATCGCCCGACCCCCGAACGACCATAACTGTATGCCGTAGCCATTTCTCCTCCTGCTGCAGGCATGGTGCTTGTTCCACTCGCCTCGTACCTCGCGCAGCTCGCGGTGCTCGCTGGCTGCGGCACTGTCCTGGCTTACATCTGGACCGACCCCACCCATTCATACGAGGCGACGCTGAGCTGGGCGGAGGAAGCGGCGCGGCGCCTCAATGGGACAGCAGGCATACACTTCCAGGTGGACTCGGCGATGCTCTCCTGGCTGCCCGTTTACGAATCGGGGTACGTTGCCTTTTGCGGTTTGTGGACGTATTTCTTTTGCGAGACGATCTCCACCACCGTCATCTCGGGCTGTGCCGTGTACTACTATTTCATCGACTCGGACACCGCCGGACATCGTGACGAGCGCTATGAGGACAACCAGACGAATCTGGTCACCCTCACGCAGCTGCGTCAGGTGTGCTCTTGCAACCTTGGCACGATGGCCTTTGGCTCCCTGATCCTCGCGCTAGTGGGGGCGAGGGGCTGCCGCTCTGGAGGCGGTCGCCCGCGTGCACGTGTGAGGGGAAGAGCGGTGGACCCTGTAGGCGCTCCGCTCCATGCTCGAGCTGGTCGATCGCGTCGCGCAGAAGGACTACGATGAGGTCAACTGCGTGCTGAGCTACACGCTCAAGTGCTGCAAGTGCTGCCTGCTCTGCTTTGAAAAGTCGATCAAGTTCCTCACTTCGTACGCGTACACCTTCGTCGTCCTCGAGAATCGCGGCTTCTGCTCTGCTTGCTTCATGTCGTACAACCTCCTCTCGGAGTACGCGGCCCAGGTCGCCATAAACCAGGTGGGTGGGGAGCCTCGGCCCCGCCCGACCGCTCCGACTCCGAGATGACAATCCCTATTGGCGCCACAGGTGGTGTGTATCGGCCTCTACTGGATCCAGATCACGGTGACGCCGGTCGTCTGCTTTGTGTGCTCCTACAACATCATGACTGATACAAACAACGACGGTGAGATCGACGCGAGCAGCAACTACGGTCCTCTCGTGGTCAGCGGTGCCATCGCCACCATCGCCTTCCTGCTGGCGCGCGCGTTTGCGGCCGTGTACGAGCAGACTGTGACGGCGCTAACGGTGTGCGTGCTGCACGACATCGACGAGTACGATCCGCCCTTCATCTCGCGCCGGCTGTACGAGGCCTTTGAGCTGGAGCCAGATTGGGAGGAGTTCCGCGCAAAGGGCCTCGGCCGGCAGCGCCGCCAGTACCGTGGGGAAGGGCTGGGCAAAGCGGATTTGGAACACGAGAATAGGGGGCCTGGGGACCAAGACAGGACGCCGGACCGCTGGTGGGCGGGCGTCGCAAGGAAGAAAGAGTCTGAGGCAGTGGGTGGCGACGCCGACGGGGAGTCGCGGTCGGAATATGAATCTGCCGGGAGTGCCCGGAGCGAAGCAGGAGGCGCCCGCGACGGTGTAAGGTAAGGTAAGGTAAGGTAAACGTCTCCACACACACAAAGTGGTGGGGCAAGGGGGGGCGACCCTCGCACCATCTCCACGCCCGGGACACGGGCAGGAGCCCCACGGTGTACAAGGAGAGAATGATGGCGTAATATAGCTACGGCTTTAATAAATAATAATAGACCGCACCGAGACGTATGTAATACTAGTGCCACACGGATCACACCAAAATGTTTCGCTTAAATTACGATCACCCTCCTCCCCCATCTGCTCATTATCTCCCCGATAAATGGAACACGCTATTTGACACACGATAGAAGCGAGCCGCAGGCCTGAGCCGACCCGTCTCAAAATTGCGGCGCAGCAAGCTACTGCGGGATGAGGGGCAGGGCCACGGCGGACTCCGAGGCGGACAACTCCTTTGGCGGCGCCATGCCAAGGAAGGGGTCGCGCCTGTGGCGATCCGACTTGATGGGGCTCTTGTCGACGTCGGCGGCCAGCAGCCACGAGTCAGTAATCCCACCTTCTTGCTCGAGCACCTGCCAAACGCGCGAGGAAGTTTTTCCTCGCGGTGGGTGGGTGGGCGGGCGGGCGGGGGGGGGGGGGGGGCAACGGAGCTCGAGGGGTGGTAACAGATGCGCTGTCGCAGCAGCAGCACGCGCGCTCTCTGTCAAGTCTCTCCCTCTCCCTCCCCCTCCCCCTCCCCCTCTCCCTCTCCTCTCCGTCTTCACCTGCCGCAGCCGACGCACAAAGGTCTTGTAGAAGCCCTTGAGCACGGAGAGCGAGAGCTCGGCGCGGCCGCGCAGCAGGTTGGCGAGGTCGTCGCGGTGGATGGTGAGCGTCCAAGCGTCCTCCTTGCCGACGGCGGTGTACTCCCAGTGCACGTCCGCGATCAGTCCGGTATTGCCCAGCGAGTCTCCCGCCGTCAGCTCGCGCAGCAGCACCGGGTCGCCGCCCCGGAGCGGCTTGCGCCAGAGCTCGAGCTTGCCGCACGCGACGATGATGAGCCCCGGCGTGGTGGGCTGGCCCTGCTCGCACACGATCTCGCCCGCGCTGACGCGCGCCTCGACGGCGATGTCGGCGAGGTACGGGATGAAGCGGCGGTGCACGTACCGCAGCAGCTTGACTTGCCGCATGAGCCACGCGCGCTCCTCGCGCGTGAAGGCGATGCGCGCCCGCTCGCGCGGCCGGTCGCCCTCGCCCTCCACCTCGGGGGCGACGAGCTCCGACTCGCCCGACACGTCCTCCCCAAAGTCTTCCTCGGGGCTCTCCTCCACCGCATCCAGGGAGCTCCGCTCGAGCGCCTCGCCGCCGTCGCCGCCAAAGCCGCCCGCCAGCTCGGTGAGCCGGGCGCGAGCCGCGGGGCTCTCCGGCGGCACACTGATGCGCACCTCGGCGGAGTCCCTCGCCGGAGGCAGCATCGGCGCACCCGCCGCGGGGGGGCTGACGGAGCGCGGCGCCTCGCCCATGACCGACGACTGGCGCATCGGCTGCTTGCCGCCCCCGTGCGAACGCGAGGGCGCGAATGTGACGAGGGCGCGGAGGAGGGAGAGGGCAAACTTGGGCGGCAGCCGCAGCATGAGGGACCAGACGTCGCCCGGCCGCAGCACCAGCAGCTTCGACGCCTCCTCCGCCCTGCACGGCAGCACCGGAAGCTTCTCGTCGATGCAGCCGAGCTCCTGGATCGTCTCGCCAGAGTGGTACACCTTGACGCCTCCGTCGGACCGCACGCGGCTCGCGGCGCCCTCCACGAGGAAGTAGGAGGCGCCCGCCCGCGTGAACTCGTCCCCCTCCGCCACCTCCACCTCCACCGCCCGCTGCCCGATCGCGGCGACGTGGAGGGTGAGCACGCCGCGGAAGACGCGCGAGGAGCGCAGCAGCAGCACGCGCTGCGCGAGCCCGGTGGTGGGCGGCGGCCCGATCGACTCGACAGCCTCCTCGGACGACTTTGCGCGGCGCGCGGCGCGCTCCTCGTCCAGAGGCCCCTCGTCCGAGATCGACCGCTTGATCGCCTTGGTCGGGTCGACCGACAAGAGCATCTCGCTGCCCGACGCCGTCGCGTGCGTCGAGCCGCGCTGCATCGAGCGGCGAGGGCCGACGCTGCCGCCAATCTGCGACTCGGGGACCTTGGTGCTGCTCTCGAAGGCGTCGGCGGCGGTGCTGCCGCCGAACTGGGAACCGACCGAGCCGTACTGGGACGCGGACGCCTCCACAGCGGCCACCGGGCTGGCGCTGCGCTGCGCCTGCCTTGTGCGCGCGCGCGCCTGGATGAGCTGGGCGGCGCCGCCGCGGCCCGTGGCCACCGAGAGCCAGCCGCAGAGCCCGCCCAAGTCTTGGCCGAGCGGGTCACCGCTCTCGCTAAAGTACTGGACAATCCACGGCTTGGAGGGGACGCCGCCCGGTGGCAGCCGCAGATCGCGCACCTGCGCAAGCGGGTTGGGTGGAGGGGGTGGGCTACGGGGCTGGAGACGTGGATGCCCGCGCGGCTGGACTGACAGCGTGACGGGGCTGCTGCGCAAGTGGCGCCGCCCGCGCCTGCGCGGCGAGCTTGAGCTTCTTGTCGAGCGCCACTGCGTCGTTCAGCAGCGGCATCACGAGCGAGGAGAGCTTTGGCGGCAGCGTCGTGTCGAGCACCTCGAGCGCGGCGGAGACCGCCTTGACGTCGTCGCTGCGGAGGGCCCGCCACGCGGCGTACACCTTTGAGGGCGCGATGCCGCCCCCCACCGGCGACGCCCACAGCATCGAGAGCTTGAAGAGGCGCAGCCGCTGCAGGTACAGCCGCTCGCGCCTGCGGGCGCGCCGTGGACGTGTCTCGGACATGCCCCCGGAGCGGCCGCCGCGGGTGCAGCGGCTCGCGCGTGTAGTCGACGGCGAGCTCGCGCAGCGCCGCGGCGGGCGCCGGGCCGGCGCGGTCGAGGTCGAGGCCGAGCGCGTCGGCGAGGTGCGACGACAGGTCGCGTGGCAACGGTGGCGGCGAGGGCGCCTGCAACCACTGCACCACCGCGAAACCGCGCAGCAAGTTTTTGGCCTGCGCGTGCACCTCGTCGTCGAGGGCGTCGTTGCGCGCGCCGGCGGGCCGGCGGCTCCACAAGTGGAGGAGCGCGTCCAGCAGCTCGTGCACTACCTACGTGCGCAGGGTGGCGGCGTGAAGGAGGCGCCGCGAGCGATCCGCCGCCGCGCCGGCGCAGCTCGTCCTCGGGGTCGTGCAGCGACGCCGAGAGCTCGAGCAAGCTCCCGGAGAGCGCGCCCGTGGTGTCGCACTCGAGCAGCAGCTCGCAGATCCCGCGCACGCGGATCGCGCCCGCGTACGAGGCGGACGGCGAGGTGGAGAGCCCAATCTCCGACTCGCGGCCGCCGCTGCTGCTTGTGCGCGCCTCGGAGATCACCTGCCGCAGCCGCTCCTCGGCGATCTGGAGGGCGAGCCCGCCGACGTAGTCGCCGCCGTGGGCGATGAGTCCGGCGAGCGCGACCTTGGCGCGGTGGCTGGTGTACGAGTCCTCGGCGCACGCGATTGCGGCCTGCAGCAGCTCCTCGAGCCGCGGCGAGTCGGCGAGGAAAGGGCGGAGCAGTGGCAGCGCGGCGCGGCGGACAGAGTGCGACTCGGCGTGCAGCAGCGTGAGCAGCGACTCGGTCGGCAGAATCTCCTCCGGCAGCGCGCGCAGCATGTTGATCCCGACGCGCTGGTCCGCCTCGCGGGCGCCAAAGCCACCGTCGGGCGGGCTGGCGCCGCCGGCGGTCGCGAGGGCGTCGTGCGGGCTGGCGGCGGCGGCGGCACGCGCGGCGGCGAGCCGCCCCTTGAGCCGCGTCAGCCGCAGGGCGATCGCCATGGCGGGGCCGGGCTCGCGCGCGGCGAGCTCCTCCCACTCCGCCGTGAGCTGCGCCACCTCCAGCTCGAGCGCCTCGGCCTTCTCGGCCGGCTTGGCCTTTTTCGGCGTGCGGTGGAGCGACGCCTCCTTGTGCGAGGCCTGGCGCGACGCAAGCTTCGGCAGCGAGAGTAGCTCCTCGTCCCCGAGCGAGACGCCGCACAGCTGCTCGAGCACGGAGATGGCCGTCGTCGTGAGCGAGCCGAGGCCGACGCCCCAGCCGAGCCGCAGCAGCGCCGCGGCCGCCGCGCCGCGAAGGCTCGCCTTGCGCGACTCGAGCAGGCGCGCGAGCAGCGGCTTCGCGTCCATCAAGCGGCGCGTCCCCGTGGCGAGGATCGCGTACGCCGTGGCGCGCTCGGTCTGGTACTTGTCGGCCACCTACCGGACGCGCGCCTCGTGGCCGTGTCCTGGACACGGCTCGGTGGTTGCTCGGTTCCTTGGCGGCCACCTCGGCGCGGGTGAGGCCAGCGCCGCGGGCGGGCGGGCTCTCCTCATAGTCGAGGCGGTGCCGCACAAAGTCGAGCAGCCTCCGGTGCGAGAAGCGCGCGGGCGCCTTTTCGCACAGCCGGATCACCTCAACCTGAACCTCTGGCGCGAGCGACTCGAAGCCGGTGAGCGGGCTCTCGAGGAAGGTGCGCCACGCAGCGTCGGGCAGCCGCTCGCCCATCCCGCGCAGGATGTAGAGCTGCACCTGCGGGGCGTGCCGCGGACGCGTCGCGCACGCGCCCCCCCCTCCCCCCCCCTCCCCCCCCGGGACAGAGCTGCGCCTGCGGCGGCGCGCTCTGCAGCTTCTCGAGCACCATGGCCGCCATCACCGGGTCGATCTCGATCGTGCCCTCAAAGTCGACGAGCCCCGACGAGCCGTACTGCCTCGCGCGGTCGGCGTCCTCATCGAGGACCAGCTCGCGCCGGTCGATCTGCGCCCACATGGCCGCGTGGTACATGCGGCCGGACGAGGCGCAGACGACGGACGACGCGGCCGCGACGGCCGCAGAGAGGAGCGCGAGTGCGCGCAGCTTGTGGTCGCCGACGAGTATGACGGAGACGACGCCGATGCAGAAGGCGGTGCACGAGCCGGTCATCTTCTTGACGGTGCCCTCGATGATCGGCTTGGCGCGCACCTGCATCTCGCGCGGCGTGGCGATCCACAGCAGCGACTTGGTCGAGTTGTTGATCGACCAGCGCAGAGTCAGGTCGACGAGCCGGCCGAGGAACGCGGCCCACACTAGCGGCACCTGCGCGCGGGGAAGAGAGGGGAGGGTCGGCGAGGGGAGGGCGCGCACGCCTCGGCGGCGCCGCGTGCTCGAGAAGACGGAGACCGGGCGCCGGTTGAGGCCGGGATCGAGCACTCTCAAAAGCGGGCAGGCCTCCGGTCTCCGGTCGCGAGATGCGGGGCGCCGAGTTCCGCATCTAGGGAGGGGATCCGCGGCGAAGGCGAGGGCCGAGACGCAGAGCGAGACGGGGCAGATGAGCAGCGTGGTGGTGATGCCGAGCGCGCGCATCATCGGCGAGTTGAAGACGTTGAGCACCGACGCAGAGAAGCCGGCGGCCGCGTAGAGCTGGCCGGTCATCGCGACCATCTCGTCTGTGGACAGCACGCTCGCGAGGAGGACGTTGTACTGGTACTCGACGATCGTCTTGCAGAAGATGATGCCGAACGTGTTGATCGCGAGCGCGACGATCATCGGCGAGCGGTAGATCGGCTGCTGCGCCGCCCGCTGCGAGTCGTCCGCCTTTTGCGGGCCGGCCGGAGAGGTCGTCGGCGCCGCACTCGCGTCCTGCACCTCCTTCTTCTTGCCCTCGCGGCCCTCGTCAAAGTCCTCGTACCACCACGCCATGTGGTTGGGCCAGAGCGACGCCAGCAGCAGCAGCACCTGCACGAAGAGCAGCGCCGTCGAGCCGAAGGTCCTCACGAGCGGCGCGATCGCGAGGCCAGCCGTCATCGCGCCGGTCGAGCAGCCGAGCTGGATCAGCCCGAGCAGCCGCTTGGCGGCGTGGCCGGTGAGGGAGCCCTGGGCGAGGGAGGAGGACTGCATCATCAGCAGCATCGGCAGCAGGTCCTCCGCGAGGAAGAGCATGTACGCGGCCGCGATCCCCAGTGCCGACCCCGGCGTGCTCATGGCAATCGGCAGCGGTAGCAGCAGCAGCAGCGCGGCCGACAAGAGGCAGAACTCGTAGTTGACCTTTGCCGCGCGCTTGCCCTTGGACCACTTTGCAAAAACGGGGCCGATCCCGATGACCGAGAAGCCCGAGATGAACATCACGATGGGAAGCTGCGCCGCCCCAGCCTTGGCGATGAACATGGCCGGCCCGATGTTGCGGCCAATGGTGAAGACCGCGTTGGCAAGGTGCGCCTGCAGGCCGAGCCAGACGCACGCGCGCGCCTCCTCCTCCGACTCGACGCCCAGGCTCGCGCCGAGCGCCTCCACGTACTCCTGCACGATCCCCAGCACCCGCCGTGCCCCGCCGATTGCACCCGAACCAATGCCAAAGCCGACGCCGCCCGAGCCGGAAGCGCCAGCCGGCGTAGCCGGCGTCGGAGACGCGACGGGGAGGAGCGGCTCCGCGAGATTCATCGCGGGGCACGAGTTGTGTTGAAGAGCCGACAGGCGGCCGAAAACGCGATGGACGCCTGGGTTCCGGCCCTAGCCAGATAGGGGGTCGGCCCGGCCGCCCCCTAGTCTTGCGAGGGGTGGCTGCTAACCTCGCGTGGGTAGGAGGTGCTCTGCGAACTGCCTCGCGCGAGGGGCGTGTGGCATCTCTCGCGAGTCTTGGAATAGTCTTCCCTGACCCCGCCCCCGCCGGCCCGCCTGCCCTGCCCGCCTGGCCGACAAGATCTCTTCACCTTCTCATTGGTTGAGTATAGGTACGAGAGGGGTGTGGCATCTCTTGCGGGTCTTGCCAGGGGCGCCTACTAACCTCGCTTGCGCGGGGCGTGTGGCATGTCTGAACGGACTCGTGAGGGGCGCCTGCCTACCTCGCTTCGTCGAAGCGGCGCTTCATACCCACACCCACCCCGCCGCATTCGTCGCCGGCGCGCGACACGTTCCCGTCGGCCGGACTGTCCTCGCCGAGTGCGTGCCGCTGAGGCGGGGGACGCACTCAGGGACAGTGCCGGCGGGACGCGGCTCGAGAGGCGGCTCCCGCGGAGGCACGGCTGGCACCCGTGGCGCGGGGCTCGTCTTCGGAAAGACCAGGATCGCTCTACTGGCAAACTTCTGGCTGACACGCGCGCCCGGTCGAGCCTTCGGCGGGCGCGCTGCGGTCGCACGCCTACCCAAGTCATATGCCACGGCGTGCGATCTAGATTCAGCACACGCGCCTCTGCTCGCAACCACTCATCCAATGAACTGTCGTCACCCATGAGTGCGAGTTAGGGCTAGCGGCTGGCCAATAGCCTGTGAGGAGGGCGTCCATAGACACCTCACAAGACCCCACACACGGTCTCGTCCGTGCCTTGCGGCCGGCGACGAGATTGCTAGAGGCGGAGCAAGCGTGCTCTAGCCTCACACGTTCGCCCCTGTCGCCTGTCTGTGTTGTTGTGCTGTTGTTTGTCTCTTGGCACCTTGGAGTGCTGGGGGGGGCGACAGGGGGGACGTGGCCTGAGTGATGTGTACGCCCACTCAGGATGTGTGGCAGCCCGCTGGCTGTGTGTCTTGTGAGCTTGTTTGTGTCTGTGTGTCGCTCGTGCGTGTCGTCATCATCTGTCCAGCGTCCACCCATACCGCGTTGGTGTCCAGTCCGAGCCTGGCTGTTCTTCACCTTCCTACATACATACATACATGACTCGCGCCAAAACGCCCTACCTACCTACCTACCCCCAGGCCGCGCAGCGAAGCGAAAAAAGACGAATATAGGGGGTACCTACCTGAAGCGGAGACGGACGCCAGTGGAGCGCTTCCCCGCGGGGGCTGCTGAGGGAAAGAAGCCGGCCGGACGGGACAGCAAGAAGCCAGCAGCCGCGTCAAAGCCTAAGGGCAAGAAGGGCAAGGTGGGGGACAAGGCGGTGCAGCCTCAGATCAACCTGCGGACCGGCAAGCCATACGTGCGGGGGGGGCCCTACACCAAGAAGTCGGACACGATCCACGGGCTCAAGGCTGGGGCCAGGAACTCGAACCTGAAGGAGAAGACGACGGCGCAGGCCGCCAACGTGACAGTGGAGGAGCTTGCTACGGAGAGGGCCGATGCAATGCTGGTCGAAATGCAAAAGGAAAAACTCGAGAAGCAGCTGGCGGACGCCAAGGCGGCGCTCACAAAGCTCAAGAGCGAACAGGAGGAGGCCGAGAGGGAGTACCAGTCCAGGATGTTGCAGGCCGCGAAGGAGACCGCCGAGCAGCTCCGGGCCGAGTTCCAGCGCGGACTCGAGATGGGCGCAAGGCTCGTGTCGGGCGGGATTACTGCTGCCTTCCCCGCCCCACACTAGGTGAAGGAGGCGAGGCGGCACTAGATGGCGATGGGCGGTGAGGACAGGAACTGGACAGAAAGAGAAGCGGCGAGGACTTGCCCGCCGAGCAGAACAACACCGCGCCCCTCCCTCGCTCGCCCCACCGCTCTCCGCGCGCCGCGAATGGCGCAGCAGCGCTATTCGCGGCGACGACTCGGCGCTTGTCCGGCGCCGTGACCTTGGTATGCGTGTGTGAGAGATGTCTAACATGTTTTTATGACATCTGGGGTCGCACGGGGTCGATTGTTGCTCACGCGGCTCCCCGAACGGCCGTTCCGTCCCGCCGACCCCCGAACGGCGAACCGCGCGTTTCAGCAGCGGCGCCAGTTCGACCGTGCCACGCCACTGTCGGACCGTGGCGACTTCGGCGCGGCTTTTTGGGCTCAGGCCGGTCAGAATACACCACTAGCAGGTGCTAGGTACCCTCACAGCCCCTCGCTAGGCTCAGGGGGCGCCGCGAGGCGGCCGAGACGCAATTCGCAGCATATAGTCAGACGGAACCTGTTGCAGGGCCCTCTGGGGCGGTCAAAACCGGACCTACCTACCTATTGCATAAGTAGGGTGTCACCGTGGGGAACAGACCCCCTATCTGGCTAGGAGCCGGAACCCTGTGGTGGACGTCGTGCGTGAAACCTCGAGAGTAGTTTGCAACTTCACAATCCCCACACTATCTTCCGGCTCCTAGCCGGATAGGGCATAGGGGGTCTGTCGACACTGAGTTGCGCCAAAACGCCCTACCTACCTACCTACCTATTGCGGGCGCCAACCGCCAGGCTCCGTGCCCCACCTACCTACCTATTGCGGGGCCGCGCAGCGAAGCGGAAAATACCCGTTTAGCCCTCTGTGAATAGGCTCCGCGGGCGCCGCCGCCGCACCCGTCTCGGCTGGCGTCCCAGCCGCAGGCGACTCGTCTGGCATGGCCCGTTCGCGGCTAGCCGTCTCCCGCGCGAGCGAAGCGCTTTTTTTTCAATGTATGTGGCTCTTACGTACATTCCCGGAGGAGGACTGCTGACAGGGTTTGCGATGAGGAGTGACCCGAAGGGTTTCTCGGGGTTAGTGCACCACTAACCGCCTCTGCAAGAGCCACTGCGACGGATCGGGCTCATACTAGCACCCACCTCGCGAGCCGACGTTCTGGCTCAACGAGGCTGCTGCTGGCACTCGGGGCCGACTTTCTGGCCCAGCGAGGCCGCTGCGGGGCACACGGCGGCACGGGTCACTCCTCAACACAAACCCCGACAAGTGTTAGAGTTGTTTGGTATTGCTAAAAATCTCTCTCTCTCTCAAACCCCGTCGAAGCAGCAGGAAGTATGGAAAGGCGGCGCTTTTTAAACCCCTCCCCCCAACACCCCCACCCCCACCCCACCACCACCAACCACCTACCTACCTATTGCGGGGCGCTCTGGGGCGGTCAAAACCGGACCTACCTACCTATTTCATAGGGGCCAGCCAGAATCAGACCCCCTATCTGGGTTGGAGCGGAACCCAGTCGTTTGTATATGGCCGGCCTGCTGCTTGTGGCTCGCAAGTGCTTCGCCTCGCTGCGCTTTTGGCTTCTCGGCCGCTGCGTGAGCGGGAGGCGCTCGATCCTGAGCACGCTGCTGCAGTCGCGCCGCCGCACAAGCAGGATCTTTGTGCTGAGCTCTAGCGGCGAGGAGATGCGCCGCTCCTTCATCGCTGCGTGGGCCTTTGCCTCGGGCGGCGAGGAGTGGCTCGCCTCGACCGCGCAGGTGGTGGACGGCTGCTCGTGCGTGCTCCCTCACGCCGAGCACGCCCTCCACCTCTCCTCCGTCGCGCTCGGCGCCGCGGGCGTCGCCCGGCTGAGGAGAGAGCTCGACCGCGCGCCTCGCTCGCGGCTGCTGCTGCTGGTGGATGTGGGGCGGCACGACGCGCCCTCCGCCCGCGACCTGACGATGCTCGGCTGGGCGTGGCGGCACGCCTTCCCCGCCCTCCCCGTCGAGGTGTCGCTCCGCCCGCGCCTCTCTCCTCCCTCGCCCCGCCGCTCCTCCCCGACCTGCCTGCTCGGCCCTGTGCAGGTGGTGCAGCACATCGGCAGGATGCTGGCGCCCGGCGAGCTGCGCGACGAGCACCGCGTCTTCATCGACCTGATACGCTCGCTGGCGGCGGACGGCGCCACCTCGCCCCTCTACGTCGTCCTGTGCTACCGTGACGCCGCTTTCGAGGGCGGCGGCTACCGGCCAGCTTCGTGGCATGGCACCCCAGGGAGTCGCCACAGGCCGCCTCAGTTGTACCTGCCGCCGAACAACATCGCTGCCGGCGGCGGCGAGCGGTCTCCGCGGTCGGCGGCGTTGCTGCTCAACCGCGTGCGGCGCCGCTTCGAGGAGTGCGCCGAGGCGGAGTGCGACGCGCTCCTCGCCGAGGGAGTCGCGTCGGCGCAGAGGGCGGGAGGCACCCTTGTCGCGACGGCGGCGCCCCGCTCTCGGATGGTGATCTTTGCGCCGAGCCTGGTGCGGAGGGCGGGGAGGCGCGGGCTCGACGCCTTCTTCAGCGCGCTCTCGTACCAGCTGCTCACCGCGTCCTAGCTGCTCACCGCGTCCTAGCGTACGGTTGGTTGGCCGTCGAAACAGCGCTCACGCCTCGCCACGGCGCAGCGGGGATGTCCCGGGCGGTGGAGAAGAAGCGGAGGAGTACGCCGGAAGGGGGCGCGGGTGCGGTGTGCAGCTCGTCGCCGAGCTCGCTTTCCGCCGCGCGTCGAGTTTGATTTAGCACATGCACATGTACATGTTATGATGTATTTAAAACGCGGATCGCGGAGGTAGAGGAGAGAGAGCGCGCGTCGACGTCAAGACACAGGAGAAACCTCACATCCCGCCGGCGCGCGCGACATCTGGGCGCGCGCGCTGCGCGGGGCGGCCAATATACGCTACAGTGTTGTATGAGAGCCAGGAGAGGAGCAGGCTCGAGGGCAAGAGTGCAAGGTACCGCGCGGCGCCGTACCGGAGCCTCGCGCGGCCCTCCGCCCGAGCACGAGCCCGCTGAGTGACACGGGGTGTGTGGTGCAAGCTGCTGCGGCGGACATCAGTAGAGCGCGAACTCCTTGCCGGGGACGGGCACCTTGGCCAGCTCGGCGCGCATCGTGTCGATGGTCGCCTTGTAGTCCTCGGTGTTGAAGATGGCGGAGCCGGCGACGAAGTTGTCCGCGCCAGCCTCGGCAACCTCCTTGATGTTTGCCGGGCCGACGCCGCCGTCAATCTCGAGCGAGATGTCGAAGCCCGACTCGTCGATCATCTTGCGCGCCTCGCGCAGCTTGTCGAGCGTGCCCGGGATGAACTTCTGGCCGCCGAAGCCCGGGTTGACAGACATGAGCAGCACGATGTCGACCTTTGGCGGCAAGGACGAGGGGCGGCGGTGAGGCGGCGCCGGGCAGCGCGGTGCGGATGGATAGCCGAGTGCGGCGGGGAGTGGGTGGGTGGAGCGGGTGGCGGCTCGACCTTGTCCATCACGTACTTGAGGACGTCGAGCGAGGTGGCCGGGTTGAAGACGAGGCCGGACTTGCAGCCGGCGGCGCGCACGAGCTGCAGCGACCGGTCGACGTGCTCCGTCGCCTCCGGGTGGAAGGTGATGAAGGAGGCGCCCGCGTCCGCGAACTCGCCGATGATCTTGTCGACCGGCGAAACCATCAGGTGGACGTCAATCGGCGCCTCAATGCCGTACTTGCGCAGGGCGCTGCACACCATCGGGCCGATGGTCAGGTTGGGCACGTAGTGGTTGTCCATCACGTCGAAGTGGACCGTGTCGGCGCCAGCAGCAAGCACATTCTCAACCTCCTGCGGGTCGCGCCGAGGTACGCGGTGGAAGAAAGAGCCCGAGGCGTGTGAATTTCAGGGCCGGCTGCTGCGGTGGAGGTGCGGTGCAGCGTCGGAGCTGGCGAGAGCAATCTCGCGCCTCTCCGAGGCGAGCAAAGTCAGCCGAGAGGATGGAGGGCGCGATGGTGTACTTCGACGCCATCCGGACGCCGGAGCGCGGCGCCACGGGGGCGGCGGCCCGGCCGCCGAGCGTGAGCCCAGTCGTCGCCGCGAAGGAAGCGAGCATCGACAAAGATCGCTCTCGGTTAGGCAACAAAGAATTCTTCGCCCAGGACAGCAGCGACAAACCCAAAGTGCGAGCGGATGGCGACGAAGATGTCGGAGAACCGGGGCCCTGTTAGCTCACCAAAACCTGTCATTGCCATCATCTGCAGATCAGCCGCGTAGTCTGGATCAAGGCATGCCCAACCCTCCTGCATCAGCTTGTCGTCTAGGGCAAAGCGCGCCTTCCGTTCTCTGAAGACAGCGTCTTCGCAACAGTCTCGCAAACCCCCCAAAATTGAAGTCGACCGCCCAAAGCTGCCCCCCCCCCGCAAACTTTAAACCTCCATAAACATCATTTTGCCAGGGCTCCAGGCCCCAAATGACGTGTGAGTGTTAGAGTTGTTTGGTATTGCTAAAAATCTCTCTCTCTCTCTCGGAATAACGAAAAAAAACTCACTAAGCGCCGCTACAGGTATTTTCGGGTTTTACCCGGGTTTTTTGGCATTTCGTCTGCTTGCTGACCACTGAACAACAGTGTAACAACAGTAACAAACAGTAACAGCTTGGGCTGGGGAGAACACTTGAACAACGTTGAGGATCTCAGCCAACAATAGTGCAACTGTTAGGCCCAAGGCAAAGTTACGGCTCTAACGTTTTGACATATCATACAACCCTAATTTCTTACGTCTCTCTTTCTTTATGGCACACCGCGCTCCGCGGGGGCTTGCAAACATCATTTTCACACATCATGCCGCATGTGTGCTCTTCCTCCCTCGGTAGGTCACCCGCAGGTGGCGGCTCCACGGCCGCGCGTCCTCATCCGCCGGTGGCAGCCTCGTCCTCCCCGCTCGGACGTCGCGCGCGGCCGCCGCCGCGATCGAGGCGGCGGAGGCGGCAAAGTAGGCGTGCGCGGCCAGGAACTGCTCGTCGCCCTTGAGCGAGTGCACGTAGATGGTCTGCCGGTCCCATGGCGGCGCCGAGTGCGGGCAGCCGGCCGCGCGGAACGGCTCGACAAGGAGCGAGCCGTCGGCGCAGCGCGGGTGCGTGGTGTAGCGGCCGAGCGTCCAGCGGCAGGGCGAGCAGCGCGAGCCGCAGGCGTACGCGTTGCTGCCGCGCCGGCCGCGGTGCAGGAAGGCGCGCACCTGGCGAGGCGAGGCGAGGCGGGAGCGAGTGAGGCGAGGCGAGGCGGGGGCGAGGCGAGGCGAGGCGAGGCGAGGCGACGTGGGCGTGGTGCGGGGCAAGGGCGGGCGGCGCCTGCATGTCCTCCCCGAACGGCAAGCCCCGCGGCAGTGAGGTCGGCGGACGGAGCCACTCGGCGGCGCTCGACGCGCCCCTCCCGAGCGCACCGCCGAGCCACCGCACCACGTCGCCCGACAGCGCGTACAGCGGGCCGCAGAAGGCCCACTCGGGCGCCGCCGCGCCGCCGTCGTCTACAAAGCCAGAGAAGGCGGCGAGGGCGGCGCGCGCGGCGAGGAGGGCGGCGGGAGACACGACCGCCTTGGTGCCGCGGGTGGTGCCGTTCGGCAGCAGCGGCGCCACGCGCCGGCGCAGCGTCGGCCAGGGCCAGTGGGCGCCAAAGTAGCCGTCGGCCGGCTCGAGCAGCGAGAGCTCTCTCCACAGGTTGGCGACGACGACGTACGAGTCCGCGTCCGCCTTGACGACCCAGGAGTAGCGCCGTGGCATCCGCTCCGCCACCAACAGGAAGTAGTCGAGGTTCTTGCCGCTCTCCTTATTCTCCCGAGTCCCATTCAGCAGCAGGAGGTCGCCGTGCGCCGCCTGCTCCGCCAGCACCGTGACGCCCGCACCAGCACCCACCACAAAGCGCGCGTCGACCGCGCCCGGCGGCAGCGAGTCGAAGCTGCGGAAAATTGTGCGCCGGATGAGCGCTCGGCGCTTGGTCATCGCCGCGGTGACAAAGATGCCGAGTAGGACCGGCTTTCCCGAAGCGCGGCCGTGCGCAGCCGCTGGTGCGCTCATGGCCTTGCCGGGATCTCGAGCGGTGCGCGAAGTAGCTTTTCGGAGCGGGCGTTGAGCGAGGGAGCGAAACACGATGGTCAGAAGCGTCGGTCGGCGCGAGCGAAAAAAAAATCGCACGCGCCGAAAAAAAAATCGCCAGGAACACGGGTGAAGAAACAAAGAAAGGACTAAGAGGAGTCATGCGGCAGGTGTCAACCACATGCCAGGTGGCGCAGGGGCAGGGCTGACAAGCCGTTGTCGCGCTTTCACATACCAAAAGAGAGTTGCCTGATCGGATCAGGGTTCGCGACACAGCGCTCCCATCTCAACTTATCCCCAACGACTTTGGCGCCATCAGCGGCCAGGCGGTCGCCACGTAGCCGCTCGCGGACGTACAGGCGAGCACCGCGGCCGCGTAGAGCAGCCCCAGGCCCCACGGCTGCAGCGCCGTCAGTTTGCCAGGGCACGCCAGGAGTAGCAACAGCAGTGCGACCATCTGCGTCGCCGTCTTCAGCTTGCCCCACCAGCCGACAGCGACGGCTGCGCTGTGACCGCGCGCGCCCATCCATTCGCGCAGTGCTGAGATCGTCACTTCGCGGCACACGATCACCGCTGTCGGGACCGCGACGGCGGCACCGAGCGCGCCTGCAAGCAGCACCAGGCACGAGCAGACGAGCAGCTTGTCCGCGACCGGGTCGAGAAAGGCGCCGAGGTCGGAGTGGACGGCCCATCGCCTCGCCAGGTACCCGTCGAGAAAGTCGGTCGCGGCACAGGCGGTAAAGATGGACGCCGGGAGCCACGGTGATGAGCGGCGGTTGTAAAAGGTGGCGACGAGCACGGGAATGGCAGCCACACGCGCGGCTGTCAGGGCGTTGGGAACCCCGTCGCGCCAGCTCGCCGCGCCTGCCTCCAGCGTGGGACCAAGGATGCGCGGCGACGGCGCCAGCGCCGGGAATGCTAGCGAGTTGAGACGCATTATCAGGGTGGGCACGGGCGAGGGAGCGACAGAGGGGCGGGTCGTGGGAGCCAGCTTAACAAACGACCAGGGTTCCAACTTTTCCGGGGCATGGTATGGTGCCCAGGGCCCAAGGGGGGGGGGTATGGTCCTGACCGCCAAGGCTAGCCCTACCATACCCCAAGCAGGTCTTCCAAGAGGCGGGGGGGGTATGGTCTCGAGGTGGGTTGGCCGAGCCTACCATACCATGGTCCATGCCCCGGAAAAAGTTGGAACCCAGCACGTTTTTTCAGTGTACGTACTTTTAGCTTACTGGGAGAAAAGGGAGAGGGGGCTGTGTTCTCTAGGCCCCTAAGGGCCCTACGCGCGGCGTGAGAGCTCGGAAGCGAGCTTTGCACGGCGATCGAGGATGGCGCGGTTCACCCCCTTCACCGAAGCGATGGAGATGCGTTCCGCGTGGTGTGACACAAATGAGAAGCGGGAGTGGGGAGGTTACGACGTTTTTTTTCTTCCCCGCCCCCCTAGGTCACGCATGGCATCAGAAGTTTTATCTCTGGGCCCCGAAAGGCATCTCTAGCAGCGTTACGCATGCCCCCTCCCTCCTGGGCGCATGCGCCTCACGTCTCGCCAGAGCATAAGCCCTTGGTGTGCGACGAGACGAGTTTTTCGCCATCGCCGCGAGCAGCAAGCCGCCCGCCGCAAACAGCCGGAGGCATCGCCACGGCACTGACTGCGCCGCGATCCCGCACCCGTCGACGAAGCTCCCCCCGCGGAAGACCGCGCGCAGCGACGCCTTGACGATCGAGATGAGCACGCCTGAGGCTCGCCCACCTACTGCCCCTGAGAGTTGGTTACGAGTGGGATCAGCTCCCCCCCTTGGGATCACAGCTTCCACGACCTCACACCCAACATCACAGGCGGGATCAGAAGGAGACTCCACACCGGACACCGCCCGGGCACAGACTCCTACCCGTCGGATTGCACAGGGCCCCCTCGGAGCAGCCCACACACAATCACGCATCGGCAGAATTAAGTGCCTGAGTCAGACAGACAGCACAGACAAGGAGAGGAGAGAGAGGAGAGAGGAGAGAGAGAGAGAGGAGAGGGGAGAGGGTGAGGGTGTGTGCACACGTGAGGAGCGGGGAGGGTGTCTGTGGTGGGCTGTAGGCATACTACGTGGTTAAAACCACGCGCCCCTCAGGAGCTTAAGGTAGAGTGGAGCGTCCCAGACGCCTCGGTGCTCCACCCACCGGCGTGAAGACCATCCGGATCAGCCCAGTACGCCCTCCGGGCGAACGGTCCCCGCGATGGCCCAAGGTCCTCCGTCGCCTGTGGTTGAACCCCCTGCCTCCCGGTTGAACCCCCAGTCCTCGTACTGTCGTACTCGACCATTAAATAAACTCAAAGGTCCACCACAGCCTCCAGCCTCCACCTCCACCGTCGAGCCGCGATCGCTGCCGCCCGCGACGCCGCCCGCCGCGTCAGATGCTCGCGACGCGCGTCGAGCCGAGTCGCAGAGCCGCGCCGCACCAGCAGCAACATTAGCACCAGCAGCACCAGCAGCACCACCACCACCAGCAGCACCAGAGAGAGGCGCGCACCTGCCCGACGCCGCCCGCCGCGTCAGATGCTCGCGACGCGCGTCGAGCCGAGTCGCAGAGCCGCGCCGCACCAGCAGCAACATCAGCACCAGCAGCACCAGCAGCACCACCACCACCAGCAGCACCAGAGAGAGGCGCGCACCTGCCCGACGCCGCCCGCCGCGTCAGATGCTCGCGACGCGCGTCGAGCCGAGTCGCAGAGCCGCGCCGCGCCAGCAGCAGCATCTGCACCAGCAGCAGCACCATCACCACCACCACCACCAACCACCAGAGAGAGGCAGTGCAGGGTGACATGGGCGCAGAAGCGCTCGCAGAGCAGCGCGCAGCGCCGCGCACGCCACGCCGCGGGTGGTCGGACGAGCGCGGTGTCGTCGCCGGCGAGCCGCGGCGCCAGCCGTCGCGCGAGAGAGCGGCGCCCGGCGTGCTGGGACTCAGCTTTCTCTTCCCCCACCCGGGTGCTTCGGAGTGGTTGCACTAGCTTGGGGGCGCGGGCGTGGCGCCCGCAGTCCTCATGGCGCTCTGTCTCAGTGTATGGTTCACCACGCACGTCTTAAGTGTCGGCGGCGCCCACAGCAGCCGATTTTGCCATTGCGCTCACAGCGGCGGCGGCGGCGGCGGCGGCGGCGGCAGAAGCAGCAGCAGTGCACGCAAAAGCAGCGCATGGGCGAGGTTGGCGTTTGGCCCGCGCATGCAGCAGCCACTATGGGAGACTATCGACGCCCCACGGCCACCATCGGAGGCAGTCACGGTGCTGTACGGCCGCGAGGACGGCAAGCTCAAGGGCGTCGATGAGGCGCTCCTTCTCGATCCGCCCGTCGCGCTGGTCGACCCGCACTTCCGGCTGCGTGAGCGCGATCACGAACCGACGCTGCGCCACATCCGCGCGGAGAATGCGTACGCGGATTCTGTCCTCGAGGCGATGCCCGGTTTTTCTACAACGCGCGAGGGGATCTTTGCGCGTCTGCGGGCCTCAATGCCGCCGCCCTCGCCGCTGCTCTGGTGGCGCGGCGCCGACGCTGGCGGGTGGGAGTACTCGACACGGCCGTCGCCAGCAGGCCCGCACCCGCTCTATCTGCGCCGCCGTGCCAACGCCGCCGCCGTTGAGCTGATCCTTGACGCCAACGCGGCGCCCGCGCGCCTGCCGTCTGCTCACGACCCACGGATGAGCTACCTCGGGTCTGTCAAGGGCGTCTCGGCCTTCGTGCCCTCGCCGAGCGGCCGTTACGCGGCGTACACTGTGGACGTGACGGGCGAGGAGCGGTTTGGGCTCATGGTGGTCGAGCTCGCGCCGGTGCCCTTCTTGGAAGGTGCTGGTGGTGAGTCGGAGCGGCCGTCTGAGATGGTGGCGCACGTGGCGGACGTCGACGTGGACGTTGCGTGGGGATCTGACGACAGCGAGCTCTACTACGCGAGCATGGACGAGACCGGCCGTCCGTGGCGGCTGCACCGGCTACGCCTTCCGTCGGCGACACGCGCAGATAGGAAGGAGGAGGTGTTGGAGGAGCGAGCGGCGTCGGTGGCGTCGGCGGCGGGTGGGTTTGGTGGTGGGTTTGGTGGCGGCAAACGGAAGGGCGGCAAGAGCGGCAAGGGCGGTAAGATGGGTAAGAGCAGAAAGGCCGGAAAGGCATCTTCCGCCGCCTCCTCCGACGCCGCCTCCGCCGCCGCCACCGCCACTTCCTCTACCGTCTTCGAGGAACGCGACGCTCGCTTCCGGTTGTCGTTTCGGCGGGCGGCCGAGGGCTCGCGGCTGCTGCTGCACCTAGCCTCGCGAGATGCCAGCGAGGTCTGGGCGCTGCCATTCATGGCAGCTGCCGGCGACGATCTCGCGCCTGAGACCGAGCGGCGGCGTTGGGCGAGCGGCGAGGCGAGCGGCGGAGCGTGGCATTGCCTAGCTGCAAGAGAGGCGCGGCTGGTTTACACGGCGGATTATGGCGTCCGACCGCGAGTGCGCCGCAGCGGCGGCGGCGGCGCGGGCGGCGGTGCGGACGGCGCGGGGCAATACGTCATTGTTAGCAACGACGGTGGGGCGGCGGCTGAAGGCGCTGTGAGGACGCTGAGCGAGGCGGCGGCGGCGAGGGGGTTGGGACGATCGGCATGGGTGGCAGAAGGGGTGCTGGAGGAGGGCGACGGGGCGGCGGGCGGGCGGACGCTCGAGGGCGTTCAGTGCGTTGATGGGGCGGTGGCTCTGGAGGGTCGGCGGGACGGCGCGAGCGCCGTCTTCGTCTGGCTCTGGGGGGGCAGAGGCGGGCAGGCTAGCGGCGAGGAGGAGGGCGGAGAGGAGCAAGAGGAGGCGGTCGTAGTGGTCGATGGAGGGCTCTTAGCGGCGGCCATCGGCGGTGGCGCCGGCGGCGATGGCGGCGACGGCGGCGGCGGCGGCGGCGGCGCTGGCGGCGGCGGCGGCGGTGTTGGCAGCTTGCTGGCGTCGTCGTGTCAGAGCTCCGTGCGCCTATGCTCACCCGACGAGCAGCAGTACGCCTCGGGCGCCCTTCGCATCGAGTACTCGACACCGCTCATGCCGCCGCGCGTGGTGCGATGCGACCCCAGGGCGGTCGGGGCCGCGGCGGGCGGCAGCGCAGTCAGCGGAGGAGGTCTGACGGAGCTGTGGGCACAGCCGCCGCCTCGAGGTTTCGACCCGTCTCGCTACGAGGTCGGCCGCGTATGGGCGACGGCTGAGGATGGCGCCCGCGTTCCCATCTCCGTGCTTCGACTCAAGGCAGCTACCACCGAGCTTGCCGCCGCCACCGCTGCCACTGCCGCCACCGCCGCCGCCACCGCCTCAACCGCCGCCGCCGCCGCCGCCGCCGCCGCCGCCGCCACCGCCGCCGCCGCCGCCGCCGCCGTCGCTTCGCCGAACGACGAGCCCTGGCCACCGCCGCTGCCCGCGCTCTTGTACGGCTATGGCGCGTACGGCGCGTGCACGGAGGCAGGATGGGACGCAGAGCGATTGGCGGTGGTCGACAGCGGGCTGCTGCACGCGATATGTCACGTGCGCGGCGGCGGCGAGATGGGGCGTGCGTGGCACGAGGCGGGGCGGCGCGAGCGCAAGCCCACGACGTTCACCGACGTGGTCGCGTGCGCGCGCACGCTGGTCGCTTCGGGCCTCGTCCGTGCGGATTCGCTGGCGCTCGAGGGGCGGTCGGCGGGAGGGCTGCTGGTGGGGGCGACCCTCAATCGCGCTCCGGAGCTCTTTGCATGCGCGCTCGCGTCGGTTCCGTTCCTCGATGCCGCGGGCACGCTGCAGGACGGCGCGCTCCCGCTCACGGCTAACGAGTGGGAGGAGTTTGGTAACCCCAACGAGGTAGGCGGCCACGCGGCCGTCCTCGGATTCTCGCCCGTGCACAACGTCGTGCCGCGCGCGCGCTACCCTGCATGCTTGTTGCTGCCGGCCCTCAACGACGCGCGCACGGGATTTTGGGAGGCCCACAAGTTTGCGATTGCGATCCGCTCCAACGGCGCTGGCGTCGAGGGCGGCGCGGCGGCGGAGAAGGAGGAGAAGGAGGATGCGGCGGGGGCGGGCGTGGCAGCGCCGCGGCCCGTCCTGGTGAGCACGGACGAATTCGGCGGGCACTTCCGGCCTGCGGACCCGGAGGAGCGGGCGAGGCAGCGCGCCAAGGAGCTCGCGTTCATCGTGTGCAGCCTAGTGGGACCGCCGCGTAGGCCGGCGGAGGCTGAGTCGGCATGAAGAAATTGTAAAAAACGAAGCCCCTTGGCTTGGAGTCGCCGGCTCGCGCCCCTCCTCTGGGACACTGGCGCGCACACACACACACCACACACTGGCACTAACATAGCTACAGTACACTACGAGTACCTGACAAAAAAAAATTGCGTCGGCAACCTCCAGTCCGCGTGCGATGGAGACGGGCCGTTGGCCGTGCCATCACAACTTGTCGTAGAGGTCGGGTTCAAAGCGCACCCAGAAATGGCTCTCTATTTGTTGGGGCTGCGGCTGGTGCGAGGCAAGGCGAGGCCTTTAGCGACAAAAAGAATTTTACGAACCTCGCTCAACACTGGGCACGGGACACGGTCAACACTAGAGCTCTACCTGACAAAAAAATGCGTGTGACAAGGGAGATATGGCTGTCGACCCGGCTTCGCACTACTCCTCTCGGCTCGTCCTCCTCTCCTCTCCCGCCGGCCAGCGGCTGGCGGCCTCCCTCACTGTCACAGGCGGCTCGCGGCTCCGCACGCTCCTCTCTCTCTTCGAGGCGCAAGAGGAGCAGAGCTGGTGTGGCTACGCTGCCCTCCGGGTGGCACTTCGCGCGTGCGGCGCCGCGGCTGTGCTCAGCCAGAGCGAGCTGCACGGGCTACGCAGCACCTTGGCAGAACAGGAGGCGGAGGCTGTGCGCGGCGGCGCGAGCAGCCTCGCCGGTGGCGGGCTCTCCATCGCTCAGCTGGCGCGCTTGGCACGGCCCTTGCTGGAGGCGAGCGCACTCAACCTGGAGCAGCAGCACGGCGACCCGGCGAGCCCGCCCGCCTTTGGCTCGCAGCTCGCAGCCGCCGTGTCTCACGCCTCCGACAGCGACAGCGGGTCGATCGTCCTGCTCAACTTTCTCCGACAGCTGGACGGGTGGAGGGGCGGCCACTGGGTGGTTGCGGGCGGGCTCGCTCACGACGCGGAGGGCACGGCCTTCGTGTTGCTGCTCGACGTGGCCGCCCACCGCATTGGGCCTCACTGGCTTCCGCTAGGCCTGCTGGCCGCTCTCTGCTCGACCGTCAACGTGCACGGCGTCCCACGCGGCTTTGTGAGGATCTGCTCGCGTGGCAGCGGCGCGAGCGGGGATGGCGCGGTGCCTCTTGTCCCGAAACAAGACAGTGCCTCTCACTGCTAACCCTTCTTGGCCGCATGTGACCGGCGTACGGCTCTAATCCGTAGAGAGATATGCATCGTGGCATTTCGTCCGCAATGGCCTTCCGCAAAATGGCAAAAAAGGACCTCGCGCTCGGTCTAGTTCCGCGGGCCGCTCTCTCTCTACTCTCTCTCTCTCCACTTTTTTAAGTCTTATTCCAAAAGTGCCAACTCCAAAGATCCAGATCCCAGTACAAAGAGACGGCACTGCGTCCTGTATGTTTCGTGCACGTGGACGCCCCGTGTGTTCTGTCTTCTGTGTTCTGACCTTCTGTGTAAAATTCTCTGACGTTCGCCACACGGGCCACGGCGGTTGTATTTTGCCACCTGGACCGCTGGTTCTAAATAAGTAAATAAAAACCGACACCTCTACTGTGAGATGGGTAAAAAGGAACAGGTCCCCGCCCGCTGGTGCTCCTATCGACTATCGTGTTTCAAAAGTCCTCAATCGTTTCATCAGAGCCGAAACGAAAAAGCAAAAAGGACCATCGATGTGGAAAGAAGCATGCGTTGTGCGGCGTGCACACTCACACTCACACTCCGCTGCACGCGTCCCAAGGCTGCGCCAGCTATAGTGCTCTCGATCCACCGGTTCACCACGTAGCACGACCTTCTCCATCGTAGCACCGGTTTATTGAATAAGCACTCAAGCGCTCGCGGTGAGGTCGTCCGCAAAGTAGAGGTGCAGCGTTGGCACGTAGAAATCGTCGGGAATGGAGAGAGAGTCAAAGGTGCGGTCCTCGTCCGGCACCCCGTTCGCCTCGAGCGTGCGCCTCATGTCGAGGAAGCGGCTGCCGCGTGCGTCTGTCCGCTTCCAGGCGTAGGAGCCCGAGTGCGCGTTGTGGTCGAGGTAACGCTGCTGGATCTCATCGAGCGTCTCCTCAGCGCACACCTCGAGCGCGGTCTCCTGTTGCGTTAGCATGTTCAGCAGCCGGACCGACCGCGTCTTGCGAGTGAGCGCGCCGACGACAAGGCTGTCGTCCAACCACCACGGCACCTCCGCCGCCGGATCAAACTCCGCACCAGAGCCCGCAGGCGGGCAGTGGATAAACCTCCCCAGTGGCACGAAGGGCGCCAGTGTGCCGGTCTTGGGGTCAATGTGCCGCCGCAGGCCATGCGTGGCTGGGTCAAACCAGTGCGTGATGTCAGTTCCCGCCGCCTCAATCAGAGGCTGGGCGAGCGGACCGGCGTGCAGGAACACCAGGTCGCTCAGGTCGACGACCTGCAATACACAGTGAGTGCGCTGCTCAGGCCGGCGCCAATCAGAGACCGATGTGTGCAGAGCGATGCGCCTTGTGGAAGAGAGATACCCACAGGTCGTCGGCACGGTCATGGGCCGCCACATCCGCGGGAGTGTAGTACTTTTTCCGCCGAGCGCCGCCCGAAAGCTGATGCCGCGCCTCGCGCCCCCTGTATACCGACTGCACCATTTTTGCAGACGTCGCTCGCACCTCCTGCTCCTTGCGCACCTGCCTACCCTTGATGTGCGCCTGGAGCGCCACGGCGCTGGCCTGCTCCGCATCCACCGTGCCGGCTGAACCGGCAGCACCTGGCGGATCCCAGCTGGTCTCGCCTGTGCTAGCATTCCTCCAATACGCCCGGCCCACCGTGTAGTTGTACTCTTGAACCCAGCTCGCCATGGTCGCACTCCGGAGCGTAACGAAGACGACGAAGGCAAGTGGGATGCAGTCGACGACCGTTTCGTCCACCCTTGCCCTTACCCCCCCCGCCACGCACCTTCGTGCCAACAATTCACCTACAATACCTAACCCTGCAACCGTAAATTAAACAAAACGCCGGATTCAAATCTCGGTGCATCGCTCATTGTTGGACGGTTCCCTGCGAAATCACCGGAAAGCAAAGTGACGAAGTCCGCGATCGGTGCGACTGGACGAGTGCGACTGGACGACAGGGGGGAGCCGCGGGAGCCTACCTCTTGAGGTCCCGGAGTGGGCGAGCGGCCCGCCCTGACCGCACAATGGCTTCCATCGTTCGCGAGGCCCACGTCCTCGCGTGCGCGCCCGCGATGCTGCGCGAGGTGCCGTTGCCGCCGGACGAGGACGCTGGACAGGAGTGGAGCTCGCTGGTCTGGGGGAGCCCGGCCCTGCTGGATGGGGAGGCAGAGCTTTTGTGCGCGCCAATGTCCGAGCAGGAGGACGAGGCAGGATGGAGTGAGGTGTTTGAGGCGCCGGATATCGACCCCGGGCCAGCACCAGTTCCAGTGCTGTGCAATGAGATAGCTGTGCTCGAGCTCGATCAGGCCAAGCTCCGACAGCGGCTGCAGGTGCTGCAGGCACAGCACGCATCGGCCATGCGAGAGCACGCGAGGGTCAAGGCGGAGCACGCGAAGGAGAAGGCCCTCCTCTGCAACGAACTCCGGGTGCTGGCCGAGTACGCCTTCGCCAGCCAGCCATCCGCGTCGCCGAGCAGAGCGGCCACGCGCTACCAGTCGCGTCCGCAATGCCCCAGCAACAAGCCCGACTCGGAGGAGATGGGCTGCCGGCGGCAGGCGCAGGGGACGCTGAGGGCAGGCGGGGCGAGGCTGTACGTTACTACCTCGCCGCCGGCGGGAGGGTTCTGTGATACATTTGTCTGTTTCCAGATGTGGTCCTGCGTGCGCACGTTGTCGCCCTGCTAAACGCAGTTGCCAGGTGTCTCTGAAAGGCCGCATCTCATTTTGTACGGGAAATGTCGTTTCTTTACGGGCTGTGCGCTCGGCACCAACACTCCGCCGCCACCGCGCACGAACAGCACGCGCTGCTGGCGACGGAAAACTTTGCACACACCTTCCGCCGCGCGCGCGCGCACGGGTCCACCGCGATGCGCGCGAACTGCCACCAGACCAGCCTGCCAGACCACCTCGCTCGCTCTCTCTCGCACAGCAGAGAGGGAGAGCCTGCCGATCGATCCGTCATCCGGAGCCAGGGCGGAGCATCCAGCAGACTGGCAGCATGACCGCCCATTTCGTCGTGGCGGCGGCGGCGGCGGCGACGATGAGCCAGTCGGGCGCCGCGTCGAGGGACGGTGCGGCCGCGGCGTGCATGTGAAGCGCATTCTCGACGATGTCACAGCACGCGCCGAACGTTGCGAGCGCCTGCAGCCGGCGCCGGATTCTCCCGGCCGGCAGCAGCGCCGCGGCGCGGTGCACCAGCAGCGCCCCGTAAAGAACCGGATACCACGCGTCGAGGAGAAAGTGCGCCCGGAAGTGCCAGAGCTCGCCGCCGGGCCGCCAGCCAGCGACGGCCGCGCGGAAGCGCGACGGCGAGAAGCAGAGCTGCAGCCGGAGCAGGTCCGGCCCGACCGGGCCGAGCAGCAGTAGGATGCCGGCCTGGGTGGCGCAGCACGCGGCAAAGAGCCGGCGGGGCTGCGCGGCCAGCACATCCTCAGTGCGGAGCAGCGGCGGGCGCGACGCCGACGCGAGGAGGGGGGCGACGCGCGGTGCGACGGCGGCGGCGAGCTGCAGCCGGTCGATCTTCGAGTTGTGCCGCAGGTCCATCGGCAGCGAGGGCAGCGGGAGGACCAGCTGGACAACCCCCTCCCACCGCGTCCCCGCCGCTCGCGCGAGCAGCTTCTGCGCGCGGTCCTCGCCCCACGGGCCGTAACGCGGCTCGTAGTCCGCCGCGAGTACCACGCACAGGACGGGAGCGACCTCGGTGCCGCGGCCTCCACCCTCACCGCCGCCCGCATCCCTGCCTCCGCCGCCACCGCGCGGGCTGCCGATGCCGACGAGCGCCGCAGCCTCGACGCCCGGCTCGTCGAGGAAGAGCAGCTCCGCGCACAGCGGCAAGACAAGCCCGTGCTGCGGCGTGCGAAAAGCGTGCGAGAGGCGGCCGCAGAACCAGAGCCGGCCGGCCGCGTCGACGTAGCCGAGATCGCCCATGCGGTGCCACAGCGCCGCCTCGTCCCCGCCGCCGGCCGCTCCCAAGTAGCGTGCCACCAGCGGGCCGGCGACACACAGCTCGCCGAGCTCGCCGGCGGGAAGCTCCTGTGTGCAGGACTCGCCGGCGTCAGGGGGGCGGGGAACGCAGTGGCGGCGCCCTCGCCGCAGGGAGTCGCCTCCGCCTCCGCCTCCGACGGCCCTGCGGCCGTTCGCACCACGCGCACCTTTGCGCCGGGTGCGACGTGGCCCACGCAGAGGCCGTGGCCGCGGCGCGCCCGTCCCGCAACCTCGGCGGAGAGGGCTTCGGCGGCGGTGAGGGTGGCGACAGGCAATGCCTCCGTCGCGCCGTAGCCGACGAGCAGCGGCGGAGCGGTGGGCAGCGCCGCGCGAAGCCGCTCGAGCATCGCCGGACTGACGGCCGCCTAGAGCGCGAGCGGTCGGTCTCGCGCGGGCGGGATGCGCTCGCGCAGCGCTGCGGTCGGCGGCGCCGAGGTGGTGATGAGCAGCTGCACCCCGGGCGGCAGCGAGAGGGCCTCGCCGCGCGCCTCAGCCAGCCGCGCCACCTTGCCCCACACGGCGACCGAGGCGGAGACGGCGGCAGGCTTGAGCGCCGCGACGGCAGCCAGCAGCGCTTCGGCCGAGGCGGCCGCTGGCCGGGTGACGGGGACGTGCGGGAAGGCGACGCTCAGGCCTGCGGGGCGGCGGGCGAGGGGAGATAGGCGTGCGCCGAATACGGACGCCGCCACGGTCAAGGGGTCCGGCGCCGCGCCTGCGAGCAGCCAGAGCATCGTGTACTGCAGCAGCGTCTCGACGATCAGCGCGCCGCGCCCGAGGCCGCCGTCGGCCGCGGCCGCGTCCACCTCTGCACGGATGCCGGCGAGGCGCGCGCGCAGCCCGCGGTGGGTCATCACCACGCCCTTGGGCGGGCCGGTGGAGCCCGACGTGAAGACGATCGCCGCCGCCGTGTCGGCGGCGACGGGCGCGCTCCGGACGGCGACGCGGCGGGCGGCGACGTGGCGGGCTCCTTCTGCCTCGAAGGCACGGAGCGTCGGGCCGACACCGACGCCGAGGGCGCCGTCCACGAGGCGGAGCCCGACGCTGCCGCGCGCGGCCGCGACGGCCGCGAAGAGCCCGAGGTGAACCGGGAGCGGTGCGGCGACCACCGCCGGCGCCACCCGCCGCACCGCGGCCGCCACGCTGACGAGCCGCATCGACGGGTCGACAAAGACCGGGACGAGGGCGGCGCGGATGGCGCCGAGCACGAGCGGGAAGAGGGTGGCGCACGGCCGCATGAGAAGCTGCACGCGCGCGCCTGCGGCCAGCTGTCGCGAGGAAAAGGCGGCGCAGAAGGCTGCGGTGCGCGCCTCGACCTCGGCGTAGGTGAGCGGCTCCCAGCCGCCACCGCCAGCAGGCCAGAGGAGCGCGATCGTGTCCGGCTGCGAGCGAGCGTGCTCGACGAGGAGTGTGGTGATGTCCGCGTCGTCCGGCATCGGAGAGGAAGGCAAAGACATATGCTTCCTAGACATCTTCTTTGCGCTGTCACGCACACGACTTCACACTTGAGTGTGTGTGTGACGCCAAGGGCTTATGCTCTGGCGAGACGTGAGGCGCATGCGCCCAGGAGGGGAGGGGGCATGTGTAACGACACTGCTAGAGATGCCTTTCGGGGCCCAGAGATAAAACTTCTGTGATGCCATGCGTGACCTAGTAGTGTCCCCAGCTATGGGCGTGTCCACGTTGGAGCCAGGTGTGGTGTGGGCGCGAGAATAGCTCCGCCGTTCATGGAGGCAACCGATGCGAGTCGACTGGTGTGTGTCGTCGTGGTTTCGTATCAAGAATACTCACTCACTTCACACTTGAGCACTTGAGCACTTGATAGGGTCGATTCCGCATGGTACGGGACCACTTCACACTTGTTATTGAGAAGGAAATACGTGCTATGGCGCTGTGCGCTGGTCTGTGAGAGGTTGAGGTGCGAGCCCTGCCTGGAGGCCCTGGGGATGGGGGAAGAAAGACTACAGATGATACTCGAGTAGATCTAGGTTGATACTAGGTTGAGAAGAATTTTACAACAACAGGCGGTCGCACAGCACGCTGCCGAGCCCAAAAGTCACACTGATCACTGTCAGTGTCAAATAAATAAACAAAGTGCAATGGAAAATCCAAAATCCAAATCGCAAACATAGAAACCCAAACACACACAGCCACGTGGCATAGGAGAGCAGGAGGTGAAAGGAGGTCAGCACAAGTCCAAGGACGCACGAGCGAGAAGCACAGCAGAGCAGACAGATGACGATCACCACCCAGCGCACGAAATAAATAAAACGGACACCTCTACTGTGAGATGGGTAAAAAGGAACAGGTCCCCGCCCTTGCGATCTTTGTGCAGGGTTCTTTGTGTGGGTGTGGTCGGCGACTAGCCGGGGTCGTCCTCCCGATGGGGGACTAGCACTAGCCGTCTTCCACATGGACCCTCGGGTCCCTGCTGCTCCTAATCTCTTCGTACATCCTCCTGCTGATCTCCGCAACGTCCTGCTCCCTCCCTCGACTCGCCCTGCGCGACTGATCCGCCTCCCCGTCGTCTGCCCTGCGTCGTCTGGTGACGGGTCCTCCATAGTCGGTTGAGGTCGCCGCCCTCCTCGAGTGCCAAAATTCTTGTTGGCTTCTAAAAATCTCTCTCTCTCTCTCTTTCCCCGCCCGCAAGGAAGGCGCGAGCGAGACACACGACTCCCACTCCGGCGGCCGCCCCACCCCCCCCCACCCCGCCCGACAGCCCCACCCCACAACCCCGACCCACCCCGACCCAAGCAACCCCGCCCCAACCCGACCCGACCCGACCCACCCCCAAAGCGCACCCTTTTTGCTTTTAAGCCTAGGCCCTAGGGCTGGCCTGTGCCTGCCTAGCTAGTGCCACTGCGAATGAGCGAACGAAAGCAAGCAAGGGAAAGCGGCCGATAGAAATCAAGAACACGCAGTGTCTCACCTGAACAAGACTCAAGAGCAAGCGAGACAGATATTTTTAGCAATACCAAAAACGATTATTATTGTTTTTTGTCACACTCACTTGACACTGTGCAGGGGAAGATGCAGCGGCGCGAAACGTGGGGCCTGGGCGCGCCCGAGCCGCACGCCACCGCCGCGTGCTCGGGGCTCTCCCTTCGTCTCCGTCGCCAGCTAGAGGTGTAGAGCGGATTCGACTCATCAATCTCACACGTACGTGGCTCTTGCTCCTCACACCACTGCCGCCAGCCCGCCACGAGAGCAGTTCACTTGACACTCTCGCGCGCGCACCTCTCGTCATACATTGCGCCTTGGTTGTCGGCCTCGCGTCACTCAGGCGCAGGCGGGAACGCGATAAGCAGCAGCAGCAGCAGCAGCTCGGCGAGGGAGACTTGCATCGTCCAAGGCCGGCCCGCCAGTCGCCGTGACGTCTGCTGCGGCAGCGATGTGAAGTGCAGGCTGGTGCTCTCGATGTGGACACGCGGCAGAAGGGCGGCGCACACGGCGCGCACAGGATAGACCGCCAACGCTGCCCAACGCGTCATGCCCTCCACCTCCCAGCGGCCACGGCGGTGCGGGGGCGCGGCATCGCGCGGCACGCCCTCCTTCCCGCCGCCGCCGCCGCCGCCGCCGCCGCCGCCGCCGCCGCCGCCGCCGCCGCCGCCGCGCTGGTACCTCGAGTGAGCAGAGCTGTCGTACTCCTCGATCAGCCTGGAGAGCTTGGGCACGGCGGCGGCCGCGGCGGCCGCAGATGCAGCGGCGGAGCGCTTGGCGCCGTGAGAAGAGAGGCGCAGGCACAGGCGGCTCACTTCGCAGTCGACGGAGAAGGGGCAGATCCGCAGGCGATCGCAGGAGGCATGCTCGATGTGGAAGGGGAGGTGTATGTCCGCCTCGCCCGCGCCACTCAGCAGCATCGAGAAGAGCCGAGGCTGGAAGCTGACGCCCGTCAGCGTCACGTGAGCCATGTCGTCGATGACGATGTGCTCCGCCGCGAGCAGCGGGCTCAAAGCCCACAGCACGAAGCGCTCGGGCACGGCAGCGACCGGCCCGCATCGCGGCGACAGAGGTGCCTCCTTCTCCGTCAGCGGCGCCTCTGCCGTGATGCTGTCTTGCGTCGACGACGCAGCCGCCGAGGCTGCGGCCCGCCGCTTATTGACGTAGTGATACGGGTTGGGGATGCCGAACCTCTTGTGCACCGTGTACTTCTTCTGCGGCGCGTTAACGGCGAGCGCACGCATGCGGAGCGGAACCGAGTGCCGGGGCGGCGCGATGCTAAAAGAGCAAGGGACTGCAGATATCGTCCTTTGCGTGACACGATAGATGGGCCAGATGAGAGGGGAAGGGGGGAGGGAGGGAGAGGGAGGGAGAGGGAGGGAGAGAGGGAGAGAGGGAGAGAGGGAGAGGGAGAGGGAGAGAGAGAGAGAGAGGGGGGGGGGGGGATTACGAAAGAATACCCACAAGTCGTTCTCTCTCCTGCCAGTAGTCACCGATCATTACGTGCGCCGCCCGATGTGCGCCGTCTTCTCGGCTTTAGGATCGCCTCTTTCGAGCGAGACGCGCTTTCGCCACTGCTTTCGCCGACCGCATCGACCACGAGGCGAAGGTGCGCATGGCCCAGTCCTCGTACAAGAAGGTGTGCGCCAAGTCCCCCGGCCGCATCCTCCCGCACGACCCCTTCGCCAAGAAGTCGGACTCCACCGCGACCGACCACGAGGAGGTGCGGGCGGCGCTGGCCGACTCTGTCACCCGCACGTTCGACCCGGACGGCATCGTCGGCGGCTTTGTCGCTGGCGTCGGCACCGACCAGGTCGAGGACACCTTCCCCGACTCCAACCCCACCGACACGCCCGCCATCCTCAAGGCCAAGACGGCGGCGCGCAATGCGGCGGAGGCACGGGCGCGCGGCGGGCTGTGGGTCAAGTTCACCTCGTTCGTCACCACGCTGCCTCGCCCGTACATCGGCGCTTCCATCCTACTCGTCCTGCTCGCGTGCCTCATCCCGGTCTACATGGGCTCGCCTGCCTCGATCGGCACGCCTGTGGCCGACGCCGTGGACGAGCCCTCGAACATGGGCGTGATGGTCGAGTCCGTCACCGCTCTGCCCCTCGAGCTGCCCACCGGGCCGGCGATTGACTCAGGTGGCGGAGCAGAGTACGCCATCGAGGAGGACCCGCTCCAGCCGATCTACCGCAAGGTCGCGGGCGACATGTTCCGCGCGGTGAATAACATCGACGTGCCCAAGACGGTCCCGCTCGTCCTCTCGTACACGTGCATCATGCTCGCCATGTAAGTGGCGCGCATGGACGCGATGCAGGCACACGCGCTTGTCGGGCATGTCAAGGTCGTCGACGCGTACGACACGACCGCCGGTGTGAACATGCCGGGATCGTATGCCGCTGGCGTCGACTCCAAGGCGGGCATGAACATGTTCCCGACGCCCGACTTCTTCCCTCACGGGTGGCGCGAGCCCGAGATGTGAAGGTCTTCAGTGACCACTCACAAGCTGTTCCAAAGCCTGACAGAAATGTACTGTCAAAACTTTGTTCGCCCCCCTGCGCGCGCCATCATCTCCCGCACGATCCTGCCGCAGGTGGCGTTCGCACGCTCGCACGCCCCATTCTGCCACGGCTCGTAGGGGCAGCTGTTGCGGAGGGTGATGCCGTACTTGAGGCAGAGCTCGCGCACGGCGCTGGAGTTGAGGACGACCTCGTTGTCGCAGAACGCAACCCCTCCGCGGAACGTGTGGCCGTCCTTTCCCTCGTTCTCGGCGAAGTACTTGCGCAGGTAGGCAGGCGTCTGGCCCTTGGTCTGCAGGATGTACGGCGTGATGGTGCTGGTGTGCTCGTCGACGACCATAGATGCCGAAGGGGCTCAAGGGCAAGCCCGAGTACTGCTACATCGATCCCATCACCGGCGAGGAGAAGGACATGGTGTGCGAGGTCGGCAACCTCTACGGCGCACCATCCGCAGGTAACGCTTGGTGGAACCACGTCAAGTCCATCAACAAGGCGTTTCCTGGGCTCGTTCAGTCCGAGGCGGACCCGAGCTGCTTCATCCTCACCCGCAACAGCACGAAACTCATCGTCGTCATCTACGTGGACGACTTCGGCATCTTCCACTCCGGGACCACCGCTGGCAAGGCGCTCGCGTACGAGTACATCGAGCACTTCAACAAGCACGTCGGCAAGCCGCTCAAGGTCCACGTGTGAAGGTCTTCAGTGACCACTCACAAGCTGTTCCAAGGCCTGACAGAAATGTACTGTCAAAACTTTGTTCAAACAAAAGTCCTGGCCCGCGGCCCCCACACCCACAATGACTATCAATCCAGGCTGCGGGTGAAGGGCAAAACCGCGCCGCTGCAGAACGGTTTTTGCAAAACCGCGCCGCAGCGGTACGAAACTGCGCAGGTGCAGTCCCTGAGTGGTAAGGACACTATGTGTGTGTGTGTGGCCGTCGACTAGACGGCTGCGCGGTCGTCGGTCTTCAACAGCCCCCATCCTCGCATCGGGTAGCGAGGCTGAGGATCTGAAGAAGCTAGACGACTCCTACATCTCCTACTATCGCGCGCACAATTGCGCAGCCTCCTCAAGGGCGGAGGACGAACATACAAGTGACTCGGGGAGCTCCAGGAGCGCCCATACTGCCGGTTGTCGCGCACAATTGCGCAGCCTCCTCAAGGGCGGAGGACGAACATACAAGTGACTCGGGGAGCTCCAGGAGCGCCCATACTGCCGGTTGTCGACTACATTTGATGAAGGGGAAGTCGGCGTTTCCCCTCTGTGCCGTCCTAGGCGGTGTCGTTCATGATCTCCTTGCGGAACGACTCGAACTCCTTGCGCGGGAGCGGCTTGGTGAAGAAGTCGGCGAAGTTCTTGAGGCTCTCGACGTACTCGACCTTGACCTCCCCGGACTCGACGAGCTCGCGAATCTTGAGCTCCTTGCGCAGGATGTGCTTCGTCTTGTCGTGCATGACCGGGTCCTCGGCGACGCGCAGCGCGGCCGTGTTGTCGATCTTGATGATGGTCGGGCCCTTGGGCTTGTAGCCGAGCGACGCGAGGAGCGAGCGCAGGTGGACCGCCTCGCAAGCCGCCAGCGTGCCGGCAGAGATCTCGGCCTCGAATGTCGAGAGGGAGATGTGACCCTGCTTCTTGGAGAAGTACGAGATGATCGCGGTGCCGATCTTGAAGGCGCAGCCGGAGGTGCTCTGGCGGGTGCACCAGTTCGCGTCGGAGCAGCCGAAGAGCTTGGGGTCGGCGACGCGCTCGTAGTGGAGGCCGAGGTCCTGCGTGCCGATGAGGTAGATGAGGCAGCGCTCGGCGGCGGCCTCGATGTTCGCGTCGGGCCAAGCCATGCAGCGCGCCAGCTGCGAGACGGTGTACTGGATGTCGGGGCGCGCGTTGGTGGCGAACATGAGGCTGCCGATGAGGCACTGGCAGCGCTGGAGGAGCTGCGGGTCGGGCGCGGTCTTCTTCTCGGCTGCGCTGATGACGATGGACGGGAGGTCCTTGTCCGCGGGCACCTTGTAGCCCGCGTGCGTGACGCCTGACGGGAAGAAGCGCGCGCGCAGCGTGTCGATGTACTTGCTGGCAGACAGCTTGAAACCGGTCTGCGTCTTGGTGATGGTGAGCCCGAGGAACTCGTGCACCTTTCCCTCGTGGACCTTGAGCGGCTTGCCGACGTGCTTGTTGAAGTGCTCGATGTACTCGTGCGCGAGCGCCCTGCCAGCGGTGGTCCCGGAGTGGAAGATGCCGAAGTCGTCCACGTAGATGATGACGATGAGTTTCGTGCTGTTGCGGGTGAGGATGAAGCAGCTCGGGTCCGCCTCGGACTGAACGAGCCCAGGAAACGCCTTGTTGATGGACTTGACCATGTTCCACCAAGCGTTACCTGCGGATGGTGCGCCGTAGAGGTTGCCGACCTCGCACACCATGTCCTTCTCCTCGCCGGTGATGGGATCGATGTAGCAGTACTCGGGCTTGCCCTTGAGCCCCTTCGGCATCTCGCAGTACCAGGTCTCGCCCTCCCCGCGCTCCGCCCAGGTGTACGCCATGGGCTGGTCGCACGTGATGAGTTCCATGTCCTCCTGCGCGGCCACGTTGAGCACGGTGCGGGTCGTGCCGTAGCGGACGACGCTCGCGAAGGTCTTGGTGAAGTCGACGCCGGGCCGCATCAGGTTGCCCATGACACAGCCGCGCCACTTGCACCGGCCGTCGGACTTCCGGGAGGCGATCTCCTTCAGCGGGAGGACGCGCACCTTGGCGGGGCGGCGCATGGGCTTGAGCGTGCCGTTCTGGATGAGGCCGAGGAACTCGGTGTCATACGCCTTGTACCACGTGTCGCGCAGCTTGGGGTCGCGGATGTTGGCGATGTCCTTGTAGTGCTTGGGCACGATGTTGTCCGGCATGGGCATGATCTGGCCGTCCACGCTCGACATGTACGCGACGCACTGGTCCGTGGTGTTGCGGTAGACTGACGACGATGGGGATGCGGCCGCCGCAGCCGCCCAGATGCCGAAGGGCGTGGCATTGGCGGCGAGGCGGGCGTTGAGCATGTTGTTGTACTCGCCCGCCGAGACGCCGCCGCGGCTGCGGGTGGTGCGCGGCGCAGGCGCACCCGCTGCGGGCGGGTTGACGTTGCCGTCGTTGGCCGGGTCTGGCATGATCACCACCTCCTCGTCGAGGGTCAGCCCCCCGGCGTGGTTGTCGGTGGTGGGGAGGAAGACGGAGTCGCCGCGGGTTACGTTGTTGTCGAGCGTAGCCTTGTCCGACTCGTCGGGCATCTCGTCCGCGGTCACAAGCTCCGGCCACGCGCCCTCGATGTCCGTCGGGGTGAGGTCGGAGGTAGGAGCACGGTACTCGATGCCGTTCCAGAGCTCGTTGACGCAGAATGTCGCCTGCGTGGTGGTGCCGATGTGCCCCTTGCGCGGACCCTCGGTGATGACGTACTTCCAGCCGGGCGAAGTGCGCGAGATGCCGAGGAAGGCCGCCATCTCGCCCGTGGGTGAGACACCGTTCGCCACAAGGTGGGGGGGCGACTTGACGATCATCTTGCACGCCCACGGGTAGAACATGTTCATCTTGGGGCGCTGCCCGGTCTTGAGCTCGTACGCTGACTTGCCGGTGTCGCGCACGGCGAAGGTGGCGTTGGCGATGGTGGCCGCGTACACCCAGGCGTAGCCCCAGTACTGGTAGAGCTGGGCGGCGCCATGCCCCCCTGCGCGTGCCATCATCTCCCGCACGATCCTGCCGCAGGTAGCGTTCGCACGCTCGCACGCCCCATTCTGCCACGGCTCGTAGGGGCAGCTGTTGCGGAGGGTGATGCCGTACTTGAGGCAGAGCTCGCGCACGGCGCTGGAGTTGAGGACGACCTCGTTGTCGCAGAACGCAACTCCTCCGCGGAACGTGTGGCCGTCCTTTCCCTCGTTCTCGGCGAAGTACTTGCGCAGGTAGGCAGGCGTCTGGCCCTTGGTCTGCAGGATGTACGGCGTGATGGTGCTGGTGTGCTCGTCGACGACCATGAGTGCGTAGCGGTGCCCATCGACGCCTACCACACCCTTGGGCGACCAGAGGTCGTAGTGCGACGAGCCCCCGAAGCGAGTGGCCAGTGGCCGGCCGGTGCTGCGCCGCGCGTGGTACTTGGCGTTCGCCTGCAGCGCGGCGTCGTCGAGGCCCTCGTTGCGGTCCATCTTGGAGAGTTGTGCGCGAGGCGACCTCCTGAGGCTACCTGAGCTGGCAATGGATGCCACCAGGACGCACGGCTAGCAGGAGCCAGTCAGGCATGCCCTGCTGTGGAGCAGAGCCGGCTGGCGCACCGGCGATACTAACTCAGCGCGCCGCGAGAGGCGAATCTGGGCGACTTTGGAGGCGCAGTTCTCGAGCTTGCCGTCGACGATTGATGTCGGGTAAATTGTCACTGCCGTCGGGGAAGGTCTTCTCTCAGCAGGCCGAGCGCCGTGGCCTGGCTCGGCTCGCCGCGAGTCGGGCGAATTTATCAGTGCCAAAACTCACGAGACCTCGATACTAACAAAGACTACCATACATGGAGAGAGAGAGAGTACATGGGGTACAGACATCGACAAGGTGTGTTCTCGGCAACGTCGGGCCGACCACGCTGTGCTCGATGCGCCAGGTTGTGCTCGGCCTGCTTGCGGGTGTCTCGATAGCCCAGGGCGGTCCCACTCTCATCGCGGGCGCTACCCGCGGCTCGGACTCGGTCAAGCACGCCTGCCTCGACGGGCACTCGACGGAGGCGGCGCTCTCTGCGCTTCGCGGCTTTGAGACGGTGGCGGGGGGCACCTCCCAACCAGCGTGCGGCGCCAGCCGCGACATGCTGGGCGTCCCGACCGACGTCCAGCGCACAAACTACAACCGCGGGAGCCTCGGCGGGACGCGCAAGACCTGCTCCGCCTTTGACGGCTGCCGCGGCGGCGGCGGCGGCGGCTGTGAGGACAAGCCGGTGAGCGTCGAACTCGCCGGCTACGGCGCGGACGTGTATGGGTGGCACGGGCCAAACGCCTCCGCGGCGCTCGGCGACGACGCGTGCGCGGAGGCGGCCCACAAGGAGGCGTGCATCATGAACGTGTGCACGTGCGCGACCAGCGAGTTTGGGGACACAAACGTGCGCTGCAAGGAGTTCTCGCTCGAGGGCGACTCGGCGCACGCGTGGGACGCCCTCCTCGCCGGCTTGCTCGAGGCCCCCCTTCAGACCCCGAGACCCAACACATGCGCATAGCTCTTCAATGCAAGCACCTCTCAAGCACCTCTCCTCCCGGCCGCAGGACGAGCGCTGGGCCTCGGCCTTCAACTCGCCTGCCCTCGCCTCGGCGATGTCCTCGATGCTCGTCCTCCTAGTCCTCGCGTGCGGCGCCTTCTGGCGGCTGGCCGTGGGGAGCGGACGGCGGGTTGGCGCGGGGGCGACGGCGAGGCTTTCGTGCAGAGCGTCGAGCGGGATCTCGCATCGCACCGTTGCGGCCACCCACAAGCCGAGCGCGAACGAGGAGCCCGGCCCGGCGGCGAGCGCCGAGGAGACGGCCGCCCCGGCGGTGAGCACACGCGGGTAGGACTACAGGTGGGTACTTGCATTGACCCTGTGACTCTCGCCTGCCGCACGTCACGCGCAGGGCCTCGACGAGTGGAAGCCCCCCTCCCCGCTCCGCAAGATCGAGCGCAAGGGCGAGTCCAACCTGATCGATCGCTCCAAGAAGACCACCAAGAGCCTCACCCCGATCGGCCGCGTCGACCCCAACGGGTTCGCGGCGCTGCTCGGAACGGAAGTTGACGAGAAAGACCTCGCTGGCGTCGGCTCCGGGTCTGTCGGCGACGGCGCGCCGTCGTCGACCACGCCCTCGGCGCGTGCTGCCTTGCCCGTGTAGCGCGCCCTGCTCGTGACCAACCCTTGTCCGCACTTCAGGGCGCCGTGGAGGAGACCCCGCCGACCTCGACGCGCTCCGGCTTCCGCTTCGGCCAGGTTTGCTCGACAAAGCTACTGTGCCACAAGGGGCGCGCCATGTTCTTCCTCCTGTGGCTCCTTCCAGTCACCACAGCTCAAGTAGACTACGCGAGCCCGATCCAGCTCGGCTTCCTCTACGCGCAGAGCCCGGCGTCGTGGCTCGTCGAGTCGCGCTCCCAATTCAAGCTTGCGCTCGACGACGTCAATGCGGCTGGCATGCTTCCGTACAATATATCCTACGTCACGGCCAACACGCGTGAGCAGGAGTTCTTCGCGCTGAGAGGATGCATCGAGTGCGTCGCTTGACACTCGAACCGCGGTCGACCCATGCCGCGCTCCTGCGTGCTCTGATCGTCCCGCGTTTGCGTCCCGCGTGCGCAGTCTGCTCGACGACTCGAGCGTGATCGGAATTGTCGGCACCGGCTACTCGGCCGCGCTCTCTGCCGCCGCCGCCTACGCCTCCGCGCGCCAAAAGCCCATTGTCTCGCCAGGCGCAACGCGGGTGACCTTCACAGACAAGACCAAGTTTCCCTACCTCGTGCGTAGCGTCGGGTCCGACGCGACAGAGCTCGGCGGCATGGTCTTCGCGATCGAGAGCCTCGGCTGGAGGAGCGTCGTCGTCATTTACTCGGTTGATTTCATCACGGCCGCCTCGTACTTCCGAAACGCCGCACAGGCGCGGGGCATCGACGTGGTGATCGAGGCGCGCGTCTCCAGCAGTGGTGAGAAGTGGAAGACGTTTGTCGCCCTCGAGGCCGTCCGCCACTCGGGCGCGCGCATCCTCGTCTCCATCACCAGCAGCGCCGACCAGGAGGAGCTGCACCAGGCCGCCGCCGATATCGGGCTGCATAACGAGGGCTACGTCTGGTTGGGCTGGAGCGCGTCCTTCACGTCCACGATTCCGCTGCCCGGCTACATCTTCGTCCAGGCCGCGGCCGCGCAGCCGAGCGCCGCAGCGGCGGCAAGCTTCCTGTCCCACTTTCAGAAGGGCACTCTGACGTACGACGAAGCAATCCACGGCTCCTACAATGCAACGAGCGGGGCGCCATTCTACGATGCGGCACATGAGGGGGTGCGTTGGGATACGGACTACGCGCCGGTCGGCGACGGCTTACCCGACCATTGGGGCAAGTGCGTGCGCCGCGACGCGGCGCGCGTGCGTGCTGCGCCCCCACCGCACGCGTCCTGCTGCCCATGGCTCCGGTGCACCCTGCCGCTCACGCAGCGCGCCCTCGATCGCAGGTACGTCTACGACACCGCATGGCTCTACGCGCATGCGCTCAAGCGCCTCGCGGAGGCGGGTACGTCGCCGCACGACGGCGAGGCGCTCCTCGCGGCCCTGCTCGCGACGTCCTTTGAGGGCGTGACCGGCCGGCTGGAGATCTCGCCCGCCGACCAGGACCGCGTACAGGGCTTCCAATTGCACTCTCTTGTCCCCGAGAACCTCAACGCCTCCGCCGCGCGGAACTCGAGCGCCGTTTCGACCGCGCCACTCGTCGACGTCGTCGCTGCGAACATCAGCTACCTGTGGTGGCCGCTTGGGTATGTGCCATCCGACGGCTCGAGCGCCGATGCCGCCAGCTGCTCACTCGAGTGGCCCCTCGGCCAAGAAGTTTTCGTCGGTCAGTCGGCGACGCTGAGTGTGTCTCTGAACAACGCGTTTCGGAGGCCCGTCACGGCGGCCGACGCCACGGTGAACATCACGATCGTTGGAGATCAGTCGTGCGCCCGCGTGATGCCTCTGCCGACGGCCACAGCACCAGTTGGCAGCAGTGCCAGCTCGATTCGGGCGTTCACCGTCGAGCTGCTTGAGGTGGGCACGTGTGCCATTCGCGTGCATGTGAAGCACGGTGCCCCGCCGCCTGCCTTCATCGGGGCGATTGAGCTCTCCGTGAGCCAAGAGACGCTGCCCGACATCTTGTTTGGCTTGACCCTTACTCTCGTGCTCCTCGCGCTTGCGGTGATGCTCATCGGCGCCTACTTCCTTCAGGGCCCCTGAGGGGCGCTTCTTTGACACGTCTCGGTGTCGGCAGGCGCTCGCTCTCTTCTTGGTCGCCCGGCGCTTCAACCTCGCCAAGCGGCGCCGCCAGCTATTGTGGCGCTCCACCCGCCAGCCGCCCCGCTTGCGCTCCAAGGCCGACAGCGCGAGGTGGCCGCCCGCCGCCAGCTGCTCATTGGGTGCGAGCCGCGGCGGGTCTCTTCTAGGCGGGCGGCGAGTACCACCTCTTCCTCTCCCACACGTGGAGCAGCGGCCAGGACCAGGTGCGCACCCTCCCACACCCCACGGTATCCGAACCCGACCAGGTGCACATGATCAAGCGGCGGCTGGCCCCTCCCCTACCCCACGGTACCCGAACCCACCCTCCCCTACCCCACAGTATACCCGAACCCGACCACAGGTGCACATGATCAAGCGGCGGCTCGCCACGCTCGCGCCGAAGATGAAGGTCTTCCTTGACGTCGACGACCTCGAGGAGTTCGGCACGCTCGCCGACAACGTCGCCGCCTCGGACGTGGTGCTCCTCTTCCTCTCGCGCGGCTACTTCGCCTCCAAGGCTTGCAAGATCGAGTACATGGCCGCCTGCCGGCTGGGCACGAGCCGGCCGTGCTCGTGCACGAGTTGCCGAGGCCCCTCCGGGACCTTCTCGGAAGCTTCCTGTGTAGGCAAGCCTATTGTCGTCGTGCACGAGTCGAACGAGAACCACGGAGGCGCGCCGAGCTCACCCGAGAGATCACCCGAGATCACCCGAGATCACCCAAGATTCACCTGAGCTCCCCGAGATCACCCGAGATCACCCGAGGGCATAGGCGCGCCGCTCGAGGAGCTGCGCGATCAGTGCCCCGACGAGTGCCGCGCGCACCTCTTCGGCAGCCGGGCGGTGGTGCCGTGGCTCCGCTCCGAGGTCTTCCAGCTGGTGACGCTCAAGAAGATCGTCGCCGTCGTGCTGTCCGCCGACGGCGGCGAGGGCGCCACGGGCAAGCAGGCGGGCGGAGGGGATGAGATGGCCAGTGTGGCCAGCGATCCGTCGACCCGTTCCCGAGAGTCGCGGGTCGGCGGAAGCTCGAGCGGCAAGCTCGAGCGAGCCACGATGGCGTCGGCGGAGGCGGCGAGGCGGGTCGCAGCGAGGGCGATGGCGCGCACGCCGGCCAAGAAGGAGTGCGAGTCGGGCGACCTGTACTTGCACAAGGAGCTCAAGCCGGCGGCGGGGCTGGGCCCTGGGCCTGGCCTGGCGCTCCTCTACTCGCGACACAACCCGGGCGCGCGCCTCGTCGCGTCTCAGCTCGCCGCGACGGTCGCCGGCTGCGTCGCCGTCGAGGCTCCCGCGGGCGGTGCCACGAGCGTTGGCGGCGGGCGGGTCTTGCCGCTCCTCGTTCTCAACGCGCGCACCTTTGAGGGCGCTGACGGGGAGGTGTGCTCCCCACGAGAGCACCCGAGAGCACCCGAGACGAGAGGGCGCCGACGGGGAGGTGCGGTGCCCGCAGCGCTTGATGCTCGCCCTCTCTGCGGCCCCTCGCGCGTTTGCTCCACGTTGAGAGACAGGGGCTGGCCGTTTCCAACAGCCCGTCTCAGACAGTCTCACGTGGCCACCAGGCGCTTGCTAGAGAGGTGTGTGGCTGGCGAGCAGCCTTCAAGGAGACGGTGTGCGCCGCCGAGCGGACGAGGCAGCGCCTAGAGGCGGCCAGCGGGTTGGCGAAGCTGACGAATCGACTCGAGGAGCTCACGGGCGTGGACTTCGACGGCGACGGCGACGTCAACGAGAAGTGCCTCGAGCGCGGCTTCCTGTCGCTGGCCTCGAACGTGCAGAGCGGCCAAGTCTCGCTCGGCGAGGCGTCGGGCCGGGCGCAGCCCAAGCACGGCGGAGCGGTGGGCGAGGCTAGCGAGCGCGTGCGCTCCTCGTCCTCCGCCTCGGAGGCGGACTCGGAGCCGGAGGAGCCGGCGGGCGGCGTGGAGATGGGCAGGCTGCTGCTCGTGCACATGCTCGATCCCGAGGACGACGGCTGCCGCTTCGAGCAGGTGATGGCCCAGACCCCGCAGCACCTCGTCGACGACAAGCTCTACTCGCAGATCGCGCTGCCGTGGTTCCACGCGCCAGACTACCGCGCGGCCGCCCTCGCGGTGCTCTCGCACACGCTCGTCAAGGAGGGCTCCTCTGCCCCGTCCAGCCGGGCTAGGGGCGGCACGAGGTGGTGGGCTAGCACGCGGTCGGGCCCCGTCACGGAGCGCCGGGCGTCGGGACGGCTCATGTTCAGGCGGCGGAGCAGCGCGCCCGTGTGATGGGTGGCCGGGTGGCCGCGGGTGCGCGGCCATCGCTTTCTGATACGTTCAGTCCCCAGGGTGGGGGCCACCTCGAACCCCGGTGCGGGTTGTTGTGCGAGTATATGGGCCACGATGATCTCGATGTCTCTCAAATATGAGGGGTTTTGACTCCTACCGGCTCCTGACGCTATCCCTGGCAGCTCTAATGACCAGGATCAGTAGTGCTATGATAGAGGGTGCCCATACTAGCGCAGGAGCTGCCACACTCGCCCGGACCGTCCCCCTCTGGGGCCGGTTCCGCAGCCTGCGAGAGCCGACAGCGCTCTCCGCCGTCAGCGGGGCCGTGCCGCGGGTGCCTACTGCCGAGTGCCACAAACACTGCGCCGTCCCGCCACCACCGACAGGCTGTCTTGTGTGATGGTTGGGATGTCCAAACGCCACCATCTTGGCTCTTGCGACCTCAAACCCGCGAGCTGTATGGGTGGTCCTGACGTCGACAGACGCCCGATGACCACGGTGAAGCTGAGCCGGAACGAGTCGACAAGTCTCGTCTGAGCCCGTGGCGGTCGCCTGCTGAGTCGCTGTGCACGGGCCGGTACCTCAGGCGTCACCTCCGCAGCCTCAGGTCTCAAACTCCATCACCTCCGACGGGACGCCTTCGGTGGCACGCTCGGTGGCGTACTTTCTGCAGCTCCATCTCGAGTACGGCGTCGAGCCTACTCACTCCTGTTGGATCTGTGCACTCCCTGGGTCCCAGGGAGTGCACAGATCCAGCAAGCAGTGCGTCCCGGCAGCGCGCGCAGGCTGCGGAGCTGCAACAAACTCGAGACACGCTTTTTGGGACATTTCGACGCTTTTTTGATACTCGCACAACAACCCGGGCGCTTCTTAGCTCCCCGGCCCTAGCTCTCCTGAACTCCTCTCTGTGGACTGTGCGTGACTGTCATCTCGCCCGGTCATCTGCGTCCACCATAAAGGACAAAGCAATGCAGCCGTGGATTCTGGATCTAGGGAGTTGTGGTGTGTGGCAAAAAAAACCAACGCTCAGGCGCCCCCGCGCTCGCAACCCCCGCGACTCGGCCCGCAGCTAGCCCCGCGGCGTCGCCGTCCCGGCGCTAGCCGGCGAGGCAGCCATCCAGCGCCTCGCAGATCGCACCCTCGTCGAGGTTTGCGCCGATGAAGACGATCTCCTGCCGCCGGTCGCCGCCCTTGCCCTCAAAATCCTCGAGGATGGACGCAAGATGCGCCTGCGGCCACTGCTCGCGCGGGACCGAGTCCCACCAGCGGCCCATCTCCTTGAGGTCCAGCCGCTTCCCGGCCTGCGACCAGAAGTACGCGACACCGTCCTCGCCCGCAAGCCACACGAAGCCTTTGGAGCGGAGCAGCGGGTCGAAGAGCGCCATGTTGCCGCCGTCGCCGTCGCCTCCCTCCCCGCCACTCGCCGGCGCCACGGCGGCGTCTTGGGCGCCCTGTCGCAGCGGAGCGGCGACCGTGGCGAGGAAAGGAAGGTCGGAGACGAGGCGCGCGAGCTTGGCTGGGTCGAACGGCGAACGGCGCGCGTAGACAAAGGTGCGGATGCCGAAACGCTGTGCGGCCGTCGTCTCCTCGCGGGACCCGCCGTGGCTGTGGCCGTGGCCGTGGCTATGGTCGTGCGACGGGTCGGTGCAGCCCGGGTCGGCGCAGTCGGCGGCGTGGCTGTGCTCGTGCGACTCGGCGTGCTCGTGCGCCTCGGCGTGGCTGTGCTCGTGCGCCTCGGCGTGGCTGTGCTCGTGCGCCTCGGCGTGGCTGTGCTCGTGCCCATCCTCGGCGGGCGCGGCGGGCGCGGCGGCGGGCGGGGGCTGCGACGCGAGCCACTTTGCCCAGTCGATGGACGACTTGTGGTCCATGACGTCGTTGGAGGTCGCCACGCCGGCCGCGCGGGAGGGGACGAGGATGGAGGCGAGGGGCACCGCGCCGTACTCTGCGCGGTGCACCGCGGCGAACCCGTTGAGCGAGCCGACGACCTGCTGCAGCTGCTCGAGCTCCGCGGCGTCGGCGGTGTCGGCCTTGTTGATGACGACGACGTCGGCCGTCTCGACCTGCTCCACCAGCAGCTGCACCACGCCAGTCTCGCGCGCCTCCACCACCTCCGCGTCCGCCTCGGCCGCCCCGAGGTCTGGCCGCGAGCTGAGCAGGTCGGAGGACCCGTACTCTCTCATGAAGGACGCCGCGTCCACGACTGTGACCATGTTCTCGAGCTTGATGCAGCGCATGATTGGCCAGTTGAGCGCGGCCGCCTCCTGGAACATGGCCCGCAGCAACTTTGGCTCGGCGACGCCGGACGACTCCACGACGATGTGCTCGTACGGCGCCCCGCGCGTGAAGGAGAGCGAGACGAGCTCGGACAGCGAGGCGAGCAAGTCGTCGCCGGCGGAGCAGCAGGCACAGCCGTTCGACAGCTCCAGCATGTCGTCGCCCCACCGGCTCAGCGCTCCTTGGCCGTCCGAGCCCTGGCCGTCCGAGCCGCCGCCGTCCGAAGCGCCGTCGGCCGCGGTGCCACCGCGCGCCACGAGCTTTGCGTCAATGTTGACGGCGGCGACGTCGTTGACGATGACTCCGACGCGTGCGCCCTCCTTGTTGCTCAGCACGTGCGAGAGCAGCGTCGTCTTGCCCGCGCCGAGGAAGCCAGACAGGATCGTCAGAGGGATGGGCGAGAGCTCGGCCTCAGGCTCGTCCCGGCCGCCGCCGTCGCCCACGCCGCTCGCACCGCCGCCACCGCCGCGGAGCACTGCCGGCCGGCCGCGGAGCGCTGCGTTGGGCACGGTGAGCGCCGGCGCGATGGCGAGGATGGCGAGCCACGTCATGCGTGAGCAACCTTATGCGCCAGCAGACACAGTGGACACACCCAGGACACACCCAGGGCGACGTGTCCCGCGCAGCCAGCGATGTGCAGCCAGCCAGCCAGCGATGTGCAGCGACTCAGCACGCTCTGTTTTTTTATTCACCGCTCTTTATACTCGTTTATTCACGAGGCGACCCCAGGGGAACCTGGTCTAGGTTTCCTAGTGGCGTGCTGTGAATAATCAGCGAAGAAGACGCCTGTTTTTTATTGTTTTTTTCGTGAATGTTGTTTTTTTCGTGGTTTGTTGTTGTCAAATCAAGGCACATTACTCCGTCACGCGAGAGAGATTTTTAGCAATACCAAACAACTCTAACACTCACACGTAATTTGGTTTTGTTTGGTTTTGTTGTCACGCGAGAGTGGCCGTTAAGTTTTTCTCTTTTTTTGAGGCCTAGTCAACAGAGACTGACCCTCGCTATCGCAGTCTCTGCGGGCGGCTACAACGGTGTACACTACCTCAACTCGGTGCAGCGGTTCTCGGATGCCGCCACCGAGTGCGCTCCAGGTTCCACGGCTTCGGAGAGAGCTGGGTCTTGCGCGCTCTGTCCCGCAGGGCTCTCCTCAGAGAGGGGGAGCGAGGCGTGCTACGAATGCCCCATCGCGAGTTTCACCAAGAGCCCTGGCCAAGAATGTATTCCGTGTTCTCATCCCCTCAGTAGTAGCGAGACTAACCCTCGCTACCGCCATGCGGCCCTTCTTGCTGCTCCTCGTCGCCACCGCGTCTGCATACCGCGCTGCGCTCTCTCCGCGCCAAGCGTCCACGGTCTCTGGCTGCGCTGCGCCCGCCTGTGCCGCGCCCGCTGCACTGCCGACGGCGCGTTGCCACCTGCTCCTGCGCGGCGGCGGCGGCGGCTCTCCGCTTCTGGTCCGGCTCGTCGAGCGCCTCGCCTCCACCATCGAGACGGCGCTGCCAGCGAGCACCATCCTCGCGATCGCCATCGCCCTGGAGATTGGCGCGACTACCTGCATGAAGTTAGCCGCGCTCGGCTCGGGCCGCTGGCTCGTCGGCGTCGGGCTCGGCTACACGCTCTGCTTCTCCATCTTCCCGCTCGCCCTCAAACGCCTGCCCCTCTCTCTGGCCTATGCAGTGTGGTCTGGCGTCGGCACCGCCGCCGCGGCCATCATCGGCAACGCCTGCTTCGGCGAGGTGCTTGGGCGCAGGCAGGTGGCCTCGATCGGCCTCATCGTGGCCGGAGTGGTGGGGCTCAACACGTAGAGATCTAGCGGCCGTCACTCGCCGCACGGCAAGGAGGGTTAGGCTTGCAGCCGACCTTTGGAACTTCCTTGGCCTAATCGGGCCTTCGAGCTTCGGCTTGGTCCCTGCCGAGGTCGATTTTATCACTTCCTCTCCACGCCGGCCGGGCCGAGATTTTTTTCACTCCTGTTTGCCACGCGCGCGACACGGATCATGACCTCCATCGGCACCCACAGCGGCGCGTTCCAGGCCGACGAGGCGCTGGGCGTCTGGTTGCTCCGCAGGCTGCCGCAGTACAAGAGCGCGTCGCTCACCCGCTCTCGCGACCCGGACGTGCTCAAGCCGCTCACCATCGTGATCGACGTCGCCGGGCTGTACGACCACGATCAGCTGCGCTACGACCACCACCAGCGCGGCTTCTTCGAGACCTTCGACGGCGAGAACAAGGCCGCCAGGGACGGCGGCCGGCCCGACGTCACCGGCCCAGATTCCGCGACGGGCGTCTTCAAGACCAAGCTCTCGGCGTCGGGGCTCGTGTACAAGCACTACGGCCGCGAGATCCTGTACGCGCTGCATCCCACCCTCCGCAGCAGCCCGGACGCGCTCGAGTGGGTCTACACCAAGATGTACCGCGACTTTATGGAGGGGCTCGACGCCAACGACAACGGGATCGAGATTGCGGACCAGGTGAGGTACAAGGACGGCACCTCGCTGCCGATGCGCGTCGCCAGGCTCAACTCAAGGTGGAACGAGCCGGCTGGCTCTGGCCCGACGGAGACGGAGCGCTTCGAGCAGGCCTCTGCGCTGTGCGGCTCCGAGTTTGGCGCGGCGCTCGAGTACATTGTCGAGTGCGAGCTGCCGGCGCGGTCGCTCGTCGAGGAGGCGCGCGCCGCGCTAGAAGACCGCCGGCGCCCCATCGCCCCTTCCCCACGTGCGCCTCGGCGCCGGGTGCCCGCCTCGCGCCGCGCCCAGCCCATGCCCATCCCACCCACCCCACCCCGCCCGCCTCTCGCGGAGCAGGCGCTGCAGGCGCGGCACTCGGTCCACCCCTGCGGCGAGGTGCTCTGCCTCAGCTCGGGCGGCTGCCCGTGGAAGACGCACCTGTACGAGCTCGAGCGCTCGCTCGGCGTCGAGCCGCTGGTCAAGTTTGTGCTCTACCCTGACACGGCGGGCATGTGGCGCGTGCAGGCGGTGACGGTCGAGGGCACCGCCTTCACCAACCGGCTCGGCCTGCTCGAGCCGTGGCGGGGTGTGCGGGACGCGGAGCTGGCTGCGAAGTGCGGCATCCCGGGCGCAAAGTTTGTGCACGCGTCCGGCTTCATCGGCGGGCACGAGACGAACGAAGGGGCGCTGCAAATGGCGCTCAAAACGATCGAGTCCTCCCGGTAAAGCTGAAGAGCGACGCGGCCGCCACACCGGTCACGCGGACGGTGCACGGTAGCCGTACTCTCTTTTCTGACGATAGTCTCTACTTTTATCTGTGCCGGCGGTGTCAGCTATATAGAGAAAGCAGTACCAGTATCTGGTATGTGGTATCTCTACGTTCTCGGCACTCGGCGTCTCGGCCGTCTCGGCACTCGTGATGTCCCCTTTGCGATCGTCGGCGCGCAAACTGGCCCCGATGGATTGCGAGGTCCCGAGGACGGCCGCAGTCCGTCAACGGGGATCAATGGAGATTCGGACAGCACTTTCTTTGTTCGAGGGAAGAAATGCTCTGCTCGCTTTTCTGCCAGTGCCCGAGACGACGAGACAGTGAGATCGCGACCGAGCTCAAGAAAGAATCTCCGAGCTCCGGCCCATCCCCATACCCTCGGGCACTTGCCTGCGCCCTCACGCGCTAGCCCGCCCTGCCCCGCAAGATCTCACTCCATCCCGGCCTGCGGCATACATGCACCTCGGCACCCCCTTGCACGGAATCTGAGCGTGAGGGAATCTGCTGAGGGAGGGTGTATAGCATCGTCGGCTCAGTGATGGGTACAGTGGGTTGCGGGCATTAAGAAAGCGTCGCATTAAGAAACCACGCCGAGCGATTTCTGCAAAAATCTAAGAAACCACGGCGCGCCGCAGGCGCGGCTCCGAGAAAAGGCCAGACACGAGTGTGAACGGGAGCTCCCAGCTCGTCAAATGAAAATTTCTCTTCGCCTGCGCGGCGCGCGCACTTGGCATTTTGCAAGTCTGCGGTGTTCTGAGTGAGCGGTGTGGATGGAGGCGTGTGCGTCTTGAGCAAGGCTAGGGTGGACCATTAACAGGGGGGTTTCCAAAACTGCCTCATAACAGTTTCAAAACTGCCTGGTAGATATCTGGTTGGGTTTTTGGGCAGGGCGGTATCTGGCTGGTAACTGCCAGATACTTACTCGCGTGTCCCCGTGCCGTGAGCACCGCAGCCTACTGTCTGAATACGCGGAGCGAAGAAAATTTTATACGGAATACGTCGCTTTTGGGAAAGTTTTTGGAATACGTTGGAATACCTACGTATTCCACCTCCCCCCCCTCACTCACAGGTACACACGTACACTCGTACACTCGTACACTCGTACAGTCGTACACGCATGCAAGTACTCCTCAAATTCTGTGCGCAAGAGCCGGCGGCTCCTGTCCCTATTCTATGCAGAGCACCCAGCCGGGGCGGCCGCCGTAGTCCTCGGCCCAAACGTAGCCGTTTCCGTTCACTAGGGGTGGTGCGTTTTCGGCCGCAACCTCCTCGGTCATGCCTTCGGTGTCGCAGTGGTCGGTGGTGGTCCCACCGTCGGTCGTCAAGCCGAGCGCGACGCGCTCCTTGTGAGCCGCAAGCCATGCTGCAATTGATGCGTCGGCTCGCGCACTTGCTGCGTCCTGGCGCTTGTTGAAGTCTGCCGCCGCCTTCTGCCACTGCCGCTGCCGCAGCGCCCGCAGCCGCTGCACGGTCTCGTTGGTCAGCAGCGTCTTCGACTGGCGGTCCTCAATCACGTCGGCCTGCACACGCAAGTACCAAGCAGCCGCAGCCGCTTGAGGGCCTGTCATGCTTGCGCCAACTGACCAGCTGTCGCTCGCGGTCGAAGGAAAAACACAAGAAAAAAGAGGGAGCTGAATACCATTCTAGAGCTGTTTGGGAATACGTGGAATACGTACCATTCTAGAGCTGTTTTGGAATACGTGGAATACGTATTCAGACAGTAGGCACCGCAGACGTAACTGTGAACCCAAACCTCGGGTTAACCTCGCACCTTTCGGGGAAGCGTCATGGGGAAGCGTGGTCCTGCCCCGAAGAAGCCGCCGCCGCCGCCGAAGCCAAAGCCGCAGGGCACGGGCGGCAAAAAGCGCACGCCGACGAGCGCCTTCGACCCGGCGGCCGGCAAGGACGTCTACGAGCCGGAGAGAATCATCGCGCAGCGCCTCGCGAAAGGTGGCATCACGCAGTACAACGTGAAGTGGGCCGGCTTCGAGAATAAGGACAACACGTGGGAGCCCATCGAGCATCTCGCCGGCTGCGAGGATATGATCGCGGAGTTCAAGGAGCGCGAGAAGACGCGCATCTCGCAGCTCGAAGCCGCCGCAGAGGCGAAGCGCAAGGAGAAGGAGGATGCGGCTGCGAAGGCGGCAGCGGATGCTGCTGAGGCGGCGGCGGCGGCTCGTGTGGCAGCAGCTGAGGCGGGGCAGCGGCGCTCGCCGCGCAAGCAGGCTGAAACGGCCGCGGCGGAGGTGACCGAGGTGCCCCCTGCAGCCGTCAAGCAGGAGGGCTCCAAGCGCACGGCGCCAGTATGGACTGCCTTCGACACGACGGGGGCGCCTGCGGGTAAGGCGTGCTGCAAGCTGTGGAAGGACAACAAGGAGGAGAACGGCGTGTGCGGGACGCCCATCTCGATTGCCGGCGGGCCGACGGCGATGTGGAACCACGTGATGTTCAAGCACCCCGAGGACTACATCCGCCTGAAGCCAGCAGGCGAGCCGCTTAATGTGAAGGTGGACCCGCAGTCGAAGATGAATGCGCTGCCGGCAGCGCATCGCGACGCCATCCACAAGGCGCACGCGCGCTGGCTTTGCAAGCGCAAGCGCCCGCTCTCGCTGCCCGAGGACGAGGAGTACCACGATGTGTGGCACGTCGCGATGCGCGGCGCGTACACGCCGCCCGACCACAAGATCATCATGTCGAACGTGCTCATCCTCTCAGGCGAGGGCAAGAAGAAGCTGTTTGACATCAACACGTCGCTGCGCGCCGAGGGCATCAAGCCGGCGATGGCCGGCGATATCTGGTCCGACCGCGGCGTCTCGCTGCTCGGCCTCTGCGAGTACTACATGAGCGCCGAGTGGACCATCGAGCAGCTCGTGCTCGCGGCGACGCCGTTCTCCGAGCGGCACACGGGCGAGGCGATCGACGAGAAGACGCGCTCCGCGTGCGTCGCCGCCGGCCTCTCGAGCGACGTCTTCTCGACCGTCTTCTTCCCCGTCTCCGACAATGCGTCCAACATGAAGAACGGCTGGTCGGGCTTCGGCCGCGGGCCGTGCTGCGTGCACACGGGCCAGCTCTCGGTGCACGTCTTCCTCGGTCACGAGGCGATCAAGCCGACGCGCGACAAGGAGCACGGCATCGTCGCCCACTTCTCGCACGCGACGGGCGTCGACGGCCTCGGTGCGCTGCACGGATGCCAGCGCGAGTGCAACCTGCCCGAGCACCACCCCGTCAAGGACAACGACACGCGCTGGAGCTCGGGCCACGACCAGATGGAGTTCTTCCGCGTGCAGCAGCGTGCCGTGCAGCTCTATGACGTCAACCACGCGCGCAAGGCGGGCCACGCGTACCGCCAGCACCAGATGGGTCTGGAGGACTGGCGCATCAACCAGGAGAGCGTCGCGGTGCTGCAGCCGATCGCGGACTGGACGCAGCACATGCAGGGCACGAAGTATCCCACGCTGCCGCTCGTGCTGCCGACGGTCTACGGCCTGATCGACGGGATGGCGCCCGAGACCGCACTCACACTCGACTTCCCTGGCGCGCACGCGTACGACCTCGAGCCCGAGGAGATGCACCAGGGCGTGCTCTCGGCGCGCACGGCGATGCACGGCGACTGGGTCTCGCGCTGGATCACCAACCTGCCCGACGAGACGAAGCGCACGTACGCCATCGCCACCCTCCTCCACCCGTGCTTCAAGTCGTACGACTTCATCGACGAGTACGCCTTCGTCCCCTCGAGCGACAAGTCGTGGGCGCTGCGCGAGCTGCGCACGGAGTGGTCGACGGTGTGGAAGCCGCGGCCCAAGCCCACACCCGTGGTCGCCGATGGCGCGCCTGGTGGCAGCGGCGAGCCGATGCCGGCCGCGCCCGCGCCCGCGCCCGCGCCCGCGCCCGCGCCCGCGCCCGCGCCCGCGCCCGCGCCCGCGGAGCCACCGGCGGAGCCGCCGACGAAGAAGCGGAAGGTGAGCCTTGGCAACCTGCTCGGCAAGGTCAAGAAGGAGAAGAAGGACGACAAGCCAACGCCGGAGATCGACGAGCTCGAGCAGTACCTGGCCGACCCTGAGGAGCCGGACATCGAGGTGGACGTGCTCGCGTGGTGGAAGGCGAAGGAGACCAAGTGGCCGGCACTCGCGAAGATGGTCAAGCAGTACTTCGCTGCACCCGCCTCCTCCGCCGGCGTCGAGCGCGTCTTCTCCGCGGCGGGCAAGATGCACGGCGACCTGCAGAAGTCGGCCAAGGACTCGACGCTCGAGCACTCGCTCTTCGCCGCGTTCAACACGGAGTGAGAGAGAGCTGCATGTGGTTGGTAATGGGCTGTTATCTGGTATAAGGTGGTGTTTTGGTGGCAACCAGATAGTGTTAACTCATTCAAAACCACCAGTTAGTGCCTGTTAACTAGTTATCTTGTTATCTGGTTCATCCCCACCCTAGCCTTGGTCTTGAGTCGGTGGCAGACTGGCTGGCGGCATCGGATCCGGGACCGCAGCTCACCTCTTCCGACTATCCGGGGCCGGCTCTGACCTTTGACCCACCTTGATTGAGTGCCCCGGCCGAAGTTAAGAAACCACGGCGTGGGGTGGGTGAGGGGTGTGGAAAGGCTTAGAAACGGCGGCGTGCCGCGCAATCCTGTTTTCTTAATGCCCGCAACCCACTGTATCCCTTGCACCGCGCGTCCTAGCACCTAGGTGATCTTCAGGAATCTCAAGAGAGGGGCGCTAAATTACCTGTGTTAGTGCCAGTGCGCGCCAGTCCCGTGCCCATTAAAAAAGAAAGACAGAACCGACAAACCACGAGGGATGGGGGAGGAGGGCAGGGCCCCGTGCCCAGTGTCGTGCGAGGACACGCTTTGAAATTCTCTTTTTGTGTACCTGTGTTAGTGCCAGTGCGCGCCAGTACCGTGCCCAGTGTTGTCCGAGGGTTCGTTAGTAAAATTCTCTTTTTTCTGACACTGGTACCAGGCGCTGCTCTCTCGGGCGGCGTTTGCTCGCTCAGTGTGGGGTTCTCATGCACAGGTTCGCGCCCGGCCCGCTGCGGCCGTTAGGCGCCCGCTCACAGCCACCGGCGCCCCGTCCTGTAGCTTTTGGCAGCGGCTGAATGCGCTCTTCTTCTACACGCTCTCGTGTCTGGGCGCTTTTGCCTTCTTGGCAGCTGCGACGACATACTTCCACGAGGCCGAGCCCCGGGTCTCCCTGCAGCTGGAGCGAATCATGCTGTGAGCGCACGTCCCGCGTCCCATGACACGCGCGGCGCGGCGCTTGCCGACGCCGCTGCACCGCCACCCCATCGTAGGAGGAGGATTCAGAGCGCCGGTCACGACCAAGCGATCCTGAGTCTGGCGATCGACGCGGACCTGCGCTCGGTCTTCAACTGGAACGTCAAGCAGCTGTTCGTGTACGTCACCGCCGAGTACGAGACCCAGGCGAACGTCCTCAACCAGGTCGTCGTCTGGGACTCCGTCATCTCGGAGCCCGAGCAGGCGCACATCAAATCGGACCTGGTGGTGAACAAGTACTCGCTCACCGACCAGGGCTTCGGCCTCCGAGACAACGAGGTCAAGCTCGTCCTCAACTGGAACACAGTGCCGGCGACGGGCTTGCTGACCCTCTCGCACGCGTTTGACCAGATCCACACCTTCCAGGTCCCCGCGACCTATGCCTAGTTTCGCCGCTTGCCCTCTAGGCGTGGGGGTATTTTTTCTTTTAACCTGAAACCGGGGCCGGCGGTTCTCGCTTCTTTCGGTCATGTCGGACGACGACTCGTCGTCGGCCGAGTCGTGGGACTCTGGCTCTCAGCACTCTGGGTCAGGTGCGCCGGGCAGCAGCGCAGACCTGCTCTGCGGCTCTCAACGCGTTGCTGTGCTTCTCGTGCTTGGTGGAGCCAGCCCGTCGACACTCGGCGCTTCCGCTCGCCGCACCCTCTCGCGCAAGGTCCTCTCACGCCTCTCTCTCTGCGGTCTGCGGCTCTCGGAGACTTCCGAGACCGTGGCGCTCAGCACGGCGTGCTGGGCGAGCGAGACGCAATCGGCCGCTCCGAGCGGCGGCGGCGGCGGGGAGTGCAGTGCTGCTTGTTGGGAGGACGGGCCTGCAGCGCTCGCCGAATGGCTTGCCGTCTGCCGCTCGTGGGTCGCAAGTAGCAGCAGCCGCAACCAGCGGCACGCCACAGCGGTGCGAGGCGCCCTCGAGTCGGCTCTGGCGGCCCTTACGGCGGCAGCGGGGGGCGAGGCGCCGCTCGTTATGGTGGCGCTCGGCCCCGCCTCGGTGCCAGCGCTCTTTCACATCGAAGCGATGCAGCGCGCGGCGGCAGCGGCGACGAACACGGGTGGCAGCGGCCGAACAGACTGCGGTGCTCGTGCCTCTGGCGAGGGTGGCAGCTATCGCAGTGAAGCCCGGGAGGAGAGGATCTCGTCGGCGCTCGAACGCGGTGAGACGATTGCAGCCGTCTACACGCTCGGCTGTCCCTTGCCGCTGCACGCTGCCACTGCGAGTGGCGCCTCCCCCGCCGCCTCTGCCGCCGGCGCTGCAGCGCCTTCGGTGCCGTCGATCGCGGTGCCGTCTCCGGCCTTGCTGTTGCGCCGGCCACAGCTGGGGGAGAAGCCGCCCTCGCTGAGGGGGCTGGACCCTGGCCTCGGCTGGACAAACTTGTACCACGCCGGAGACCCGCTCGGGTACCCTCTCGCGCCGGTGCTGCCGCGAAAGGCGGCCGTGCAGGACAGGCTAGTCCGGCTGCGTCCCGTGCACGCCACAGCCGAGGGGCGCTGGGGCGGGAGCGCAACGTACCTCTCGCGCGCCGCGTCTCGCTCCGTCGCCTCGCCGCTGGCCCACGCGCTCGTGCAGCTGTGGCTCGCGACCAACCCGGACGTGGCCGCTGCGCTCGACCTGTCGCCCTTGCATGCTCATCGCGAGCATCGCTCTCGCGCACGCGGTGTCCTGACAAAGCACGCCGCAGCGGCTTCGGCAGCGGCCGCTCGCACGCGCTCTCGCCTCAACTCGGTGGCCACCCACTACGCCTCCTCGCTCGTCGAAAGGTCTGCGACGATGGGGAGGGAAGCTTCGGTGGGACGCAAGCCTGGCGCTGTGGCGGTGGCGGGCGCTGCGGCAGGTGCGGAGAGGGTCGCCGCTGGCGCCGTTTCCGCCGCACGCTTGGCCGGCTCTGCTACCGCCCGCTCCTTCGCGAACATGAAGCCGCGACAGGGCAAGGACAAGGTTTGAGACGGCGGCGCGCGACGGTTGCCGCCGCGTGAATGCTACTGAGCATTGCGTGTGGAAGCGTGTGACGTTATTTCGCGTTTGGGGACCCCGCGCACAGTCCCGCACACATCCCGGGTGCGCACGCACGTCCCTGCCGCCCGCTGCAGTTTCTCGTTTTCTCAAACGCCAGAGTCGCAGAGTCTCACAGAGGGTGTGACCGACGACTCGACAGTGTCGATCGGGACAGTTTTCGCCACGCCCCACGCTCGCTCCGCCGAGATGTGAGAATACTGCGACACGCATGAAGACGACGCGCGCGCACGGTAGAGGGTTGGCAGGAGCAGCGGTCTCGACGAACGCGACGCGAAAACCCACCCCAAAACGCGAGGAGGCCGCCACTGTCTCCCAGCGCCGACGTTCCCACGGCTGCCTTACGACTGTACAGATCGCGACGCGCCGCTCACTGCACGCCTCCTCCCGCGCCCATGCCAATCGACTTGGCCTGCTGCGCCATCTGCTTGCGCAGATGGTTCTTGTACGAGTTGATGTCGCCCTTCCACGGAGTGATCTTCTTGTCCTCGCACACCCAGATGACGTCCGCCACCTGGTCGAGCAGCTTGAAGTCGTGCGAGACGAGCACCACGCCGCCGTTGAACTTCTTGATCGCAAGCGCGAGCGAGTCGATCATGTCCATGTCGAGCGGGTTGGTAGGCTCGTCGAGCAGCAGCATATGCGGGTTGCGCAGCGACATCAGGCAAAAGACGAGGCGCGCGCGGTAGCCAGGCGAGAGCGTAGAGATGAGCGAGGTCTGCGCCTGTGCGGGGCGTGGATGGAAGGGGGTGGGTATAGGTGCACGTAGCGGTGGTGGGAAGGGGCGTGCGGCGGCGCGGTGCCTTGCCGGTGACGCCGAAGATGCCGAGCTTGCTTCGCCAGTCCTGCACCTCCATCTTCTTCTTGCCCTCTGCGGTGACGAGCCCGTCGGGGTACTTTTCCAACATGAAATCGAGCGGCGTCTTGTTGAGGTCGAGCACGTCCTCCGAGTGCTGGTTGTACCTGCCGATCCGGAGGTGCGGGTTGCGGCGGATCTCGCCCTCGGAGGGCTCGATGTCGAGCGTCATCAGCTTGAGGAGCGTGGACTTGCCCGCGCCGTTCGGGCCGACGAGGGCGATGCGGCTGTCGCAGTCGATCCCAAAGTCGAGGTTGGTGTACAGGTAGTCCTCGACCTTGCCCGAGTAGGAGAAGGAGACGTTCTGGAAGGCCATGACCGGCGGCGGGATCTTTTCCGACGACGGGAAGCCGAAGCGGAAGACGGGGTCGTCGACCGGCTTTGTGGTGAGGCCCGCCTCGACCATCTTGTCGATGATCTTCTGCTTGGACTGCGCCTGCTTGACCAGGTTGGAGTAGGTGCCGCACGAGGAGATGAACTCCTTGAGGTGCTTGATGTCCTCCTGCTCCTTCTCGTACCGCTTGAGCTGGTTCACCTCCGCCTCGCGCCGCGTGCGCACGTACGAGTCGTAGTTGCCTCCGTACAGGTCGAGCGTCTGCCGCACGGTCAGATGGTAGATCTTGGACGCGACGCCGTTGAGGAAGTCGGCCGAGTGGGACGTGAAGAGCAGGATCGAGTCCCACTTGGCGAGGTAGTCCTCGAGCCACACGCACGCGCCCAAGTCCAGGTGGTTGGTGGGCTCGTCCAGCACGAGCACCATCGGCTTGACGAAGAGCGCCTGCGCCAGCGCCACCCGCATGCGCCACCCGCCCGACATGTCCTTGGTCGCGCGCCTATTCGCAGCCGGTGCGGTGAAGAGGCTCCGCTCACGCCCCGCCACCCGCCCCACGTCTGCATAGCCGCGCGCTTCATCATCGCCTGCGAGAAGCCGAGGCCGAAGAGGAGCTCCCCCGCGCGCTTCTCGAAGGTGCTCGGGTCCATCCGCTCAAGCTTGTCGTAGATCGCCTCAAGCCGCGGGTCCTCGGGCCCCACCGTCGACATGATCTCCTCCTCGAGCGCCTCGAGCCTCTCCTTCTCCTCGCGCACCGTGTCGATGACAGTGTCGACGGCGGAACGGTCGGTCGGCTCGGCCTCGTGGTCCAGGAACCTGCACCGCGACGTCACCCGGGAGATGAGTGGCGGGCGGCACGGGCGGGCGGGCGGCGCGGGCGGGCGGCGCGGCGGCGCGGCGAGGCGCACCAGATGTCCATCCACTCTGGGATCGGAACCAGCCGCGACGCAACGCACCTGCGGGGGAGAGGGGGCGCCGCAGTGGGAGCGAGCCGCGGCGGCGCCGAAGAAGCCGGGGAGCGCGGCGCGGCGGCGTCACTTGAGCATCGTGCTCTTGCCCGACCCGTTCTGCGCGATGAGGCCGTAGCGGTGCCCCCACGTCAGCTCGAGCGTCTGATCCTCAAACAGCTGCTTGCCTACGGACGCCCTCGGGGACCCGTCTGCAGGCGCAGGGCGGACCTGAGCGGCAGGTCGGCCGCCGCGCGCCGAAGAGCGAGATCGAGAAGGAGTCGATCTTGATGTCGCGCGAGTCCTTGCGCGACGTCAGGTTCGCAGTCACGACGGCGAGCTCGTGCGTGCCCTTGTCGAGCGCGCCCTCGTCCTCCGCCGCATCCTTCTTGCCCTTCTTGCCCTTCTTGGCCTTGTCGCCAATCTCAAGCTCCGACATCTCCTCCTCCACCACCTCGCCCCGCTCCGCCGCCTACAGCTCGCACAGGCGGTGACCGCCGCCGCAAGCCATGTGGCGCCTCCCTCGCCGCCGCCCCGAGGACGCCTCTGCCGCCTTGCGCGCCGCCTTCTTCGCGGCAATCTCGGCCTTCTTGGCCTCGGCGGCCGCCTTCTTCTCCTCCTTAGTCATCTTCTTCTCTGTATGTCGGGGGCGGGGGTGCGACGGGTGAGCGCACAGAGTCGCCCTACTAGAATTGCATCCTCGTGGCTCTCGTGTGCGCTCAGCGCTGTCGACGCGCCGCCCGCGTTAAGGAGTCCGTCCGCCGACGCCGCTCCAAGGGCCAAGAGCCCGCGCAGCACGCTCCAGACAGTTCGCGGGAATGCCGCTGCTGCGGCGGCTGCGGCGGCTGCGGCGGCTGCGGCGGCTGCAGCGGCTGCGGCGGCTGCGGCGGCTGCGGCGGCTGCGGCGGCTGCGGCGGCTGCGGCGGCTGCGGCGGCTGCGGCGGCTGCAGCTGCGGCTGCAGCGACGGCCGGCGGCGCGCACCGAATAGCGTCGCTTCGCCCTTGTCGAGGCCTCCGCCGACGCCCATTCCCGACTTCTCCATACGCTCGCGCTGCTCGTCGGTCATCTCCGAGTCGAGCTCCTTGCTCATGGCAAAGGCGGCCTGCTTGGCAAGCCGCTCCTTCTTCGGCATGGTTGGGTGTGCCTGCGGCGGAAGCACAGGGTGTCGGTGCTGAGACGACGACTTGCCACACGCTGCTGCTGGTGAGGCAAGGTGGCCGAAGAAACGGCGCACGGGACCGCCGAGGGGAGAACGGCGAGCGGGGGAGTACACCTTGCGAGAGCAGTTGGCGAGCGTCGGCTGCGCGGGCGCGTGCTCGCCGGGAAGCTTGGAGAACCATTTTTTTATTTCCTGAGAAGTGAAAATCGAGATCGGAGTAGAGAGACTAGCCGGTGAGCGGTGTACCCCCCCCCCCCCGGCGAAGCTTCGACCACGATTTTTTATTTCCTGTGGTGAAAAAGAATTTCACGGAGTCGGGGCGGGTGCTAGTCGGTTCACGGTTCACGGTTCGGCCCGACGCTGCCCCGCCTGGTTCGTTCACTGGTTCGCGGTTCGCCCTTATGTCCTGTGCCTCGGTTCGAGTTCACGGTTCAGAGTTCATGGTCGGTTCGAGGGTGAAGACCACTGAACTAGTTCATTTGGAGCACTTGGAGTGCAGTCATCAACCTCACATCCAGGGCCATGAACCAAGCTTCCTTTCACACCTCTTACACACCGACACAGTTCGCGAACCACAGTTCGCGAATCACCCGTGAACCGAGACCCAGAAATTCGAAGGAAAAGACGAGATGATGGGCTACCTGTGCCTCTGCCCGCCGGCCGTCTGTCGCCGCTCAGCCCTAACATACAGTTGCCGCCCACGCTCCTCCGACGCCGATAACTTACGGATTTTACGTTCGAACTCATATCGCGCTTGTTCACAGGAGAACGACAAGTACAGTTCCGGACGGGCATTAAGAACGCACAGGTTCTTCGCCCAGCCTCAGGTTCTTAGCTAAGTCGGCGGTCCGTCGGGGGCCGAGCCTCAGGTTCTTAACCGGGTGGATGGTTTTTTAAACCGTTTCGGCTTCGATTAAAAATCAATAAATGGGTCTTAAAACAGTTTGGAAGTTTGGAACAGTAAGTTCGCGCATGGCGTGACAAGAGAGTCATTCGCTGCCGTGAGCTGCCCCTGCGGCTGCGGCCGCGGGGGCAGGGGCGCCGGCTGCAGGCGTTGGCCCAGCCTCAGGTTCTTAGGGAGTTCTTAGGGATCCGGCCGAAATATGAGCCTCAGGTTCTTAACGTTAGAGGTTCTTAATGCCCGTCCGGAACTGTACGACTTCGATCCTCAAGAGGACCTCATCGACCAGCTTCACCTGGACATGGGACGGATTTACGCGACCTTGAGAAGCAGCCACGGTTTGGCTTCCTCCCGGCGATGGCGAGTCTTTCGGCGCCCTCATGGCCGAGTCTTTCTGCGCCAAGCAGTGGTGCACCGCGTCACCGCCTCAGTCTCAACGCGGAGGAGTACTCGATGGTGGTGATTCTCCGCATGAACCGCGCCTTCATTGGAGTACATGCGCAAGCACGAGAAGGACTATGAGCCCCGGCAAGTAGAACGAGGCACGGTCGCTCTCCGACATGAGGCGCGTTGCACTTGCCAGTGCGGCCCTGGTAATCTGCCCTGAAGAACTTTTAGCGACCGGGTAAGCTGAAACGCGAATTGTGGGAGAGACTGGGTAAACTGATTTGTCAGTTTTTTGATGAAATTACTGCTGAGCAGGAAAATCGTTGCCGGGTAATCTGGACGAGAAACTTGGTCGACCGGGTAATCTGCCCTGATAAATTTTAGCGACCGGGTAAGCTGAAACATGAATTGTGGGAGACTGGGTAAACTGGTTTCACGGAAATCGCGCTAAGCAGGAAAATATCGTTGGCCGGGTACTTTGCGAGGCGAATCTCAAAAACATAGGTGTGATTTGGCCTTCTTTGTCGTTGTTTATTTTTTAGCAATACCAAACAAATTCAAATCATTCACACATCATTTCTTTGTTGTTTTGTTTGAGAGAGATTTTTTAGAATTTTTGAAACCCAACCAACCAGAAATCACGACTCTCGCCGACGCCGTGATTTGGGCTCGGCAGCTTGTGTGTGTGTGTGTGTGTGTGTGTGTGTGTGTGTGTGTGTGTGTGTGTGTGTGTGTGTGTGTGTGTGTGTGTGTGTGTGTGTGTGTGTGTGTGTGTGTGTGTGTGTGTGTGTGTGTGTGTGTGTGTGTGTGTGTGTGTGTGTGTGTGTGTGTGTGTGTGTGTGTGTGTGTGTGTGTGTGTGTGTGTGTGTGTGTCGTCGTGGTTTCGTATCAAGAATACTCACTCACTCACTCTCACTCACGGGCCGGCCGGCAGCTTGTCAGCCCTCACTCAGCCGAAGCTGGGGGCCCGGTCCCGGTCTTGCCTGTTTGTTTGTGCCATCCATGCATGGCTGGCAGGCACTGCTCAACTCTCTCCCGCAGCCCGCACATAAAGAAAGAAAGAAAGAACACAGACAACGCAAGGGAGGGATGGGATGGGTGGGAGGACGGCACGCCGCCACCAACCTTGGATTTTAAGGAGAGAAGTGCGGTGCTAGCCGTCGGCCACCCTCGGGCGTCTACCTCTTCCTATCTCTGTTCGCACATAATCCACATGTGCAATTTTCATTTTTTCTTTCAGCTTCATGGACACTAAAAGCACACCCCCCGGCTGGATCTCTCATGCAGCTCACGAGGCTCGTGGCTGCCCTCGGCCTCCTCGCGGCCACATCCGCCTTCTCGCTCGCTCCCGCGCGGCCGGCGCGTGCGCTGCTCTCTCCGGCCGCCTCTGCTGCCGTCCAGCCTTCTATGTTCTTTGGTGCCAAGGCTGCGGCACCCAAGGCACGCCTATTGCGCTGCACAAACGCGTGCCACCCAGCCTTTACCCTGCACCCTCCCTCCGCATCAGAAGCCGCTGAAGAAGCCGGTGAGGCCGGTCAAGAAGGCCGTGAAGAAGCCGCCCTCCGTCTCGCCGGTCAAGAAGGTTCGCATTGCCCACCCTCACTCCGCAGAAGCGGCTGCACCGTCGCCACCACCTCATTTCCCCAGCTCGCGGCCTGACTCACTAGTGCGGCACCGTGCCCAACCTACCCACCTCACTGGTAGCGCCACTGTGCCTCCGGCCCCGCCAGCCTGTCAAGAAGCCGGTCAAGAGGGTCGTGGCGAAGAAGCCCGTCGCCAAGAAGCCCGTCGCCAAGAAGGCGCCGCCAAAGAGGGCGCCGGTGCGCAAGCCCGTGGCCAAGAACGCGCCCGTTCGCAAGCCCGTCGCACGCAAGCCCGTTTCTCGCAAGCCGACCGGCGCCACCCGCGGCGCTCGCTCGGGAGAGGGCGCCCAGCTCTTCGCAGCTCTGCCGGGCCAGGTTGCGGGCAGCGTCGGCGGCTTCCTCGGCAGCTCAAAGGCCCCGACGGCGGGCACCAACCCGCTGCTGGTGATCGGCGGCGTCGGCTTCTGGGCGATCGTCGCTCTCAAGCTCATCCTCGGAGCCAACAGCGGCTATGCGTAAACGCCAGCGCCGGCCGGCCCCAGGCGAGGTGCTGCTCGGTGTCGCTTCGAGTCCGTCTCGGGGAGAAGAACAGAGAAGACACAGCGATTTCTGTCCACACACATGCCAAGAAGCCGGAGTGTGTCTCTGGACGCTCTCCTTGCTGCCCGGGCCTTTATTTGCATCGCTGATATACAACAGCAAAAAAGCGCGTCGTGTCTCCGCTCGCGCGGGCGCCGCCGCCGGGCGGGGCCAAGATCCCATCTCATCTCAGAGTTTGACCGTTTTATTTATTTATTCATTGGACAGGGCCAAGGGGCACATACGCGAAAAGATAGATGGCACGACGCAGCTCCACTCCGACGCCCCGAGCCCGGGCACCTGCAAGCAGGTAGATAGAGATGCCTTCTAAAGCCCGCGCGACAACGAAGGCAGCCGGCCGTGCCGGACTGGACATCAAAACGGTCGCAGAAAAATAAAACCAGGCAAAATTCGTCATTTCCCCCAGTTCCGTGCCAGAGTACAATCTTCCCACGCCACGCAACCCCAGTGCTCGGTTTGGACCTCGGCAACGTCGGCAAATTGGCCATGCAGGAGCTCGCGGCCGCCACGATCCAGCGAGCTGCGAGGGGCAAATTGGCCATGCAGGAGCTCGCGGCCGCCACGATCCAGCGAGCTGCGAGGCGAATCCCGCAAAGCGAGTGCTCAATCTGCCTCGGGCCCTGCGACAAGCTCATCACGTGGCCAAGCGTGCCAGGCCCTGGCGCCGCCGCCGCCTGCAAGCACGGGTTTTGCCGACGCTGCCTCACTGCGTGGCTCCGAGCAACCAAAGAGCCCAGGTGCCCAATCTGTCGGGCGCCGGCGTCCAGCCACATTACCCAGAATGTTGCACGCCGCGCGCCGGGAGACATCCTCTCTCTCATCCTGCCGCCCGCGTATACTTACCAGGAGGAAGACGCGCGCGAGCCTCGCAGTACAACGCTGCCGTCAGGCTTTGGGTCACTGGACCTCCCGGAGCTAGCATGGAAAGCTATCTCGCGCGGCGTACAGCGCAGACTGAAGCGGCGCTCGCACCGCCCGTAAACACACGCTGCGCCCCGCTCTGGCACTATCATTCTGTTTTCGGGCTCGGCCCGCAGCGCGGCCGCGGCGACTCGCCGGGTCGCGGCGCACCCCTCTACCTGCCATGTGTGTATGTATCGCCGGCCTTTATCTATGTTAAAAGAGGTGCGTTTTACCGGTGCCGTTAAGTATCTGTCATACACGGCTCAAGGGCGCCGGGGCCACCACGGCCAGGTCACGCTCGACCGCCTCCTCGCCGCCCGCCTCGTCCGCGACCGCGTGCTTGCTGCTGCTGTTCTTGTCGGGCGCCTCGGCACTCGCTGCCTCAGCACTCGCTGCCGCCCCTCCGGCCTCCGAGGCGGGCTCGGAGTAAGGCACCGACGACGTGGTCAGCTGCTCCGAGAGGGCGACCTCGTCGGGCCTCGAGCCGCGGCTGCGAAACACAACCTCGGCCAGGGTGCGGGTGGAGGCGGTGCCGCGCGTGGAGGCAGGGCGGGAGACGTTGCGCTCGGTGATGCGCCGCGACCGGTCCTCGTTCAGCACCGCGACCTGCGCCTTGAGCCGCGCGAGCCGCTCGCCGCGGATGGGGTAGGCAAAGCCGAGAAGCGTGAGGAGGGCGAGCACGACGGGGCCAAAGACCAGGAAGGAGAGCTCGATGGCGGTCACCTGCGACGGCGGCCGCTAGGGTGGGGCAGGGGAGGGCGGCGAGGGCGGGAGGCGCGCGGGCGCGCGCCGCGGAGGCGGGCTGCTCGGAGGGGCACTGCTTCGGGTCGAAGCCCGCCCAGCCGTAGGAGGCGAGGATCAGCGCGACGACGACCTCGGAGAGGTGCTGGCAGACGCCTGCGAGAGGTTTTGGGGGGGGGGGGGGGGAGGGGGTCAGGGGGGCTCGGCGTCGCCTCGCGAGGGGCGGGCCGGCGGCGTCTGCTTGCCGTTACAGGCGTAGAACATCCCCTCCCGCCTCAGCCCGCGCCGCTCGACGCCGTCTTCGTCGATCGCCCACCCCATCAGCATGTGCGAGATGATGTCGTTCGGGCTCTGCGTCACGCCGAGCACGGCGCCCGCGGCGGCGGCGGTGGCGGTGAGCTTGCTCATCTGCGGGCCGCCCTCCGCGTTGCCCTCTGCTTTCAGCAGGAGGAAGAAGAGGACCACCAGCCCCGCCTCGATCGCGCGCAAGACGGAGTAGACGGACGCCGGGTGCGCGCGCTGGAGGAGCCACAAATAGAGGGGCAGCGAGAGGACGCGCGTCGCGATGACGGGCAGCATCATGGCGCCCATCAGAAAGCCGACCTGCGGCGAGGGCCGGGCGGCGTGTCGGCCGCGAGGGAGGGCGGGCGGGGCGAGCGGGGCGGCGGGGCGGGTGGGGCGAGCGGGGCGGCGGGGCGGGCGGGGCGGGCGGGCGAGCGGGGCGGCGGGGCGGCCGCCTGCGCCACGTCGATGCCGACGACGTAGACGAGATAGAGCGAGATGTTGGTGAGGAGGTGCGACATGTAGCACTGCGAGAGGAACATGATGGCGGCGTAGACGCGGAACGAGTGCAGGCGGAAGGTTGCCCGGAGCGAGGCGCAGAGCGAGAGCGGCGCCTGCCCGCCCGCCTCCTCGAGCGAGATTGGCGTGCGGCGCGCCGGCGCGACGGCGAGGAAGGCGCACGTCCCCATGAGCGCGATGAGGCCGGCGACGAGGCCGAAGCGCCAAAACTCGGTGCCGACCCCGCTCGGCTCGCCCGTTTCCGGGTCGAGGCCGCACGCGTCGGCGCGCAGCTTCAGCGCCTCGCTGAGCAGGCCGTCCGCAGACGCGTTGGCGGCGGCGGCGCACTGGGCGACGTAGTCGGGTGCAAAGGCGTCGGTGGCGAGCACCCACGGGGCGGCGGCCCACGGGGCGGAGGGAGGACTCTCGGCCGGTGAGAGCGGCGGAGGCGGCGGCGGCGGCGACCGGGCGCGATAGTCGTGCACGCCAAATAGGTCGGGGGCATCACGGTAGCACACGCAGGGGAGGCTGTCGTGCTCGTCGGGCTGTGGGCAGCCGGAGGCGGGGATGCAGCACGTCTCTGTCGTGTCGGGCGTGTAGGAGAAGGCGATCACCGGCAGCACCGCCGAGACGAGCTGCGAGACGGTCAGGAACGGCACCTGGCGCGCGATCGCACGCTTGCGCGACGCGCCCGTGGTGAAGAGCTCCTGGATCGAGGCGAGGTAGGCCTGCATCTGGGCGGTCACGCCGTTGACGAGCAGAAAGTACGACCCCGCGTACCACGCAACCAGCGCGCCCTCCTCGTGCGAGGGCGGCACCCAGATGGCGGCGGTGCCCGCTATGGCGAGCGGCGTGCCGAGCAGGATCCACGGCGCCCTGCGGCCCCACGCCTCGGCGGGCGAGAAGAGGGAGAGGCGGTTGAGCACGCCGGCGTCCGCCCAGCGCGCGATGAAGGGCCCGTTCAGCGCGTTCCACCACCCCATCACAATGTTGACGATGGAGAGCGGCTGCACGCCGACGCCAAAGTGGATGACGTAGAGCGTGTTGCGCAGTGCCGAAAAGATGAAGACGGGAGACCACACGCCAATGGACGCCGCGGCGAACGACCAGCGAAGCAGCGCAGAGAGCTCCGGCCCCTCGGTCTCCGCCTCGCATTCTTCCGGCGCCGAAGCGCGGCTGCCTCGTCGCCTGGACGCGGTGTGCATATGCATCTGCTATGAGGCGCCCGGCGGTATTGCGGCGGACGGGCCGGGCCCGCGCTCGCGCGGACCGCGCCGCAGGGACGGCTTCACCAACAAGGTGGGCGGCCAAACGCAATAAAGAATTTGAAGCCGCTCGCACAACACTGGGCACGGGACTGGCTCGCACTAGCACTAACGCAATAAAGAAAAATGAGGCCTTGCGCGGTTCGCTGGGTGCGCTTCTTAGCTCCCCGGCCCTGGATGTGAGGTTGCCGACTGCACTCCAAGTGCTCCTTTCGCTTGCTCATAACTACTCTTCTTCCACTTCTGCCTTCTCCAGGACGACTCCCGCCCTCTCCGTCTCTCTAATCGTTCTCTCAGGGCGGCGTCCCGGAGCGCAGCGGCTGCGTGCCGGTCGCATCCGGCGCCGCCTGGCGCAGCAGCGGCAGCCGTGCATCGCTCTCGCTGGAGCCGGCGCCGCGCGACTTGCCGGAGCGCGAGCTTTCGGCGATGGACGGCAGCGGCGACGGAGAGCAGCTGCCGCCCCCCGCCGAAGGGGCTGCCGCCGGCGGCAGCGGCGACGGGCTCACGTGGATCGCGCTCGCCGTGGCGCTGCCGCCGCAGCTGCTGCTGCCGCCGCGCGGGAGGCCAGGCGAGAGCGGCGGCGGTGGCGACGCCCCCTGGTCGTGCGGCGGCCCGCCTCCCGGCGGCGCAGACGCCGCCTCGCCAAAGCCCGCCTCGAGGCGCGAGACGTCGACGTGCTCGGCGCCTGCAAAGAGCCGCACGTCGCCCTGCACCATGTGCTCCTGAGGGATGCGGAAGAGCGCCTACGCGCGCGCACCCGCGCGCGGTCAGCCGGCGCGCCAGACGGCGACCGCGGCTCTCCGGAGGACAACCTTCATCTGCTGGTGCTTGCGCACGAGCCCTGGCGGAGCGGCGCGGCGACGGGTGCGCGGAGGAGGGGGAGGAGGGGGCGTGGGCGGCGACGGCGCCGGCCCGGCGTGGGAGGGCGGGCGAGGGCGGTGCGCGACCTAGGAGCAGCGCGAGGAAGATGCCGCTGACAAAGGTGGCGGCGACGCCCATCTTGATCCACGACATGGTGATGGCGGCGACGACGAGCGAGAGCAGCGAGAGGCCATACGTCACAAAGATGGAGTGGCGCTGCTTCATCATCACCGCCACCGCGCGCTCGACCGAGCCGGTCGGCCCCTGCAGCGCGAGCCGGTGCCCGTACACCGTCGCAAAGCTGGCGACGCACACCGTGTAGAGGGCGAGGGCCATGGTGAGCGACGCAGAGCCGTAGTAGACCGTCTCCATCCAACGCAGCTCCGCCTTCCACCGCCCGCCCGGCGCGAGGGCGGCGCGCATGTCGTCCGAGATTTCGAGCTCGACGAGCGAGTCAAACGCAAAGCCGGCGACGATCGACGCCTGAGTCGCAATGTTGGAGTAGCGCTCGACGTAGTAGTCGAGCTCCTTCTGTCGCAGCGCGAGCGCGTTCTGTTTGAGCGCGGCCACCAGCCGGTCCTTATCGGCAGCCAACATGCTTTCCCAAGGGTGGACGGAAGTGGTTCGACGACGAGTTCGACGACGAGAGCACAGCCGGCACAACAGGTCAACAGGACTCCGCCCTAGGTGTTGAATACAAATACATGAATTCACAGAGAGGTCTCCCAGGAGCCTGAATACTGTATTCAAAAAGGCGCGCAGCGCCGCCGGAACACATACGGAATACATGCGGCGCGGAGCGCCGCTAGCTAGTTGTGCAGGCGCGGAGCGCGCGGAAGCGCGCGGAAGCCGCAGCGAGCGCGCGGCGCGGAGAGCGCGCGGAGCGCGCTAGCGCGCGCGGAGCGCGGGCAGAGGGCGGCCACTAGACCATCAGGTCCTCCTCTTGTCCGAGTTGTTCTCGTCCGAGTCCGAGTCGCAGCGCTCGACGCGCGGAAATTCTTTTTTCTTGAATACAAGGGTTGTATTCATGAATTCAAGATTTCTGGCCTTGAATACGTATTTTCCTGAATTTTTCTGCGCTCCGCGAGGTATTCAACACCTAGGGACTCCGCGGTCGACGAATCGTCGAACTGACTTCTTTCTTTTCTGTGAGAGAGGCTTTAAGAATTCTTTCTTTCATAAGCGCCCCCCCCCCCCCTCGCACAGCCGCCGGCTGCTTGTTGCTCAGGGTTCCAACTTTTTCCGGGGTATGGTATGGTACGCTCGGCCAACCCACCTCGAGACCATACCCGCCGCCTCTTGGAAGACCTGCTTGGGGTATGGGGTAGGGCTAAGCCTTGGGCGGTCAGGACCATACCCCCCCCCCCCCCCTTTGGGCCGCCCGAGAGTACCATACCATACCCCGGAAAAATTGGAACCCAGCTCCCAGCGCACAGAGCACCGGGACGCGGTCGGGCGATCTGAGGCCCAACTAGGCGTATGCATTGCCCATCCAGGGCTATCACCTGGACCTATCAACAGGCGCATGCGGCGCCGTGCTCAGGAGCTGCTGCTCCAACGCCGGAGATTTGTCTTTTTTTGCAGGCGACGAGCGACGAGGCTCCTCTGTCACGCGAGCTCGCTCGCGCCAGTCGACATGCCCAAGCGGCTCGTTTCGCACGGCAAGCGCGCGCCCGTGCCGGCCAAGAAGAAGAGCGCGCCCAGCGGCGGCGCTGCGAGCGGCGGCACGCCGTCGCGTGCACGGGCCGCTCTCGATGAGGAGGTGGACTCGGGCGACTCGGGCGACGAGGCCGAGCCGTCGGCGGCGGCGTCCGCCGCCGCGACGGCCGCCGCGGAGCGCGAGGCGGCGGAGGCGGCGGAGACGCCGGACGAGCGTCGCGTCAGACTGGCCAAGGAGATGCTCTCTCGGATGGACGACGCCGCTCGCTCGCGCCGTGCAAAGGGCAGCAGCAGCGGCGCGCCGTCCGACGCCGTCGCCGCGGAGCTGGAGGAGGAGGCGCTGCGGCGGGACGGCAAATTCGTGCGGCGGCTGGCGGCGCCGCTGCGCCGCGCTGGGCCGACGCCTCCCTCGAGCGTCCGCGTCCTCCGCGGGCCTCGCCTCAGCCCGACCTGCGTCGCGCTGTCGGCGGATGAGACGAGGGCGTTCGCCGGCTGCAAAGGGGGCGAGGTGCTGTGCTGGGAGCTGCGCGAGGGCGGCGCGCGCACGCGGCTGCCGCCGGACCGCGCGCCCGCCGAACCCGGCGCCACGCCGCGCGGTCACTCACGCGACGTGCTCGCCGTCGCCGCAGCGGACGACGGGCGCGCCGCTTGCGGCGGCGGTGGCGCCGGCTGCGAGAGGTCGACGAGGCGTCACCGTTCACGGGGACGGCTGTAGGCGCACGCTGCTCACGGGCGGCGGCGACGCGCGCGTGCTCGTCTGGGACCTGCGCACGAACGGCGTCGTCAAGTGCCTCGGCGGCCACCGCAAGCGCGTGACGAGCCTCGCGCTGCGGCGAGACGCGCCGGCGGCGGAGGCGTACTCGGGCTCGTCCGACCGGTGCGTGCGCGTGTGGAACGTCGCGCAGCGCGGCTTCGTCGAGACGCTCTTCGGACACCAGGAGGGCATCACCGCCCTCGACGCCGTCGGCGAGCAGTCGCTCGTCTCTGCGGCCGAGGACCGGACGCTTCGGCTGTGGAAGGTGGACGAGGAGACGCAGCTCGTGTTCGGCGGCGGCAGCTCGCCGCTCGACGCGGTGGCCATGCTCTCCCCGACCAGCTTCGTGGCGGGCGCCCAGGACGGCACCCTCTCCCTCTGGTCGTCGATGCGCAAGCGGCCTCTCGCCACGCTGCCGACTGCGCACGGGCTCGGCGGCGCCCTCACGGGGGGGGCGCCCTGCTGGATCACCGCGCTCGCGGCGCCGCCGCACTCGGACGTCGTCCTCTCGGGCTCGTGCGACGGCGCCCTCCGCTTCTGGCACGCCGACGACGCGGGCCGCTCCCTCTCGCCCATCCACTCGGTCCCCCTGACCGGGTTCGTGAACGGGATCGCCCTCGCGCGGAGCGGCAAGTTTGTCGCCGCGGCGGTCGGGCAGGAGCACCGGCTGGGGCGCTGGTTCCGGCTGCCCGAGGTGCCCCTCCTCCGCGGCGCCCCCCGCGCGCACACACCCTCCCCACAGACCCGCTCCTCGCAGTCTCCTCACGGCGTCCTCCACCCCGCCGCCGCACCAGGCGCGAAACTCGCTCGCGATCGTGCCGCTGGACGAGTGCATGCACGCCGCGCCTAAGCTGCTCGAGCAGCTCGCGCAAAATGGCAAGCGGCCGATGCCCGCGCCGTGGGAGGCGGACGAGGTGTACGGCGGCGGAGGAGGCAGCAGTGGCGAGGAGGACGGCGGGGACTGAGGGGCGATATACGAGGTCGACCGTCGACGCCCGGCGAAGGGGACTCGCGCAGCAGCCGCTCCGTTTCCGATCATAGCCAGCCAGGCTCTCTGGTTAGTACGAGTCCCACAGAGCTTTTTTTATCTACGAATCCCCCCCTACGTAGATGGCCAAGGCCGCGGCGCTTGCGTTATTTATTATTATCGACTAACTTACGCAAAATCAGGTAGCCATGAGCATGCCAACTCAAGACCGTAAAAACCCGGCTGAAAGAGAGCTGAAGTTGCACACAGACCGGAGATGACGGTACTGACCCTCCACTGTGCGCGTGTGGGAGGTGGACTTTGGCCGCTGTGTCCCCTCTCCACCTTCGCGCCATCCCGGTGGCAGTCGAAGCACGCGCAGCCCGCGCCCCTCGCAGACTGTTGGCCGGTTCATCGTGGCGTTGAGGTCAACAGAGTGCAGCGCTCCGTTGGCGCGCACGCGAAGCACGCACACCCGGATCAAAGCGACGCGCACCTTGGTCTTGGTCAGGTGGTCGCACAGCATCATCTCGCTCTGAAAGCGCTCAACGTTGGAGTAGGCCTTGGCTCTGCCGGTGGTTGGCGACTTGAGCGTCATGTCGAACTGTCGCAGGTAGAGCGACATGGGCCAACGCTCCCCAAATGCGAGGCGGTCGTTGACGCCGTCGTGTTGGTGGAAGTCGGGCACGCTGACCGCACCGTGCGCAGGAGGCCACTCGATGGACGAGAGGAGCGCAGTGTCCAGCCGCGCAAGCAGCACGTGCGAAAACCGGTGCCCAGTCCGGCCCTCGTGCGCGAAGGCAAGCGTCCAAGATAAGCGAGCACTCAGGCGCGAGCGGTACACGTTGACGATCGTGTCATCCGGGTAGCGTCTCCTCCACCCGGCGTATCTCGATTTGCGATCGAGAAGGGCGCTCGCGTTCCTCCTTCTCGCGCGGTCCTGGGCGAGCGAGGCGGTCTGTCTGCTGACAGCCCAGAGGCTCCACTCCCTGTCAATGACAGCCTGGTCAGCTGTTTGTAGGCGCCGGGAGATATCGCTGGCGTTGCAAGAGGGGCACGCCCATCGCGGGAGCGATTCGAGCAAGGCCGAAAGATTTGCAGCGGGCGGCTCGGCGACAAGCGCGTGGACAAAGGCGTCGAGCTTGGCGTGCGAGGAGAGCGGCCTGAAGGCATTCGCGACCAGCGACTCGCGCGTGTAGATCAGAGAGCGCGGCGAGCCAAAGAAGCACACTGCGACGCGCGGGCTGTGCAGCGCTCTCGTCTGCCGAATTTCCCGCATGCCGTGCGATTGGTTGGCACGCTCTGCGACGGCATCGCCTCTCCTCGAGGAGAGCGCGAGCGGCAGCGCGAGCACGAGGGCGACCAGCGATAGGCACCGCATCACGGGAACGCTGCGCCTCCGGCCGGCCAGAAGACACGGACGGACGTTTTACAAGAGAATTCTTAAAATACAAGCCTCTCTCACAGCACACTGGCACGACAAGGGCGCGGACTGGCGCGGACTGGCACACACACCGGCTCACCACAAAAGAAAGAAATTTTACAAAAAGAAAAAGTCGATATGACACAGGACAGGGTCCCCACATGCACGAGCAGAATGCCAGAAAAAATTTCTCTTGCCGTGCCTGTCGCGTGAATCGTGCTGTGCGACCGGGCAGTCCCTCGTCGATTCCTCTCTCTGCAACCTCCATGCCACCTCGCGTAGCTCTCTGCAACTGCTGCAGCCTCTCGCGCGGCTGCCCACACGAGTTCGTGTACCCCTAATCCCTCCGTCGGGCGAGTCCGTGTAGCTGTGGGATGAGTGAGGGCGGTGGGTGGGCACACACAGGGTCACTCAGGCGAAACCACACAAAAGCGGCAGTCCGACGCCGCGCGAGCGAGACATAGTAGAGCTCTGCTCTGCGTGTTGAGAAAGGGGGGGGGGCGCCGCCGTGGGGCAGCCTCTCCTCCTGTGTGGTGCGGCGTGGAAAAGGCGGCGGGGTCAAAACAGAGGGAGAGGGGCTCTGCCGTGTGGCACAGGGCGCTCGGCCTTTTTGGACGGTTGACCATGCTGGCGACGATGCTCCAGGCGGCAGAGCAGCCGACAGGCAGCCCAAACCACCTGGCGGGGCCGTCGTCGCCGGGTTCGCGACACGCGCAGCAATCAGGGACCCCGTCCCTCGTCGAGCTGGAGAGCTTGTCAAATACACCAATGCGAGGTGTGGACCAGATGCAGCCGGTGGGACGCGACGCCAGCAAGCCGAGGGCAGCCGTGCTCGATGGCATCGCCGCCATCAATCAGGCGGCGGAGGCGGCCGCTGCGGCGTCGTCTCGGTCGGGGTCCTCGGCACCTGCGGCACCAGACGCAGCATGAAACGGCTTGCCGCGTCGCGAGCACCCCATCCCATAACAGTCGCTAGTTTGCCAGCATGGCTATCTGTCCTGTCCTTCGAGTCGATTACCAGGTCATTCGGTTTGACACACAAAGCAGGTTGGTCCAGCTCCAAAATCGCGATGTCGTTGATGTTGTTTGAATTTTCGTAATCTTCGTGCTTATGAACCTTGACGACTTTGTGTGTCCTGCTGCATTCTGTGTCATCATCGACTAGATTAAGGTGGTAGCCAACTCTTGCCGCGAAAGTTTAGGCGTGGTCGACGTTCCGCGCTGTGTGTCGCGCCTGAGCTCGCCCTTGCCGCCCGAGGCTACCCGGGAACCACAGACAGCATCAAACAAAGGACACGCTAGATGTGCTTGTGACGGACGCGTCTCTCGTGATCGCGGCACGAGCAGTGCTGTGTGCGGCGCTCGCCACTCGCGACTGTGCTGGACGGCGGACGGCTGTGGTTGCTCAGATGGCCTTATGACGACCCCATTTCGACATATCGTTCCTAAGACAGGTACCCATGAGCTCCATGCGGGAATGACTGGCTCAACCAATTGATCACAAATTCCCTCGGAAACGTCGAAGTCGTCAAATTATGCTGTCACGAGGAAGAATTTTACCGTTTTGAGAGATTTCGTGGGAATTTGTGATCAGTTGGTTGAGCCAGTCATTCCCGCATGGAGCTCATGGGACATGGGTACCTGTCCTAGAAACGATGTCGAAATGGGGTCGTCATAAGGCCATCTTAGTGGCTACACGGCCTGCCACGGGTTGTGAGCCGCTCTCTGAACCGGCGCTTGATGCGGGCGTAGCTTGCGATCCCGACCTTGCGCGATGCGCCTCTTGATGCATTCTACCATCTACTCGCACATGGCAAGCATGGGCGACGCCTCACGCCCCATGCCGGCCATCCAAGATATGCGCGCGCCAAGGGTTTGCTACCACCTTAAGCCGACCGGTGGACACGTACAGAGGTTGCTCCGGAGCCGAGCGCGCGGAATCGACGATGGCGTGCCGGCCATGGGCCCGGACGAAGGTCCTGGCTCGAAAACGCGAGCAGAGGCTGCCGTGTGGGGCCACGGCGAGCCTCGGGCGAGAAAGTCAGCTCGGGGTAGAGAGCGGCGGCTATATAAAAATCTGGCTTCGGTAGCCCGGCAAGAATTCTCTTCTGTGCTGCGCAACCATGAAGCTCTATACCTTCGCCGGCAACACCCACGCCCTGCAGACGCTCATCGTCGCTCGGTACAACGGCGTCGACATCGAGGTGCCGGCCTTCGAGATGGGCAAGGACAACAAGTCGGCCGCTTTTCTCAAGAAGAGCCCGCTGGGCAAGGTGCCGGTGCTTGAGACTGCGAGCGGCTGCATTTGCGAGGCGGCCGCTGTCGCCAGGCTCCATGCCCGCTCCCGGTCGGCCTCCTCCTCGCCGGCGCCCAGCTCCACGCGCGCTGCGCCACACAGGTACGTCGCACGCATGCGGGCCGATACAAACATGTTTGGCGCCACCTTTTTCGAGGCTGGCCAGGCGCGCGCTGCCCGCACAGCGCCGCAGCGCCCGGCCTCTCCGCGCCTTCGCCTCATCACCCCTCTCTCTCCTGCGGGCCGCTCCATTCGCGTTCAGGTGGACATGTGGGTCGAGTTTGCCAAAAATGAGCTCGGTGCGCAAATAAGAGAGACAAACCAGCTGCGGCGGTGAGCGCTGGCTCTCACCATTCCGCCCTCTCTCGTGCAGATCTGCCCGTCGGGATGTGGGTGGCCGACTGGTCGCGGCCGCGCGAGGGGCAGCCGAGGGAAGGGCTGGAGGGCTTGCTGCGTCTGATAGGCGCGCCGGGCCGCGGCTCACTTGCGAGAGAGCGAGCGAGCGAGAGAGAGAGCGAGACCGAGAGAGAAAGAGAAAGAGCCAGCATCGCGTCCGACGCATCCCGATGATGGCGCGTGCGCAGGTGTTCCCCATCCTCGGCTTCATCGCCTCCAACGCCGCAAACACCAAGCAGGCGAGGGGCGGAAAACGGACACCGCCCTGCATCGCGCGGCGCCTTCATGTGACGCCCCGCGGCCCGACGCCCCCTCCACGGCACGCAGGCTCAGGAGGACATCGCGCGCGCGCTCGGTGTGATGAACGAGCACCTGCAGTCTCGCACTTTCCTTGTGGGCGACGCGGTGCGCAAGCCTCGCCCTCGCCCGCCCTCTTCCCGACCCTCCACGCGGGTTGTTGCGGCGGCACGGCTGACTCCACCACGCCCTCTCTCGCAGGTGACGCTCGCTGACATCGTGGTGTCCTGCTCGCTGCTCAACGCAACGCGCCCTCGGCCCCTCCCGCCCCTCTCCTCCCAGCGACTGAGGCTCGCGGGCGGTCGCCTCCGCAGGCGTTCAAGCTGGTCTTTGACGCGCCCTTCCTCGCCCCGTTCCCTGCCGTCGTCCGCTGGTTCACGACGTGAGACCCCCTGCCCCTGCCCCCCCTGCCCCCCGCCGCCCGGTGTGCCGTGCGGCGCTGGGGCCGCGCCGCCCCACCCGCGCCGCTCCCTCGCCGCCCCCGCCCCAGGTGCGTGTCACTCCCGGAGTTTCTTGCCGTGATTGGCAAGACCACGCTGCTGCAGGGCGCCACGGGCGCCGCGCCTCCGCCCGCGAGCGCTCCGAGCGGAGGGGATGGGGATGGCAAGAAGGAGGGGAAGAAGGGAGGCAAGAAGGAGGCGAAGGAGGCGAAGGAGGCGAAGGAGGCGAAGGAGGCGAAGGAGGCGCCGCGTAGGCCGCACCTCCCTGCCCCTCTGCGCGCCGCTCTGGTGCCACCCTCGAACCGCGGTTGTCCGCAGGCGCCGCCGAAGAGGGACAAGGACAAGGACAAGGAGGGCGGCAAGAAGGAGGGGAAGAAGAGGGAGGAGCCCGCGGCGGCGGACAAGGCGGCGGCCGAGCGGGAGAAGCTGCTCAAGAAGGTGATCAAGGAGGGCGGGAAGAAGGGGGTCGAGATCGAGGGCGCCGCAGACATGGGCGGCCTCGAGTTCTTTTGCACCACCCTCGAGAGCCCCGATGGAGCGCCCGCCCTCCCTCCCTTGGACGCGGGGCGCGCGGAGCCTCTGGCACAAGCATCCCCGCGGCTCGGCCCTTAGGCGACGTCGGCTTGCTCGAGGCGAGCATGACGGCGATGAACGCCGAGCCCGACCCGGACGCGGAGGACCGCAAGGGCTGCAGCGGCCGCGTGGGCAAGATGATCTTCTCGGCGGGCGTGCAGCAGCTCGCGATGGTCGCGTACGTGCCCGCGGGCAGTGCGGAGAAGGTGCTGCTCGCCGACTGGCTACATCACGTGTGCGCGGCGGTGCAGGGCGAGGTCGCCTCCCCGCCGGCCGCCGCCGAGTCGCCCGACGGCGGCCTCGTCGCGAGCGCTGTCGTCAAGGCGAACGCGGACGCGGGCAAGTTCCCGCTCAAGGACAAGGACACGGCGATGGCCGCCGCCTTCGCATTCCTCCGCTCAAAGGGCGCCTTCCCGGAGGACAACGACGACAGCGACGACGACATGATCTTTGGCGACGACTGCAACCTCGACGACTACGACTAGGCGCACTCGTGCGTGCGCTCCACTCGGCGGGCGCGGCCGCGGAGATGGCAGGAGAGTGGTATTCGCCGGCGACTCCTTCACTTGGACACATACGTCATGCGCGTATCCGTGTGTGCGCGGGCCGAGCTCCTAAGTCCTATGCGCTATGCGCTATGGGAGGGGGGAGGAGGTGCCCAGTGCCCAGCTCCGTGTGGACAGTGGAGCCGCGCCGCGCGCGGCCGCCGCCGTGTGCGGCGTGGAGCGAGATCAGACGCTCGAAAAACACGTTTCTCGCCGTTATTTTTGCCGAGCTCTGAAGCTTAGTCACAACCACGCCCAAACCCCGGGGGAATGACGAATGTTCACACAACTCCGCAAGCGCCAAGCCCCGACTCTCCGACTCTTGGCGAGTTCCGCGAGACCCCGCCGCGCGCCGCGCTGCTCGCACTGTGCCTTGACGGGGTTCCCACTCTCATCCGCACGCGCACCGCATGCCATGCGTATCCATCGCCGCCACCCTCGCCACCCCGGCCCCGTGAGCGGCTCTGGGCGCGTGCCGCGACGCCTCTCTCGACTTGCACGCACCTCTCTTGACTTGCACGCACCACCGCTTCACCTGCCGAGCTCCGGGACGCCCATCTGTGGTGCGCTCGCAGCCGGCGGGGCGGTGGCCTCCGCCTCGGCCTCAGGAGCAGCTCCGGCCGACGAGGGCGTGTCCGCGGGCGGCGGCGCTCCCCCCGGCGCCTCCTCCTCCACGACCTCGGCCACATTTAGCCGCAGCGCGTCAAAGTCGATCGGAGTCCAGAGCGCGTCGAGGCAGTCGCCTTGGTGCGCGGCGGCCTGCCCGTCGGTCGGGCCGTCGACCGGCCAGCCCCCCGCGGTGTCACCGCCGCCTTCGGCGGCGTAGTCGCTCAGAGAGATTGCGAGCGCAGCCTCAAGCTGCTCGGCCTGCGGGGCGGCCCGTGAGGCTCCTGTTGCTAGCGCGCGTGGGGACGGCAGGGTGGGGGGGTGGTGCGCCTCGGTCCAGCAAGCGCCCGCAGCGTCGAGGGCGTCGGCGAGGAACGGCCGTGCCGGCGTCGGCCCCGCCTCGATCAGCCCAGCGAGCCGGCCCGGCGTCGCCGAGGGTGAGAGCGCCAATGACGTGCGCGACGGCGTGCGGCTGCCGATGAGAGGGCGGCAATCGCGCCCCGCGGCGAGCGCCGCCGCGACGCTCTCCTCGGGCACGATGCCCGAGCGGTCGAAGGTCGGCAGCGCCGGCTCCTCCTCGCAGGCCGGCGGGTAGTGCTCGACCGGAGGCAGGTCGGACGGCAGGTCGGCCGGAGCAGTGGAGGCGCCCGCGCACGAGGTCTGGAGCGAGGCGGGCTTTTGGGCGAGCTTGGCGGGCGCGTCGGAGGACGCGCCCGCCTTGTCGCGGTTGCTGATGTCGCCGAGGGCCCGCCGCGGCTTCAGCCCCGCCTGCTTGCCAGCCGCAGCGCCCCCGCCGCGGGCGGCGAGACCGCCGCCGCCGCCGCCCGCGCCAGACAGGCCCTTGGCCTTCCCACCGAGGCCGCGCGCCGCTGCCGGGGGCCTCTTGCCCGCGACGGACGCGTTCTCGTCGGCGATCTGCTGGCCGATCATGCTCAAAGCGAAGCGCGCCACTCAAAAGCTGTGCCAACAGGTTTTCTTTTGGAGGAGGTGGAGGAGGCCGGCGGAGGGGGGGAAGGGCGGCGGCAGCGGGCGGCAGTCCCGCGAGGCACGCCGGCGGAAGGGTTCGTCTTCGCGGGGCGGGGTGCGCACTGCGCGCCGCGAGGATGAGGAGCCTGAGCCAGGGGAGGGTTGGGAAGGGGGGGCGAGGCCGGAGGAGTATGACGGCCTCTTCGACGGCCCATAAGGGGCCGTTGTCTGCTGTGCCTTTTGTGGTGCTAGTTCGTGCCAGTCTGCTGTGAGAGGGGCTTGTCTTCGTAGAATTCTTTTGAGAGCGCCTTCGAACTTCGTTGTTAATAATACAAGCCCAATGGTCCATTTCGAGCGGTCCCCTGTCGCAGTCGCACACACGCACACGCCGCACCGCACCGCGCGCCCGCCCGCTGCCCCGCCCAGGCGGGAAAGAGATGAGGAGATGGGACAGCAAAGGAGGAGGCACAAACACGATGGGAGGTTTCAGTTGTGCGCCACGCTGCCCGGCGTCTCTCACTTTCCGGGACAGCCCCGCCCTTTTGAGGCAGGAAAGTGACGGCTACCCCGTACGCCCTGCAGCCTGCTACCCCGACGCCGACCGCCCATCCCCCCCTCGTCGTTCCCCCCTCGAATTCTCCGGACCCCGACAAGCCGCCCGACGTTGGGCCTCTGCCCCGCACGCCCCCGCCCCTCGCTCACACCCCGGCCCGACACGCACTCTGCCCCGCACGCCCCCGCCCCTTCTGCCCCTCGCTCACACCCCGGCCCGACACGCACATACAAGACAAACCCGGCGTCCTGCTCTCAAAAGAAAAGAAAAAATGGGAAGGAGGAGACCAGCGGGGGGGACTCCCCGCCTATGCAACACCCCAGAGAGGGGCTGCCATCGCCGAAGCTGTGCCTAAGCATAACTCCCAAACCCGCAGCGGCCCGGTGGGCCTTGGGGGCAGCCTGCCGGACCGCTGTTGCACGGGGCTACAGTTTCTTTTGAGCTCTCGTCTGCAGCCCGCCGAGACGTCGCGGTGCAGGATCATGGGCGAGAGCGTGTGCAAGTAGTGCAGCGCTCTCGCGGCGTCGCGCGGCACGCGGAGCCGTGCGGCAGAGGAGAGCGGCGGAGGCGGCGTCTCGAAGCCGAGCATGCGGAGCCGCTGCAGCGCGGCTGGCGTGCGGTAGAGGCGGTCCTCGAAGGCTGCCGCCGCGGCAGAGAGGGGGTAGACGAGGCACGCTCTCGCCGGTGCCAAGCAGACGCCGAGGAGAGGCAGCAGGGACGGGTGGCACGCCGCGCTGAGCGTGCGCGCACCTCGGTCCTCGCTCTGCAGCTCGGCGCGAGGCCTTGGGCGCCGACACCGACCAGCGCCGTCTTGACAGCGAACCCGCAAGCCTGGAGGGCTGCTTTAGGTCACACGGTCCACACTCGCCCGCCCTCCCGACCCCTCCACACCGTCCTACAGCGGCACCCCTACCCCTCCCGCCGTTTAGCGTTTTAGGGCCTACCCACCCGCACTCAAAAGGCTGTGTTCACGGCTCGGTTTGAGAATGTGCAATGCAGAAAGAAAGAAAGAAAACAGATCCTTCCACAAGGCAAGTCACTTCGCCGCGGATTGCAGACCGTACGACGATCTCCTGCAGCTGCCTCGACGCATCTGTTGGAAATCCAGCTGACAAGGCTAGCCCGCACGTGAGAACCAGCAAGCAATGACAGTGTTGCGACTCCATGCGATCCACCCGCAATGCGATGCTGCGGATCCCAGCTGCGCTTGCCCGCTCCGCTGTAGCCCCAGAACGGCGCTCGCAAAACACGGGTTGAATTATGTCTGTAAAATGAGTCGAGCGCGCACCAGCTCGACTCTTCGGCTACTGCCGGAAGAGTAGAGCTCGGAGCCGGAAGTTTTTTACTTTTGGCGGATTTTTCTCGTGGCGTGAAGTGCCTAGGCGTGAAACAGAATTTTACAACGAAACACCCTCGCTCGCACGACAATGTGTGTACCACACTTCTGGTTGGCTTCTAAATATCTCTCTCTCTCGCACGACACTGGGCACGGGACTGTGAAACAGAAACAAACACACTTGGTTGTTAATTAATAATAAACGGATGCTCCCTTTTGTCGCACGCAGTTGTCACACACACACACACACACACACACACACACAAGAAGACCCCATGAAGTACAGCGATCGCCACCCCGCTGCCTCTCCGCAAGGCCCCCCGACCGCGTCGAACTCATCGGCGCGGGCTCTCTCGGCTACGGGACCGGCCCCAGCTTCGGCTGAGGGCTAACAAGCTGCCGAGCCCAAATCACTGTGACATTCGTGATTTCTTGTTGGTCTTCAAAAATCACACACACACACACACACACACACACACACACACACACACACACACACACACACACACACACACACACACACACACACACACACACACACACACACACACACACACACACACACACACACACACACACACACACACACACACACACACACACACACACACACACACACACACACACACACACACACACACACACACACACACACACGTATCGCACCGCGCGCGCGCACGCCCACCATTGGCCTTTATACGTTTTTCTCGCCCAGTACTCTCTATATTCTTTTTCCGTAATCTTGTCCCAAACAGGGTCTATATTCTCGAATATGCCAAGAATACAGCCCAAATCGGGCCTATATTCTCAAATATTCTTTATATTCCCGCTGAAAATCGCTGAAAATCGCTTCGAAAAAGAATATAGAATCGGAAGAATAACGTATAAAGGCCAAGCCCACCACCCCGCCTACCTATGGGAAAGAGATGAGAGAGAGATGAGGAGTCAGGAGATGGATGGAACCCGAAGGAGAAGCAAACCCGAAAGAAAAGAAAAAGGCTATCTGCCTCGTGACGCCACATATGCCTGCCACGAGTTCGGAAAGGGGGTCCGTGAGATCCTCCGGAAGGCGGCGGACGTGCTACAGAACAAGCTGACGCGGGCCCAGTACCTCGATGAGGTGACTTGGGACCACCAAGAGCTGGCTGGGGCTGCAGAAGCAGCACCAGGGAGCCGCCTAAGCGACTCCTGCGAGGGTGGCGAGGCACTTAGCTCCGTGCACCCGCCCACCCCCGCCACAGGCAAGCTCATTCACGACCTGCTCTGCGATGGCCGTGTGAAGAACGACTGAGATGCGCCCAGTGTTGTGTCAGCGAGTTGCGTTGTAAAATTCTTCCCCTCGTGACGTCCCGCTGCCATATGCCTGCCACGAGTTCCACGCAACCGGCTCGCAAGAAGCTCAAAAAGGGAAAGCCAAAGATTGCCGCGAGCGCCAGCGGTGCCAGCAGCGGCGCGCCATCCTCGGCGGCGGCGGCTCAGCGGGCGGCGGCTCCGCCGTTCGCAAGCCTCGAGCCGGCGCTGAGTGCGTCGACGCTCGAGGCGGTGGCGTCGCTCGGCTTTGAGCGCGCCACGCCGGTCCAGGCCGCCGCCATCCCGCGGCTGCTCCGCCACCAGGACGTCGCCGTGCAGGCGTGCACCGGCTCTGGCAAGACGCTCGCCTTTCTGCTCCCGCTGTACGAGCTCCTCGCGCGGCGCGAGACGCCGCTCACGCCCAAGCAGGTTGGCGCGCTCGTGATCGAGCCGACGCGGGAGCTCGCCGCGCAGGTCCACGCCGTCGCGCTCCGCTTCGCCGAGCGGCGCGCCGCGAGTGCCGCCGCCGTCGGCGCAGCCGCCATCGCCGCAATCTTGCCGCCAGTTCTCGTGGTGGGCGGGACCGACCTCGCCGAGTCCATCGCCTCGCTGGGCGCGGCGGGCGCGCACGTGCTCATCGGCACGCCCGGCCGCCTCGAGGACGTGCTCGGCCGGACGGAGCGCAGCCTCTCTCTGCGCGAGCTCGAGCTGCTCGTGCTTGACGAGGCGTGACCTAGCCGTGACCTGGCCGAGACCTAGCCAAGACCTAGCCGAGACCTGGCCGAGACCTAGCCGTGACCTAGCCGAGATCGCCCCTCCCTCGCCACCCCCTCGCGTGAGCAGGCGGACCGGCTCCTCGACATGGGCTTCGAGGCCAAGCTGAACGCAATCCTCTCCCGGCTGCCAAAGCAGCGCCGCACGGGCCTCTTCTCCGCCACGCAGACCGACGAGCTGCTCCAGCTCGCGCGCGCCGGCCTCCGCAACCCCGTCAAGGTCACCGTCAAGGTGGAGGCGGCGGCGGTTCCCACCGCCGCCGCCGCCGCCGCCGCGGCCTCCTCCGCTGCCTCGACCTCTGCCTCCGCTGCCGCCACCTCCGCCGCCGCGCGCTCCTCCTCCGCGCCGCCGCCCGAGTTCACCCTGACGCCGTCCTCGCTTCGCTCGTACGTCCTGGTGGTCGGCGAGGCGGAGCGGCTGCCGCAGCTCGTCGCCTTTCTGCAGGGTCGGCTCCGCGAGGGCGACAAGGCGAGCCCCCCCCCCCCCCCCCCACCCCCCCACCCCCTCACATCCCTTCCCTCCCGACGCGTCAACGACATCGCGACACGTCCGCGACACGTCGGTGACACGTCCGCGACACGTCGGTGACACGTCCGCGACACCTCCGCGGCACACATCGTCCGCGCCACTTTTGGCGCAGGTGATGGTCTACTTCCTCACCTGCGCGTGCGTCGCCTTTTACTCTGCGACGCTGCCGCAGCTGCCGGCGCTGCGCGGCGCCTCCTTTGCGGCGCTGCACGGCAAAATGTCGCCCAAGCCGCGGCGGCGCGCCTTTGACACCTTTGCGCAGCAGCAGCAGGGCGCGGTGCTGCTCTGCACTGACGTCGCGGCTCGAGGGCTCGACTTGCCGGACGTGGACTGGGTGGTGCAGTTCGACGCGCCGCAGGAGCCGAGCGCCGCTTGCGCGGGTAGTCCCGCCCTCGGACACGGCCGTGTCACGTCCTTGCACTGGCCCTCAGGACCCGAACGCCTATGTGCATCGCGTCGGCCGCACCGCCCGGATGGGCCGCTCGGGCGCGGCGCTGCTGCTGCTGCGGCCCGAGGAGGAGGCGTACGTCCACTTCCTCGCGGTGCGCAAGGCGCCGGTCGAGCCGCGCGAGCCCGAGCCCTCCGCGCCGCCCGTGGCGGAGGCGCTCACGCGGCTGGCCGTGGCGGACCGCGCCGTGATGGAGCGCGGCGCCGCGGCGTACGTCTCCTTCCTCAAGGCGTACCAGGAGCACGTCTGCCGGTACGTCTTTGTGTTCGACAAGCTCGACCTCGGCGCGCTCGCCTCCGCGATGGGCTTGCTGCGCCTGCCGCGCGTGCGCGAGCTCGGCAAGAAGCGCAAGCGCGGCAAGGGCTCGTGGGTCGAGTTCACGCCGGCCGCGCAGGTCGATCTCGAGGCGGTGCGCTACAAGGACAAGCAGCGCGAGCGCCTCCGCCAGCAGGCAAAGGCGGCGCGCGCGGCGGAGGAGGCGGCCGGCGGCGGCGCGCAGGAGTCCGCCCGCGGCAAGGGGGGCGGCAAGGGGGGCGGCAAGGGGGGCATGGCGGCGCGGCCGGAGAGGAAGTCGCCAAAGGAGGCGGCGGCCGAGGCGGCGGCCGCGGCGGCCGCTGCGCGCGCCGAGGAGCTGGCGGACGAGGACGACTTTGCGCGGGAGGCCCGGCTGATGAAGCAGCTCCGGCGAGGTAAGATCACGCAGGCCCAGTTCAACGCCGCGATGGGGGAATCGGACGACGGGCCGTGACTCTGGAGACCGCAAGTGGGGTGTGAGCGGCGGCGCGACGTCGGTGTGTCTGAGTTACTACAATATAGCATGCACTCAGCCTCTGCGCTCTCTGGGCGCGTCGGGGCGCGTGGGATTCGCCCGGCCGAGTTCGTTTTACATTCTTCCTTGTGGCCGACACGGCACTCGCTCGAGTACGGCTTTAGAGGCGTCACACAGATAGACGAGAGTCATCTCACAGTAGAGGTGTCCGTTTTTATTTATTTACCCGTGCTAATGCGTAATGGGACCGTGGTCGCGCGCTGGCGCTGTCCACGGTCCACCGGGCTCCGGGGGTGCGCGCGGGGTGCCCACCCAGTTCAATCTCTTGCCACTTGGTGGTGCGGGATTCTTAGCCCGTGACCATTTGGTCAGGCGAGGAGCACGTCGTGCAGCAGTACTGGCCGTACCAGCCAGAGTAGCTACCGTCGCACGGGTTGTCAAGAATCATCTCAGAGCAGCTCTGGCCCTGGTACTTGTTTGTCTCGGTGTAAATGTCGCCGCAGCACGTCGGGCAGTCTGCCATGCCAACCTAATTCGGCGCGGGGGTAGGGTGGGGGCGTCTCCTCGAGTCCATGCGGCAAGCGCAAGAGATGGGGATTGCTTGGGCGGGTGTGCGTTTCTCGCACCTCGCAGGGCTCGCAGGCAGGTGTCGAGCTGAAGCCGGCGGCGCCTTGGAGCGAGAGAGCAAGGACGAACACGCGAGCGAACATTATCTGTAGGAGGTTAGGGAACGAGTGCACTGTTGAGCGCTGTGCTCGGGCGAAGATCGCTTCAACGACTCAAATACGGACGGCGGGCGCTCCCCCCCCCCTAATGAATTCGCCGAAACTGTGGGCCGTCGGCCGTGTCGCCATGGTTGTAGGTGTTCAGGCACCTGTCGTGCCGCCCACCTGTGCTCAAGCCGCCCCTGTCACGTCACCTTCAAGTGTCACGTCTCTTGCCGTCCCGGCCCCGACTTTCGAAACGTTGCACTCCGAAGTGGGCCCTGAGCTCGGCTAGCGCTCCGTGGGGCATGACGCTCGGCTGTCCGTCCTCCCTCTTCCTCGTGCGCGCCTGTTCTGGGCTGTCTCGCAGGTGTGCAGCCTCGCCGGACGAGAGCCCCTCCGCCAGCCTGCGCTCGGGTTCCCACCTGTCCGTATCCCCCAGTAGGGGGAAGCCCTTCCATTGCACGAGGTATTCCAGCTCGTTCGGCGCTCCGGACTCGCGGACGTCGACGATGCGCTCGATCTCGTACCCCTGCCGGTACTTGTCGATCTCTTCCTGGAGCGGCGCGACATGCCGAGGCGGGTCCTCGCCGTCCCACTGGCTAACAACTTTGTGAGAGTGGCATCTAACCAAGTGGCCGCGCCTTCTCCCCCTCCAAAGGAGCAGCCATCTAGATGGTGGGTCTGGGATGTAGCCGACAAACTCATTCTTCTTCTAGTAGCTGGTGTTGCGATTGCGCTAGTGTGGTTTTGCACGGCTGACACTCTGCGGGGAGAAATTCTTTCGCGCTCTTTGCAGGCTTACCATGCACCCCCTCCTCTCGCTGCGCGCCTCGCTGCTGCTCGTCGGCTCGGCCGTCCCGCTCGCGCGCCCGCCGCGCGCGTCCGCCGTGCGCGCCTGCGCGCGCGCCGCCGTTGGCCGCCCAAAGGCTGTCGGCTGGGACGGCGCCCGCGGCCTCGCGAGGCGGGCGGGCGGCGCGCCGCTGCGAGAGCCGTTCACCGTGCTCGGCATCGAGACGAGCTGCGACGACACGGGCGTCGCCGTCGTGCGCAGCGACGGCGAGATCCTCGGCGAGGCGATCGCGTCCCAGGCGGAGCTGCACGAGGCGTGGGGCGGCGTCGTGCCGGGGATCGCGCGCGACGCACACCGCGACGCGCTGGGCGGGGCGGTCGAGCTGGCGCTGCGGCGCGCCGGCCTCTCCTCCGCAGCCGAGGTGGACGCCGTCGCCGTCACCGTCGGGCCCGGCCTCGAGATATGCTTGCGGGTCGGCTGCGAGGAGGCAGTGAGGCTGGCGACTGCGCACGGCAAGGCGTTCGTCGCGGTGCACCACCTCGAGGCGCACGTGCTGATGGCGCGGCTTGCGTGCCACCCGCCGCCGCCCTTCCCCTTCCTCACGCTACTCACCTCGGGCGGCCACTGCCAGCTCCTCCTCACCCGCGGGATTGGAGACCACCAAGTAATCGGCTCGACTCTGGACGACGCTCTCGGCGAGGCGTACGACAAGGTGGCGAGGCTGCTTGAGCTGCCCGTCGGCGGCGGAGGAGGCCCCGCCCTCGAGTCGCTCGCGCGGGAGGGCGACCCGTCGGCGACGCCGCTCCCGGTGCCGATGCGGAACAAGCCCTCCTTCGACTTTTCGTTTGCCGGGCGGACGCCCCTATAGAAGCGGAGCACGGAGTCTTCGACTCCAGCTAGCGCTCGAGAGGACACGTATTCAGCTGTATTCCGCCGTACTCCGCTGTCTTCGGCTGCATTTGCAGCCCTCCTATTCACGCGGTGCTCTGAACACACCGCACAACACCGACTTCCCGCCCTGAGGCTGGCGTATCACTGCAGGCTCAAGACGGCGGTGCGACTCGCCGTCGAGAGGGCGAGCGAGGAGGAGCGCGCCTCGCCCGCCTTCCGCGCCGGCGTGGCGGCCTCCTTTCAAAACGCGGCGCTGCGCCACCTCGAGATGCGGCTGACGCGCGCCGTCCGCCTCCTCGCCGGACATGTCCACGACCCGCGTCCGTGACGTGTCCGAGACGCGTCCCCGCAGGTATGCCTTCCGCCTCCTCACGGAGGAGCGCGACTCGCTCGGCTGCGCGCCAGACACGCTCGTCCTCTCGGGCGGCGTCGCGGCCAACGCTGAGCTGCGGCGGCGGTCGGGCGGGCCTAGATGCGGGACGCAGAGCCGCGCTGCTTGCGCGGGTAGTCGTACTCTGGGGTGGCACACGCCCCCGCCCCTTCGGCTCCGTCTCCTCGAGTACAGTGCTGCTCGAATGCACCGTTGCCGACGCGGCCGGCCGCTGCGTCGCACGGCCTGACGCGTGCTCTCCCCTCCGTCTCCGCCGCACAGGCTGGGCGAGCTCTGCGCGAGCACGCCCTCGCCGCGCGACGACGGCGCGCCGTGGCGCATGGTGGTGCCGCCGCCGCGCCTCTGCACCGACAACGGCGTCATGGTGGCGTGGGCGGCAGCGGAGCGGCTCAAGCTCGGCCTGACCGACGCGCCGGACGTGGAGCATGTGCGCGCGAGGTGGCCGTTGGGCCGGCCGTTGCAGGGGAGCGAGGAGGCGCCGCTCAGGGTGAGCGCCAATCGCAACCAGCCACGGCGCAGACCGGCGAGCGAGCCGGGCGCGGTCGAGCCCACCAGGCCAAAGACGAACGCCGGTTCGACGTCGTGAAACGACAGAGAGTCGAAGACAAAAATCACGAGGTGTGTGACTGTGTACGTTACGAGCCGCACTCTTTCTCCGTCTTTAATCTCCCCCCCGGGAGCGCTACACAGCTAGAGCCGTACGGCTCTAGCCCAGGAGGACACGACCCCGACCGCGAGGCGACAGCGGCGACACGTGAGGCCGACCAGCGGAGAGTGAGAGACAGAAAAAAAACTGTTCAGTTTTCAAAGGCAAAACACGACGCTCTGCGGTTGGTGCACCCCTCACACTGACACATTCCCCTCATCCCTTACCCTTGGCTGAGCACATCTACCTGCGAGCTAGTCTCTCCGCATTCTCTCCCCTAGTCATCCGCCCGCGCCGCGCGCCATCTAATGGGCGTCTAGTGCAGCCACTGACGGCACTATTCCAAAGGAGCGGTCGATGCCTCGCCTAGAGTTCGGGTGGACTTGCGCACTGCTTAGCCCTGAGGGGGGAGTGTGTGTGAGGTGGTGTAATGTTGTCCCGTTTCAGGCGGCAGGTCAGGGGATTAGCCGGGAGGATTCGGCAGCTCAGCCGGGGGCTGAGCGTCTGCAGGCAGCCTTCCGCTCGCGCCGAAATTCACAGCCCTCCCGGGCCGACGGGGTGCTCCTTGGATCGGGCCCCGCTCCCCGCTTTTCCTGTACCTGGACTGTCCGGGTCAGGAGGGTGAGAGTATTGGGTGGGCGAGGGCAGTACATCTGGCGGGTGGCGACTGAGGGACAGCAAGAGGGCTGATTGGGGGGTCAATGGGCGCGCGGGCGGCGCTTCGTGGTCCTGGGCGAGCAGGGGCAGTGGTTAGGAGTCTTGGGCCTGGAGATATGAGGATTGTCGAGATGTCGTGCGAGAGCGGTAGGTGGGGGAAGGTAGCGCGGCTGGAGAGTGGTGTCCGAGGGACAGTGATGAGTTGTCAGTTGGGGCGCGAGACGCGCGGGACAGTGTTGGAGGCGGCCAGTGAGGTAGGGTTGGCTTTGAGCAGTGCAGCGAGTGTGTGGTCAAGCGTGGGAGTGGCGCGCGAGCACCGGATTTTTTTGCTGTGCGAGTCGAGTTCGTGGCCGGTGCGCGGGAAACTCGCCGAAAACCCGCGCAGCCGGCCGATTGTACGACCGAGGTCGCTGATTGTACGACCGAGGTCGCAGAGCCTTGGCGACGCGACGCGCGTCGCCAAGGAGTTCGTAAAATGTCAGAGTTTTTAGAGTGAGAGACAGAGAGAGAGAGAGGGCTATGATGTATCTTATTCCGGGGCCGGTGTGCGGGGAGCGAACCTTGGTCGGCCGTTGGGCCGGTGCCATCGGCCGCGGAGCGCGGTCGAGAGTCGACCGTGCCCCGCCCCTTGGGTACGATGGACATGTGCATGTGCATGCACATGCACATGCACATGCACATGTGCAGCATGTGCACACATGTGACCAGCTCCGGTCAACGTCAAGATGTGCCCCGGCATGGCGGCTGAGGCTCTCAGGTTGGGCGCGACGCGAGTGCCGAGGAAGGTGGAGCAAGACCTCGGTCCGTCCCCATGGGCTTGCTCGGTTGGCAGAGCAGGATTTGGGCTCTTTGTGATGCGTCAACTTGCAAACTCCGGAGAACGACTTTCAAGTTTCAACCCAGGGCCCCCCAAAACGGGGGAGCGACCGGCCTATCTGAGACAGGTTTACACCTTTACCTGAGGCCCCCCACGCCAGCCCGACCTCTACCCTGCGCCCCCGCCCTCAGAGCCGAATGGGGAATGGTTGGAGCCGCGGCCCTCTACTTTACATGGCGCACACCTAAAGCTAAAAAGGTAAAACGCTAAAGGTAAAAAGCCGTAGGTCGCTCCCAAGAGCGGCTATGTGCGCTAGTCCCCCCCAGGTTTGACCGCGCGGGTCGCGGGACTCGTTGTGTACTCGTACCTCAAAAAGAAATCTCACGTCCGGGTGCAGGGTCCAGGGAGGTAATCCTGGGGCTCTTGTGTGCACCGCCTGCGGGGTCTCTGCCAGAGCTCACACAAATCCTCCTGTCAAAAGCCGTCGACCAGGTTGGACACCGAGTCGGACCCCCTCTCGTTGAGCCCGCCCTGGTTCTCGAAGCGATAGTCGTTCTTGGCCTTGCGCTTGATGCTGGTTGGACGCACCCGCGCGATCTTGAAGCTCGACGCCTGGCTCCGCAGCAGCGGCTCCGCCCGTTTCCACTCGCTAGTCGTGCTCCCGCCGACGAGCATCACAACGTCCGTCGACCCCTCGGGCTGCACCGCGGCGACGAGCGCGCGGCGAGGGACCTGGGGAGAAGGGGTGGGGGCGGGTTGTGGTCGTGGCGTGCGTGGCAGAGTCGCGGGGCAGAGGGCGGACCTCGTTCCCTCCTGGGCTGAGCGCCGCGAAGCTGATTTCGAGCAGCCGCATGGCGCCCGCCTCCGATTTGGAGAGCACTTTGATGTCAGTGGGGGCGCCGTACGCGCCGAAGCGGCCCTCGGTCGAGAAGACGCTCTTCGTGAGGAAGGAGGCTGACATCTCGCCTAGCGACTTGCCCTCGGGCAGCGACGCCACCTGTAGGAAGGCGCCCTCCCCCGCCAGGTTTCGCACCTCGACGTCGTAAAACATGCCGCGGTTCAGCGGGTACTGGGCGTCAAAGGTCGCCGTCGCGGCAACTCCGCCGTCGAGCACCAGCTCTGCCGACACGGTGGGCGCCGTCTTCTTGCCCGACTCCTGCACCTCCTCGAGCAGCACGACGCCCGTCACTGGCCGCGAGCGAGAGGACATGGTCCCCGCACCCAGCGTGCCCGTGGTCTCGGGAGAGATTTGCTGCAGGTTGGTGTAGCTCTCCGAGGTCCTCATGCCCTCTGGCACGCCACCCTGAGCCACCGCAGGCAGCGAGAGCAGGAGCGGAAGCGCTGCCGCTGCAGCGCCCTTGTGCAGGAGCGCTCTCCGCGAGGCGGAGGAGAGGATGCGCGCCGGCGAGGCGGAGGAGACCACACGCGCCGGCGAAGGCGGAGCGAGCGAGAGGCACGCAGCGAGCGTGACTGGGATCATATACATGGTTTGTGTGAGAGTGCGGCGAGGGTGCAAGCCTCACAGAGCTGTCGTCTAGTTAAAGGCCTATTTTTTATATTACCCAAAACCTCGGCCCACTTTTATAGCCCTATTTCCACCACGGCCACAGCGCGGTCGAGGGTGATTGCGTCTGGCGGTGCCCTGCAAGGCCACCGACGCGGACCTGTGGCTGCCTGCCGCCCCTGCTGGTCCATTGGCGGTCCCACGGCACCAGGAGACCGCACTCGACGCGTGCTCGGGGCTCGCTACAGCGGCCATCTCGGACGTCGCAAGCGGCGCCAGCCAGCGGCTCGGCCGCGCATCCTTCACACACGCCGCCACGACCGAGATGAGCGGGCCCGGTGTCGAGTCATGGTGCAAGCTGCATGTGAGGGGCGGCTGTGGCCACAGCAGGTCCTCCAGACGGACCTCAAAGCTTGCCGTCGGCGTGCTGTCGTGGCGAGAGCGCGAGATCGCTGCAGAGGAGGCGAGTGCAGTGGCGATCCAGAGGCTAACAGGGTCACCAGGTGGTAGCCCTTGTCCATTCTGATCAGGGCTGTGCTTTGGTGGGGTTGTGTTTGAGCATGTGTGAAGTGGGAGTGCGTGCCGGCGGTGTCTGTGGCTGAAACGGGCGTGTGTGAGGCTGCAGAGCCGTGGTGTGAGCCAGAGTGAGCTTCATCACCCAAGATAAGGACGGTCTGGAGCAGCTCAGGCTTGATACTGATAGGCCTTGGCCAGGAGAGCGGCAGGGAAGGCGAGGTGGTGAGATGGGAAGCCGCTTTGTCGGCACCTGGACGTGTCGCGACGAAGTGCCAAGAAGCGCCGTTTGCGGCTAGTGCTCAAAAGATTGGGAGAGAAGGCCTACATATTATGACTGCATCAATGCGCCTGGTGCATGAGGGCTGTGGAACATTCCACAGTCGATGGCGCCGACAATGACCTCCGGAAAGCCCTCGCAATCGCTCGGCACAGGGCCACGGTTGAGTGCTCTCGAGCCCTACACCGGAGCATCACGAGCCGGTGTGAGCTTGAAGACCCGAGATAAGTGCGGTTCGGGACAGCTTGGGCTTGCTACTGACGACGTCGAACCGCACGATCGAGAAAAACCGTGAGCTCCCTGTGGCCCTGGATGTGAGGTTACCCGACGACTGCACTCTCCAATTGGGCCAGGTACCAATTTTGTCGAATTTATTTCAAAATCTGCAGGCGCGGAGCGCCTGCGAAAATTTTGAAGAAATTTGCAGTCGGGCCTGATTTTCATCAAGATCTTTCAAATTTGCGGTGTGGAGTTGGGGGGTGGGTTAGGTTAGGGTTATTAGGGTTAGAGGGTTAGGGTTAGGGTTAGGGTTAGGGTTGGGTCAGGTCTGGTTTTGTCTGTATATGCCAGCGTTGCAGGGTTCTGCGCTGGGATCTGGCCCCACAGCGCCGACGACTAAGACTCAGCCCCACACGCTGACCTAGGGTTAGGGTTAGGGTTAGGGTTAGGGTTAGGGTTAGGGTTAGGGTTAGTCTTCTTGTGTTTGTATGCCAGCGTTGCAGAGTTCTGCGCTGGGATCTGGCCCCAGCGCCGACGAGTAAGACTCAGCACCGCACGCTGACCCCACCAAATGCCGCCTCAGGGCGCCAGGCCGCCAGCCACTTCTTACACGCGGCCGGCGCCCTCTCGCGGCAAAAGGGTCGAGCGAGCGGGCAGAGTCGCGATGTCTGCGCACCCGCGTGCCGATGGGCGGCACACGCAACCGAGAGAGGCCCTGTCGCGCCGCCAGTAGCGTTCTCCGCAGTCCCCACGCCACCAATTGCCGCCTCAGGGCGCCAGCCACTTCTTACACGCGGCCGGCGCCCTCTCGCGGCAAAAGGGTCGAGCGAGCGGGCAGAGTCGCGCGATGTCTGCGCACCCGCGTGCCGATGGGCGGCACACGCAACCGAGAGAGGCCCTGTCACGCCGCCAGTAGCGTTCCGCACTCCCCACGCCACCAATTGCCGCCTCAGGGCGCCAGCCACCTCTTACACGCGGCCGGCGCCCTCTCGCGGCAAAAGGGTCGAGCGAGCGGGCAGAGTCGCGCGATGTCTGCGCACCCGCGTGCCGATGGGCGGCACACGCAACCGAGAGAGGCCCTGTCACGCCGCCAGTAGCGTTCTCCGCACTCCCCACGCCACCAATTGCCGCCTCAGGGCGCCAGCCACCTCCTTACACGATTACACGCGGCCGGCGCCCTCTCGCGGCAAAAGGGTCGAGCGAGCGGGCAGAGTCGCGCGATGTCTGCGCACCCGCGTGCCGATGGGCGGCACACGCAACCGAGAGAGGCCCTGTCACGCCGCCAGTAGCGTTCCGCACTCCCCACGCCACCAATTGCCGCCTCAGGGCGCCAGCCACCTCTTACACGCGGCCGGCGCCCTCTCGCGGCAAAAGGGTCGAGCGAGCGGGCAGAGTCGCGATGTCCCTGCGCACCTGGGTGTTCGCCGCCTATATGCTCTATCCTGTGCCAAGACGGACACATTTTGACAATCAAAATCTACCTCAAAATTTGCGGCCGCCCCTCGAAATTTGCTGATCAAAATTTGCGGTGGCCCGGATCGAAACCTGTACTTTGGCCAACGTCTCCTACCAAGTGCTCCAAATTTTTGGGCCTCGTTTTAGCAATATACTTATGGTCGGAATACTGCGAAAATACGGGCAGAATACAGCCCTTTTGGCTTTTGGCTTTGGAGGTCGCAGGTCGCGGTTTGGAATACGTGGTACCTATGTTACGTATTGAAGAGATTCAGACAGTAGCGAGTAGGGTCGCAAGGCAAGGCGCGAGAACGGAACACGCACGGCTCCCGCTGTTACCGGCACTCCGTCCTCACTGGCAGAGCCACGCGACGGCATTTACGATTTACTAGCGTGTGAGAGCAGCGCTCAGCCCATGTTCGAATATGGATTCTTGCTGCCAAGCGACGCTCTCGCCGCGCGGCTCCTCGCCTGCTCCAGCTCCTTGGCGCGCGCCTGCTGCCAGAACCGTAGCCGCGGCGCGGGCCGGTACACGCGGCCGCGGTGCGGCGAGCTCTCGTGCCCGCCGAAGAGCCGGGGCAGCTCGGGGTGGCGCGGCTCGGATAGGCCCGCGTCGTGCCTCACTGCGTCCTCGCTCAGGTAGAGCGGCGCGGGCAGCGCGTCGCGGTTGTTGACCGCCGAGGCGGAGAGCTCGCTCGGCCAGCGCCAGCGCCAGAGGCCGGACGCCGCCGCCGCCTCGTCCTCCATCCCCTCGAGGGAGGGAAGCACGGTGTAGAACGGCTGGCAGCTCCACGCCTTGAGCTCGCTCTCCTCCGTCTCGTCGGCGGGGTACCCTAGCGCGCAGCCGCGCTCGAGGCAGCCCGCCGCGCGCACCCAGCCCGCGCCCTTGGAGCACTGCAGGTCGACGTCGATGACGACGCCGCGGAGGCCCTCGCGGTGGCTGTGCTCGACCGCCTGCCCGACGACAAACTTGGGCAGCCCCAGGTTCGTCTTGACGGCGTCGAGATCCTGCTGGAAGATGGCAGCCAGCTCGTAGTTGCCGTCCTCCAGCGCCTCGGCGAGCCGCTCCTCGCGCGGGATGATCGGATGCTGCGAGCGCAGCCGCTCGACGCGGGTCTGCAGCCCGCCCGCCTCGGCGTAGTCCTCCGCCTCGACGGCGGCACTCAGCAGAAATTCGCACTGCTCAATCTCGATCTCCTGCTGCCGCAGCTTGAAGTGCGCCTTGGCCCACGGACTGACCCACGCCGCATCGCCGATGGGCTTCTTGTGGTCCCAGTCATCGCCGTACCAGTCCGACAGGCGGAACAGTCGCGCAGGCGCCTTCATCGTGGCCGGAGAAGACCGCGAACCGCATGGCGGCGGCGGGAGCGGGCTGCTCATCGCCAGGAGCAGCAACATGTTGTGGCGACTGGTGGGGCGAGGGGGCGGGCAGGGTGGTGGAGGAGGGCTGTGGTGGGATCGCGCTCCCCGTCTGTGGCGATTCCCTGTGTGTGCAAACCACACGCACACCTCCCGCACGAAGAGGTACGAATAGCCGGACACAGGAACGGGGGCACAGCTCAACAATCCCACACGGGAACACTCACCTCTCGCACGAACAGGTTCCCAGAGCCAGACGCAGGAACGGCACTGGCCAAAACACACCCACACCTGACGCACGAACAGGTACGAACAGCCGGACGAAGGAACGGCAGCCGACACACACCCAGCCGGGGCAAGACAAAAGGCCGCCGAGGGGAAAGGGAGTTCGCAACTAAACGGCCGAAGCGGGTATCACTCCAGTTCACGCCCGCCGACCCCGATGCACCTTATTACCCGAACCCCCTACCTGCAAGCCCACCGAGAGGGGTAGGGGTCAGCCTTGTTCAATTAAACACGAGTTCCACCGTAGCGCCGCATAACTCTAAGCGCGCGTGTGAGCGAGGGAGGGCAGAAATGCAACGCTCACGCGGTCCCGGGCTCGGTCCTCCCACATTCTCTAAATGATGAGCCTCGCTCTCCCTCTGCGAAATAAAAAGCGGAGGCCTCAGTGGGAGCGAACTCTGACGGAAAGGGAGGTTCCCATACTCTGTCGCCCCTGTGCGCGCCTGGACCGACCCGCTTCACACCTCTGCTGTGCCCCCGTTTGCAGTGTCGAATATCCCCTCTTGTCCTGGCTCCTAAACGTACAGCGTCTCTAGGCTTAAAAAGCGCACAATACTTCAAGTCCCACACATCGCTCTAAATAAATAAATAAAAACGGACACCTCTCTACTGTGAGGTGGGTAAAAAGGAACAGGTCCCCGCCCTTGCGATCTTTGTGCAGGGTTCTTTGTGGGTGTGGTCGGCGACTCTAGCCGGGGTCGTCCTCCCGATATGGGGGACTAGCACTAGCCGTCTTCCACATGCTTGTCACATGGTCCCAGCATGGTCCCTCGGGTCCCTGCTGCTCCCAATCTCTTCGTACATCCTCCTGCTGATCTCCGCAAAGTCCTGCTCCCTCCCTCGTCTCGCCCTGCACGTCTGCTCCGCCTCACCGTCTTCTGCCCTGCGTACACAACGCTCTAGAGCTGTTTAACATTAACTTTAGGCCTAACAGTTGCGCTAGTGTTGGCTGAAATCCTTAACGTTGTTCAAGTGTTCACCCCAGCCCATGCTGTTACTGTTGGTTACTGTTGTTACTGTTGTTCAGCGGCCAGCAAGCAGAAAACGGCAAAAAAACCGGGTAAAACCCGAAACTACCTGGGTTTTCCCGGGTATTTTCGGGTATTACCCGCACTGGACGCTGGAGATCGTCGTGGGTCACTGCCAGGCCTTGCCGTTGCCACACCTGGCCCACATACCGCCGGCGCCCTTGATTAGGCACCGCCGCCACCCTCGCCACCGTTCGTTGCCCACAACCGGTCCCACGCCACCGCCCACGCGCCACGCCGCCGCCGACACCGCACTGGCTAGCAAAGACGACGCAGCCTATAGTCTCGACTCTCCCGCCAATGTCTCACGATTGCGTCTCAGGTTGGCTCATGGCATGGTAAGATGGTATCTGACAACGGCAGCGGCTTGTGGCGTCTCACACCCGTTCTGCGCCGTGTCTCATCACGCCGTGGCTCAGCACAGTCTCAGAAGCAAGTGAGACGAGTCGCGCTCCCTGGCGCAGCAACTATGCCGTTGTGAGACCGAGTGAGACGAGGATTGCCGCTTGTTCACCGTGAGACGAGTGTGAGACGCTCTGAGAGGAAAAGAAGAGACGTAGTAGAGACGACAGTGTCACACAGCAGGGGTGAACATTTGTCTCACTGGTGTCTCAAACACGTCTCTGAAGGTGACTGTGCCGTGTGTGTGACATCCTTGAGACAAAGTGAGACTGTTGCTGTGACCAGGCTGAGACAACGCAGAGATCGGTGAGAGTCCGTGAGACATTACTGAGACGCATTTGTGGCACAGCGTTGAGACAGGGACGAAACACCCGTGAGACAGAGACGTCTCACCTGTTCGCCCAGAGAAAGGGGGGGGAAGAGGGGAGGGAGCCAGATACGCGGGAGTACCCTGGGAGTGAGAGCTCTCATTCATGGTCGCGAGACCAGGGGAAGCCATAACGGGGAACGGGCACACCAAGGCACTAACTTCATCACTCATTCGCCCCGCATTAGGTAGCGACCCCAGGTTCAGAGCTAGGCTGCCCGACAGGGCAGGGAACCCCCAGCGCGCAGGCGGGGCCCACGGTAGCCTCGTGCAGTACGCGATACCGAGAGCTGGGGGGTGAGGCGCGCCCACGCCAAGGGGGAGAGAATGGAGGGGGGAGAATATGCGTGCTCGTTTTTCTTCGAAAGCAATTTTTTTTTTGGAAGATTGGAACATGCGCAACATACATGCACATGCACATGTCATCGGTGTTCGCTTGGCGCCTTGGCCTCTCCGTAAGCGCTTTGCCGTGTCCTCAAAAACGCATGAGCTACCCCTCCCCACGCTTCTCCATCGCTGCCGGCGGCGTCGCGAGCTCCCGCTGCCGCTCCTCCAGGTAGTCGGCAAGCTCCTCGAACCCCTCGGCGCGCGCCATGCGCGCGGGCGTGTTTCCGTCGCCGTCGGCGCGCAAGTGCTGCTCGCCCAGCCCTCCCCCCTCCGGGGAGAGGAGCCACTCGCAGACGGCGCGCCGCCCTTTGATCGCCGCCTTGTGCAAGGCAAGGTAAGGTAGACTTCTCCACATACATGAGGTGGTGGGGCAAGGGCCAGGGCAGCCCTCGCGACTCCACGTCTAGACAGACAGGGGCTGGCACGGCATTCAACGTGCAAGGCCCGGTGCGCGTGGGTGAGCGGTGTATGTGCGTGCATGTGTGCGTGCGTGCGTGCGTGCGCGCGCGATGTGGGATGTGGTCGCCGCCTTGTGGACGGCGCTGTGCCCATTGCAGTTGCGGAGCGAGACGTCGCACCCGGCGCTCTGAAGCCAACGGCACATGGCGACGTCCTGGCCATCCGACTGCCGCAAGCGGAATGGCAGAGGGGGGCGTGAGGACCGGGAGTACAGATCCATCTCTCCCCATCTCTCGGATCTAGATGCGGAATGCAGGTCCACATCTCCCCATATCTCCCCACATCTCCCCATATCTCGGATCCTAGGTGCAGATCCTAGGTGCATAGTGCAGGTCCACATCTCCCCCCTCTCAGGTCTGGCAAGGCCACTCGCCGCGCGGCCGCGCGGCTGCTGCCAGGCGGGTAGCCGTGTGCAGCCGTGCCCCTCATGCGGAGCGGTGCGCCACAAGCAGATGCCTCCTCGGCCAATCTCGGGCGATCTCGGAGGTTGCCTGCGCCGCCCACTGCACCGCGTTGCAGCCGTAGGAGTTGCGAGCGTTCGGGTCGGCGAGGCCGCCTTCGACAAGCCTGCGTCATGAGTGCACCGAGGTGGGGGTGGGGTGCGAGTACGATGATCACCGCGGAGTACGGTCGTGCATGCATGCGGCGGAGGCATGCGGCGGAGGGCGTGTCCTCTCGAGCGCTACTAGGAAGCCGAGGCTGCTAGGGCGACGAGCCAGCGGCAGAGGTCGAGGTGGCCCTGCCAGACCGCCCAATGGAGCGGTGTCGTGCCGTCGCGCGTCGGCGCGTCGGCGTCGCAGCCCTGTGCGACGAGCCAGCGGCAGACCTCGAGGATGGGGGGGGGGGGGGTGAAAGGGAGGGGGGAGGGGGAGGGGGGAGGGGGAGGGGGGAGGGGGAGGGGGGCTGGGGTTCAGCAGGCAGCGGATCACTTCGAGCCGGCCGTTCCGCGCCGCCCAATGCATCGCCGTCCGCCCGTCCTTTTGTTGCCGCGCCTGGGGAGAGGACGCTCCGAGATCTGGCGAGAGTTCGGGGACATTTACACGGGCCCGTCCGTTTGCTGCCGCGCGCCCGGGGCGACGCGCCCAGCTGCAGGAGCAACTCGCACGCCGCGACATGGCCGCCGCCCGCCGCCCACATCAGCGCCGTCGAGCCATGGCGGTCGGTCGCCGCCGCCGCCGCCGCCGCCGCCGCGCGCCCGCCCGCCGCCAGCGCACGGAGCGCCTGCGGTGTGGCGACAACCGCTGCAACCGCAGTGGCGACTTCGGCTGGAGGACGGCCCAGTCCGTGTCCTCTCGGAGTCGGTGATTGGAGGACAGTCGGCCAGTGTGTGTCCCACGCCTCCTGGCACGGACGACGGGGCACACGCGCACTCGTACACACACACACGGGGGCATTGCACACGAGGCCGACCTCTACTGCAGTCCGCCTCCACTTCTACTGCAGTCCGCCTCCACGTCCCCGTCGCGCGCGGCGGCGAGGGGCGCAGGCAGCGAGTTGCGCGCTGCCTCGGCGGCCGCGGCGCGCGCCTAAGGCACGGCCAGGTCGACTTCCCCCCACACACGAGAGTGGCGGGGCAAGGGCCGGCCAGTCCCTCGCGACCATCTCCACGTCTAACCAAATGACAAGAGCCCCACGGCACTCAAGATGCAACGGCCCAGTGCGCCTCCCAAAGCCGCGTCAGCGCCGCCTCCTTGGGCGTGCGCGCGTAGCGCACCAGCGCGCCACGGGCGGCGTGCACCGCCTCCGTCGCCTCCTCGTACGGCGCCCGGTGCCTGCATGCCGAGTCCGCCAACCTCGGCGGGAGGACGGTCTTGTGCAGTCTCTTCAGAGCACCGGCGTGAATGCACGGGCTGCGAATACAGTGAGTACCGCGGAGTGCGGCGGAGTACGGCCGAGTCCCCGCTCGAGCGCTAGTCGGAGTTCAATAATGCGTGTTCCGCTGCTAGGGTCTGGTGCTTGATCTGCGCGTGGTCCCGCAGCCCACGCCGCCCTGAGGCGGAGGAGGGAGGCGGCGGTGGGGGAGGGAGACGGCTTGGCGGAGGGGAAAGGAGGAGGCGGCGGCAGCGGTAGAGAGGGAGGCGGCAGGGAGAGAGGGGAGGCAGGGAAGAGAGAGAGAGAGAGAGAGAGACAGAGAGGCGGCGGAAGAGAGAGGCGGCGGGGAAGAGAGATAGGGGCGGCAGGGAGTGCCACACCCGCATAGAAGCCTCCACACGCCGCGCAGTGCAGCATACCCGCCGCGCGCATCCGACGCATATGCAGCTGCGTGCTCAGCTGCAGGCTCCCGTCCTCCTCGAGCACCCTCGCATCGGCCACCACCTCGCGGCTGCCCTCGGGCAGCTGCGCAAGCACTGCCCGCGCCAGATCTGCCGCGCTCGTGTAGTCCGTCTCCCGCTTGAGGCCAAACTCGGAAACGGTCTCGACCCGCACCACGGCGGCGCCGCGCGCACCCGCCACCAGCTTCCGCCAGATCGTGCTCACAGCGCGGCACTGCAAGTCGCCGCCGGCGCTCGCCGCCGCGCTCCGACGGACTGCATCCTTGGGCAGCTCGAAGACGAAAGCGTGCGCGGGGCATACACGCTGTGCGGCCTGTACGAGCAGCTGCTGCACGCGCTGCAGCGCCAGCTTCGAGGCCTCGGCCTCGAGGCGGGCGTCGCCATCGGCTCGCATTGCGAAGAGAAAAAAATCACAGGAGCGCAGCACTTCGTGTTGGCGAGTCGAGATATTGAGAGTGTGACTAGGAGGGTGGGACGCTGGGGATTCTCAAAGGTAGGGTGCCCACAGGACCCCCAAAAAGAAAAGAAAACGAAATGGGCCACCCCCGATCGCAGCACTTCGTGTTGGAGAGTCGAGATATTGAGAGTGTGACTAGGAGGGAGGGACGCTGGGGATTCTCAAAGGTATACCCTTGGAATGGCCGGATCCAGACTTAAAACGAGATCGCGCGCGCTTCACGCACAGCACCGCCTGTTCTCCGCGGCTGAGTGACGACGCGTGCCGTGTACCAGCAGAGTTGGGCGCGCGCGGCGCGACGGCGCCCGCGAGGGAAGGCGCGGGTGCAGCGGCCGCCGGCGGCCGTACCGCCCGCCAGCCGGCGCAGCAGCGGCCAGCGCAGCGGCCGCCGGCGCAGCAGCCAGAGCAGCCGGTGCGCGCCTTGCGAGGCGAGTACTGCCGCCCGGCAGCCTTGAGGCGGCCGGGCGGCAGTACTCGTTCGAACTTTGCGAGCCGTGCGCGCGCCGAGGCGCCCGCGGCGCGCGCCCGCCCGGCTGCCAGTAGGAGGCGGCGCAATATGGCCTATATTACAGCCCTTAGGAGGAGGAAGAGGCTGGCTGGCAGTGCTGTATGCCGCCGAGGGGCAGTTTTGGGGTGCTGACCCACGCCCAGGAGGGGGCTGCAGAAGGCGTCCGCAGCCGGGACAACCCGCCCCCCCAGCCGAGGCCGGTCGAAGCCCACTTGGTCACAGCCATGAGGAGTCCTCTTGGTGCTCCTGGCGGCCGTTTGAAGGTCGGGCGCGCGCCGAGGGGGGGGGGGGGTCTTGCTTGCTCCACACCGAGCGCCATCGGTCCGGACCGGCGTGACCACCGAGGGTCGGCTTGCACAAGGTCTGAGCCGCGGGCGCTCGGCGCCAAGTGCAGTGTCACGCTCGCGCTGGAGCGGGTCACAATGGGAAACCCTCGTTTCCTATGAACTCGGTCCCCCAGCGGCTCTCTCTCGGTTGCGCGGTTGCGCGGTTGACGCTTTTTTGGCGCTCACGGCGGGCGGCGAGGCTGGCCTTGAGGTCGCAGCGAGCCGTCCAGACGTCTCACGGTGGCGTCGCGCATATCACTCGTGGCGTCGGTCGCCTTGGAGGCGGCAGAGACGTCCAGAGGCGGCGCATTTTTATGGGCACGCCCGGCAGCGCTGCGGGTGAGCGCGCCGCAGGCTGAAGACCTCCCTTGGCGCGGCGCGAGCGGCGCGCACCGCGGCACGAGGGCGCGCGGCGCTGCCGCCGCGATCAGTCGTCACGGCTTGCGCCCGGGCCGGCCGCGCGGTTGGCGTGGCAGCGACCACAGCACATGGTTCGGAGCTTCGGGCGGGGCCTCTCGGTATCTTCGGTTGCCGCTGCACGGCGCGCGTGTCCGACCCAGTGAGTCCTACCGGTGAAGTGTGTGATGTCCAGCCGCGCGGTGTTGCAGACTACGTCGCGTGATGTGCTTGTGCGTCGGTAGTCATCGCAACTCGCACTGTGTCCGCACTGCCGGTGCTGGCTCTGAGCCCTGCCCTAGCGAAAATTTTTCACAATATCGCAACCGCGATACCGCGCGATATTTGGCGATAAAATGCGATAAATGGCGATGTTGTGCGATGCTCGCGATCACGCGAGCCCTTCACAGCACGCCTCAGCGACGCGCGTGAAGCGTTACACGTGTCAGTCCTGGGCGCCGAAAGTGCGAGAGAGGTGCGGGTGGGCGGCGGGAAAGCGCTTAGGGTACCCCTAGGGTTCTGAGGGCCGGATTGTTTTAAGACCTTTTAAGAAATGAGGAGGTTTGGGGGCTCAAATTGTCATTTAAGAGATTGCAGGCACGGGGGGTCCCTCTTTTAAGTCCGTTTAAGAAAATCGGCCTCGCCGGCATGCGTCGCCGGGTTCCACGCCGGTTTCTCCAATACTGCCGTTATTAGGCACGAACCCGCCACTGAAGACACATCTGTAAGTCTGGTGCACTGGCGGGAGCCATACTCGCATAGGGGACGCGTGCCAGCTGACTGTAGCCAGCTTCCCGGCCTCCGGCGTCTACCGGGGAGCCTCCCGGATTAAGCGTTTAAGACCGTTTAAGGAATCGGCGGCCCAGCAGCTCTTAAAACCTGCCATGGCAGGTTTTAAGCCGTTTAAGCCGCAGGCGCCCCAGGGCCCACCCTTTTAAGCCTAGGGGTACCCTAAGGGAAAGCGCGACCGGAAAACAAAGAAATGCTCGGACCGTCACCGTCACCGCCGCCGGGGCGAGGGTGCGCGATATTGCGCGATATTGCGCGATATTGCGCGATATTGCGCGATATTGCGCGATATTGCGCGATATTGCGCGATATTGCGCGATATTAGGCGATACTCGGCGATCATTCACGATATAGAAAATTTCCGCTAGAGCAGGGATGCTCTGGGTCCGTCGCAGCGCACGCACTTCACCTTACTACCTACCTACCTACTACGCACTCTCCCTGTGGGTCGAGTCGTGGTGTATGCGCGAGTCGTGGTGTGCGAGGATTATTTGACTAACACTCTGATTAATACCCAGCGCGGCGTCTCGCCCTCCCCTCTCGCTCGCGGCACCGAGCGAGTCAAACACACCACGCTCTCTCTCGCGCACACACACGTCACACCGACCGTCGACCGACCCCATGTGCCGTGCACGGCCAGCGCTCCCACCGTGTGGTGCGGCTCAGTCCACAGGCGCAGACTGATCCGTCGTGCGCCCCATGTGCGTACGCGCGCAAGCACATGAAATTCTTAACCAGTAGGACTCTACCAGCAGTACCCTACGACACAACACCGCCAGAGGACAGCGTCCACGTCCATCGGGGTGGAGGTGCTGCCGCCAGGGGCCCGATGGCGAAGCCGTCAACGATCCACTCTATGAAGCGTGGAACTGCCGCCAGCGCTGCGGCCTGCGTGCCAAAGTCTCGCGGCTCGAAGGGGGCCGCGCCGTAGGGAGGGAGGGTCGTGGAGCGGGCGACCAGCGATCCGAAGAGTGGCCGCTATGCGAGGAACATGTGGGGCCCTCGGGGTACGCCTCGTCCGGCCCCCTCCGAGGGAGGAAGGGAATTGCGGGGTCCCCACGGGCGCCTCAGTTCGGCCCTCCCGAGGGGGGGGAGGGGAGCAAGGGGGTGGGGGGATTGGGGTGGTGGGGAGGGGTCTCGGTTTCATGTGGCTAAAACTTGCCTTTCGGGGAGGGGCCTCAGGAAAGGCGAGTCCAGCTCAACCTACGTCTTCCCCTCCTCCCCAGAGGCAGCGAGTAGGCAGCGAGAGGAGGTCTCGAGCGCCTATATGTAGGTATGTGAGATGGCGATGGTCTGTCACCTTGCCTGCCGCGAGCAGCTAGCTCGTCGACGTAGTCGTTCCATTTGTTGCCGCTGTGACCCGCCACATGCCTCCACGTCACGGTGTGTTTGGCGCGAAGGCGTCGCCAGAGGGAGGGAACGAAGGCGCTGGTCTGTTCGTTTTGGGGGTCACCCTCCCCATCATTTCATGCACGCCGCCGCGTACTCGCTATCGGTCCGCACTACTCCGCGTGAGCCCGCTCGTTGCGGTGACGAGGACAGGAGAGCACGGAGGAGCTCGGAAATGAAAAAAAACATCGTGGCGCACTTCGGGGAGCCGCTTTGCGTGGTTGAGCACTCGCGTCTCGCAAGCTCCACGACAAGGTCTGAGTTGGGTGTGCCCTATCATCGCATCGCCCTCCGCGCCCACCGCCCGCCATCCGCTCGCCTCCCTACTGCTCCTGCGCGTCACTGCGTACCACCCCAACTTGCACGCTGCCACACTGCGAACGACCGCCAAAGCGAGCGACATGTCCACCTCCATCTCGCAGGTCTCTCTCTGATTCATGCACGTGAAGCTCACCGCGCTCTTTGTGGCCTCCGTCACCGCCGTGTCGAACACGACCGACCACGGCTTTGAGGCTGGCGTCGAAATCCTCACGTGCAATTCCACCGACTGCTCGACCGAATGCACGACTCGGGAGACCATCTCCACGGGAGAGTGCCTCGCCGATCCTCAGGATTCAGATCTGCCTTGGGCGGTCAGTATCCCTCAAACGGCGGCCTCGTTGATGTTGACCTGTGACGGTGACACCTTGACCGTGACCTCCTACACCACTTGGGACTGCTCCGACAGCGGCACCGAGCTTCTCCGATGAAGCATTA